GAGAGAAGTAGACCAAGGGAAGCTGTCAAACACGTCAGGACCTGTTTCTCCGCTGAAGCGCTCGGAGATCCTGCCAGCTTATGGTGCACAGCACCGCCAGGACGCACTTTGGGAAGGTGAGCGAGCACGCTACAAAACCCATTGACCGACTCAACATCAGACAGGAGGGAATAAGGCGCTCCCTCCTATGTGGACAGAGCATAAGTATGAGGGGCTTGATTCATCATATAGCGAAGGCATATTCAAGATGTCTGCAATGCATAGACCGTTGCCAGGAGTGCGACTAGGTGAGCGACGAAAGTGGGATAAGAGCGAGGAACTCAGGATCGAGCATAGATTACCCCGGGGAGCTCCTTCCTGGATGTGAATGGCACATCGCACCGCACGGTCGGTCCTACTTCGTCAACCACAACACTCGGACCACATCGTGGAAGAAGCCAACGCCAGAACGAACAGCAGGGAGTTTTATGCCAGAGTGCATAATTAAATCTGACAACCAGTACCACAACCACATTGCCTGCTTGGGCACCAGTGGCAATATAATGAGTACGTGGGACGATGGTTCGATTCACCAGTGGACAAGAGATGGAAAGCCAGTAGGAAAGCCTTGCGATGGTGATGGATACATCATAACCGCAATGGCCGTGTCTGTGGATGAAACAATGATCGTATGTGGAAGCTATGATGGCAAAGTACGGTTGTGGAATATAAAGGAGGGGAGTGTGGTCGGTAACCCGTGGGACAGGAATAACGACGGATTTGTGATGTGCTTTGATTGGTCTCCGAATGGGGTGGAGGTAGCAGGTGGATTGGAGGACGGGACTATACGACGATGGAACCCGGCCACTGGCAGACAAATTGCACAACCAATAACGACTGGTCATGAACATTTGTGGATAGTCAAATACTCTCCACAAGGCGACAAAATCGCGTGCGGTTTTGGCTATGACCCAATCCGGGTGTGGTCAAAGGTCGGCGAGCTGCTGATCGAGATAAAGGGACACAGTTTGGTGCTATCGTTATGTTGGTCCAAGGATGGCGCATACATCTTTTCTGCCGGTGCCTCTAATGAAAACACCATCCGAAAATGGCAATCGATCGACGGGAAAGAACTCGTCGGTTTTCAGGGTCATACCAACAACATTACATCCATTTTTCTGTCTCCCGATGGATGTCATCTTGTTAGCGCATCAAAGGACTACTCAGTTCGCATTTGGGATCTCAAAACCAATCAGCAACTTGGATACCCACTCTGGCACGACGATCATGTCTTGACTGCTGCCATGTCCTCTGATGGACAATACTTCGCCAGTGCTATCAATGAACCCAATTCAACAATATACTATCTATGGAGTCTGGAAGCAGCACTCGAGCGTGCTCGTGGGGTTGATGTACGTCTGTACATTGCTTTCCTCAAGCTCTTTTCTAAGTAGTCTGGTTTCTCGGTCAGGGCAATGCAGAGCCCAACGCGAAGCTCAAGGCAACATACCTGTCTTCTCTTTCATACCTCATCTGACTTCTTTACCTGCAGGGACTTGCAGCTCGACCTAGAGACGTGAATTATTTAATTGCTAATAACCTGATTCTTCGCTCATCTATCTCATCAGATTTCTCTCGCACCTAGACACCAAAGCAAGAATAGAGGCTTAGCAAGATATGTGAGTCCAGTGCGATCATTCCTGAGCTCTTTCTATCCTGACACCTGTTCAGGGCAATGACTTCTTCAGCGAAGACACCAACCGCATGTCTCGTCGCTCAGCAGAAACATCATCTCCGCCTGGTCTGCGCAAATTCTTCGGCTTCCCGCGCTCCGGCACTCGACCTGCAAATGCGCCACAACAGTTGATTCAGCTTCAGCCCCGGCGATCCAATTTCAGCTCATTTCCTGTGAAAATTTCTCGGCGTCCCATCGATGTTGCTCCTTGCCGTGATGAAGACGTAAGTTGCTGGTCATACCACAGTTCTCCCTTATGCGATTCACATCATTTTGCAGAGATATGGCATTGTCCCCGAGTCCGACGCAGAAGCCGCCGCAGCTATGCAACGTACGAGCAGCAATAATGTTGATAGCTCAACGCAGGAAGGACAAATTGCAGCCGGGCGACCACCACAAACTGCTCAGGGGCAAAATTCTGCTTCTGAATCAGCAGAACCATATCTGTTTGGATGCTGTGGATTTTATCTTGTTCGTCGTCGACACGCATCGCACTAGTCCTTCGATTCGTCTACGAGGGTGGCTATGGTGGCTATTGTGAGCAATTATTCATTGACGCGCATGAGCCAACGTGACACTGATTTCTCCCTCTTTATAATGTTGTCTGCACACATAGATAAGCGCAGGCTGTGTCGATGATACTGACACACCCGACAAACAGGAGTGTTGAGAAGTCGGTACGCTTGAGCTATGGGATGGAGGAAAGGATTAATGCGTTGGTGGATGAAGGACTCACCATACCAGACGCCGGCAGGATCTAGAACATTAGGTGCCATGTTCAATTTTGCAATTTCAGAAGGTGTTGAGCGTACGCACATATAGCGCTATATAATTTTATTTGAACCGCAAGTCGTAAGTTATGAATCTGACTCACGACTAGTTTTTGAGCAAGTCAGGAACTTCTATCAGTCAGCCACCCGTCAGTAATTGTTCCTTCGCTATACTGAGCTTGAGGCTGCTCGAGGTTGTCGATGTTTACTAGTAGAGCAGTCTATCAACCAGTGATGTCCACCTTGTTTAGCTATGATGTATGGCGCTCCAAACCGACTTGAAGTCATATCGGACAGAGTACTAGTGTTCAATTCTTTCGAGTTTACAAGATAGCAAGTTACATAGCTGTGGCGTATGGGTATGGTCCATTTGCTCCATCAGCTCATGGACCAGGCGATCAATTGTTAGAGCGGGTCTATCAGCTAGTTACGCGGAACAGTCAAACTACTTCTTATGGTTACTTCTGCGAACAAGGAATTGGTGGATGAGAGATAAGTGTGAGGCTGTAGGTAAATACAGCCTTCAAGGCGGGCCCATGCGAGGTTGATGAGAGCCGCTGCATGGTCAACGATGGACTCCAGCATTCTGTCAGCAAACGCCAACAGCACAGAAGCTGATGTCACTCACATCAAGCAGCGAAACGTCCTGATTGTCACAAGAATGTACAACAGTGGCTTTCAGCGTGAGGAAAGGGCGAACAACACGAACGGAGAAGGAGAGATCTACGAGATGTTAGTAGATGTGCATGGTTACTTGCTAAAAGGTTCATCTCCGTGATCGAGTAGGTCATCCCACGAAGTGTCAAGTCTTCCGATGAGTTCTCAATTGCCCAACATTCGATCGAGCTCAAAGGATGCTTTGATGTCCAGTGATAATGCAAGTGACGCATCTAGTGATCTATAAACAGAAAATTAGTCGTCGAATCGCGTACGAGAATCTCCATGGACTTGAGATAAGAGGATTGAGCCACGCTACAAATTCGTCGGAAGATCAGACTCTGATGGCTGATTTCCAACGTCTTGCCGAGTCGACATTGATGGATACGTAGATGCCTGCGGCAATGCGCTCGGAAGGGGACTTGAAGAATTTTTACGCCGATAACTGTAGATAGAGCGTGATCACGAAACAGATACGAAGGTGATATGGAGTGACTCACCTTGAGGTTTGATATATCGGCCTTCTAAGCTATCGGGCATAGTGGTGCGATGAAGTAAGATCGAGGATAGTGGTGGGGTGAATTGACGGTAGGAGAAGACGAGGTGGGGATATGGGGAGTGTGGATCAAGTTTAAGTGAGAGGGAGTGGAGAAGTGGGTGAGGCCTTGAGGGTTCGAACGTTCAGGTCGTGCAGCTGCACGTGTATTTTCTGCGTGTTTATAGAAATGAGGCAGGTTAATGTAGTGAAGCAGCAATAAACGGACAGTACACGCACCTCTGCAGAAATAAGACACTCGCAATCCTCAAGACCATCAATCTACATTGAAATGTTGCAGCTCGATCCAAGTATCCCACTCGATCGAAAATGAGAAGATCACGAGGGCACAGTAATGGCAGTCGCGCATTTCTCCGATGTCGGCGGGCTCGCAAGACAAGACACTTCAAATTTGTGGGACTTGAGGATACGTTCAAGATGATTGGAGAAAATGGATGCTTCATCCCCCCAATAGTGTGTGCTCCCAGTACTGCCTGAGAACGCGGAGAATGAGTTTGTATTCTTCATGTTGGATGGTCTTGATGAAGCGGTAGTCGCGTGAAAAGTAGAAGAACGAGCTGCCTGGTGCGTGGTATTTCAATTTGTAGGTCATATATCGCAGATCTGGGAGTTCGTTCCCAATGCTCGGAGGATGTGAGTTTTGGATATGGATCAGATGGTCCGGGTACGACATGAAATCTTGTTGAACCGATGGGTTCGTTTGATATTTGGAGTCTGGACTCGTAGAGTCCAGGATGAAGAGATTACCGGAATGCATGGCAGTGGCTGTGCCATTCTTTTTCTTTCTCTCCTTGACATCCGTGCAAAGCAAATGATATAGAAATGGACCGGGCGACCCCTACTGGTAGTTTTGCTCAGGCAAACACGCCTACTCCCGAATTCAACGATAAACGTACTGCCCATATTTTGTCAAGATTTATTTCCTGTGCTAATTGTTGCTTCTGCCAGTGTCTGCCGCGTGTAGCTATATCATCTGAATCTGACCCATACTCTCGCAAGCTTCCCCTGGTGCTTCCATAATGCTCTCGATCATCCTTACCCCATCGCACTGTCAGTTCAATCGTACTCATATCATCATTGGGCTTTTTCTGTGTGCATCGTTTTCACGGGGGCGGTTTATATTGTTTGCATTACATTGCGACTTAAACTCGATTCTACATTCAAGTTTTGCCTTAGTGTGCTAAATAAATCGCGCCACCTAGTCCAGCAGTAGCCCTTGGCGTGTAGCTACGCTGATGCGTATCACTTTGGCATCTCCACTTCTCTATCACAGGTTCTCCCGCTAAACCTAGGCAGCCATCTTTTGGTGCCAGCGCTTAGCCTAATCGTACCAGCGTCTATCTTGCTGAACAGCCCTCGACAACATGATCCAAATACACGCGCAGCATCACATGAACCCCAAACCTCTTCTCCTCCCCCTCTCAGCCAAAATCCATCCACGGTCTCCATATCCATACCCCCATCTTTTCCTACCACTCGTTCTACCCAGCACTAAGCCCATCCTTGATCCTCATCGTTTTGTTTGATCGCAACATCATGTCCGGTAGCGTAGAGGGCCAATCTATCAGGCTTGAAGGTAGGTCACTCCATATCACCTTCGTATCTCTTTTGCGATTCTCACGCTCTATCTACAGTTATCGGTGGACATAATCTCCAAGTCCCTTCTACGCGCATGCCCGCAGGCATTTACGTATCCATTATTGTTGACTCGAGGAGACGCTGGAAATCAGCCGTCAGAGTCTTATCATCTGACGAATCTGTAGCGTGGGGAGGTACCGTTACTCTGTAAAGTCCCTCAAAACTTCCGGACGCGATTCGAGATTGATCTTCTGTTTACAGATCATCCTATGAGTCAGCTGCATTATCAGTGGAGATCAGAGCCTCCTACGAGGTCGGTCGAATGCTAGGCAATGGGGAACTCATCGGACAAATTGAAACATCGTGGGATGAGCTGCTCGATCATGGAAATGAGCCATTCGGTGAGTATCCTACTGTTCGTTCATGTGTATCTACTCACATCCCGCAGAATTATCCTTCCCACCTGTTCGTGGTGTCAATCCTTCGCTCAAGCTAAAGATTGTTGTCGTACACACTCGTGATAATCAGGACGGCGCACTGTTTGATGTGAGGATGCTGGCCTCTGCGGTTAGCGTTTGCTGACGGAATGTCAACTGTAGTCCCTCACAGACTGTGAGATTGCTCGAGATACAGATGCAGGCCACGCACGATATGCCGAATACATGTCCAGCAGGACGGCCTCTCACCTGAAAGATGCTGTCCAGAACTTTCAGTTGGTTCTGGATCGCAGTCCTGTAGACCATCCTGACCACGCAGCGGCTCTCACCAACCTCGCGTGGGCCCGTCTTGAAGGCTATATTCAAAATGATGTTCAAGACATTGATACAACAACTTCCTCCCTCCGCGAAGCCCTTGCATTGCGTCCGCAGGGTCATGCCGATCACGCATTATCTCTCTATAACCTCATTTTGGCGTTGATCTGGTGCTACCGCAAGGAGCCCACCCTCGTCTACATTCACGAATCTGTGGAACTGTGCTGCAAGCTACTGCCCTTCTGTCCAGAGGGCACCTACCTTCGTAGCATGGGCGCAGACAGTGCAATTGATTATGTGATGAGTGAATGCGACGAACTTCCAATCGATTCATCTGACGAAGGCATCCACATTCGGCGAGTCATGCTCAAACTCTATCCTCTGGGCCATCGACACCGTCCACAAGCACTCTACAATCTTTCATGGGTTCTCAGCAGACGCTTTGAACAACACGGCAGCATTGATGACATAGACGAGAGCATACAACTTGATCGTGAAGCTGTTTCTCTATCCCCCGAGGGACATTCTGGCCGTGATACCTACTTGACTAACTTGGCCGCCTCACTGGAGTCCCGCTTTTATCACCATGGCAAATATCATGACCTTGATGAGGCCATCTCTTGGCGCGAGGCAGTGCTGTGCCTGCACCTTGTTGGGCACGAAGCTCGTGATTCTTCATTGGACAACCTAGGGAGCGCCCTCCGCGCCCGTTTCAACATACGCAGAGACATTGATGACATCAACCAAGCTGTCGGCCTCCATCGCGAGGCACTGACGTTGCGCCCACCTGGGCATCCACGTCGTGACACTACATTTAACAACCTTGCCATCGCACTCCAAGTCAGATATGGCAAATTGTACGTCATCGAAGATCTTAACGAGGCCATTGATCTGCATCGTGAACTACTTCGGATAGGACTGCTTGACGATCCAAAGCGCCCTAGAAATCTTTGCAATTTGAGCTCGGCTCTCTGCTCTCGTTTCAGGCTAACCGGGAAGAATGAAAATGTCGAGGTGGCCATTTGGCTCTGCCAAGAGTCGTTGGAGGCCATACCTTCACTGCACCCGGAACGGTATTTCGGCTACATGTGTGTGAGGGATGCCTACATGTCTCGTTATGAGATAGAGCACAACCCCGTCGATTTGTCGATCGCTGTAGAGAACTCCAGACTCGCATCACGACACCCCACTTGTGGATTTCCAATCCGCATCATGGAAGCATATAAATGGACTTTTGCAGCCGAGAAACATGATCATGGATCCGCGCTGGAGGCTTACTCGACCTTTTTCGAGCTTCTGGAAGCTCATTTGGCAACACGGTCATCAACCACTTCGCGGCGCGAAGCTTCCTCTGCCTTCGATTATGCCAGATCATTACCTGTAGATGCAGCATCGTGTGCTATTCGCCATGACAATCTCCGACATGCAGTCGAACTGGTGGAGCAGGGCCGTGGCCAACAGTGGTCGTTGGCCTCTCGACTCAAGACTCCAGTTGAAGACCTCGAATCGGGACATCCGCATCTAGCCCACAGATTTTCTGAACTGAGCAAGCGCGTTTCCAATGCTGCTCAGGGTTCTGCAACCATTGCCGACAGAGCTGCGGCTGAAGTAGCGGAAACAAAGTACAGGAAAATCACGGCGGAATGGGAAGCTGTGGTAGCTGAGATACGCAATCTTCAAGATTTCTCGCGGTTCCTGCTCCCACCTTCGTATGAAGACTTGCAAGCGGCAGCGCGCCATGGCCCGATCATCATTCTCATTGCCAGCAAATATTCATGCAACGCCATCATTGTCCCGACGTCAGGAGAGCCCCACCATATTCCCTTGTCTGTCACCCTCGCAGATCTGGAGAATCTCAAGGGTCGCTTCGCCAGGGCGATACAGCAAGCATCTAAGATGGGCCTAACGGAGTCGAGGACGGACCTAATTGTCCTCTCGCGGATAGTATGGGACGAGATCATTCTACCCATTGTTAACGTACTCGAGCATGTCCTCAGATTACAGCACGGGTCTCGAATCTGGCTGTGCCCGACTGCAGCTTTCACATCTATTCCTCTCCACGCAGCTCACCCCTTTCAAACGAAGGCAGATCGCTCAAAAGCTTCTTTGTCACCTACCAAGTGGCACCCCGAAGTAGGACCCCGGATCAAAAAACTCAACAACACGCCCGACGGCGTCAACGGCGTCAACGTCGAACAAACCAAACCCATTATCAACCCCGAATAGAACGCATATATACATATACTAGTCTAACCCAAGAAAACACCTAGAAAACAACACAAAAAACGAAAAACCCAACTACAAAATGTCAACAACAGGTCAAGACGACACCGCACCCACGCGGTCCAGTCAACGCAACAAAGAGAACATGTTACTTAGACCAACTAACAGATCACTTCCCACCTTAATCAGTAACCCGACGCCCCCGTCGAAGGTAACAGATGCAGCTACAGCAAGAGCCGAACTAGTCAGCAAAGGAATGCTTATACCAGCAGCAGGAGCAACAATAGAAGACCTTACAGTAGCAATCTTCGAATTCACGATAAGTGCCCCAGGAGTTACCCAACTCCAGCGAGAAATACTGAGGGCCATCGCAATCCTACATCAGTAAACTAATATGTACTGTACAGAACTGTACAGAACTGGACAGTGCCCAAGGGTGGTAGCTTGGTCCCTCTGTGACAGTGACTCACAGACACACCTATTCTGTGCCACTCTGTACAGAAGCTCACAGATGCTCCAGTGATCACCTCGTGCACAAGTCAAAATTCCACATCACTCTGTACAGAAGCTCACAGATGCTCCAGTAATCACCTCGTGCACAAAACTCAGCCAGATGTGCAGTAGCATAGTAGATCATATTGATAACAGAATGATAAGCGAGATAACACAACGCGGTAATCTAATACAGGAAACAGAAATACTCGGACACGTGGAAATGAAGGCATCAGTCAAGAATGATCTGCAGGTGATCGTGTCGAGCCCCCACAGCTCCGTCAAGCCTCAAACTTGCGGCCTTGTATAAATAAAATTAGTATAGAACAATACACACAAAAGCAACATTCTCGCCATCCAGCTTCAGCCCACTCCCGCAGCTGCGCCAACAACCTAGGGCCATGGTACGGATCCTGAAGAATATCCTTGAGCATTTTGTTCATCTTGGAGTAGACAGGGCTGTATTCCTTCACAGTAAACATCGGGTAGTATTTTCCATCACCGTTCTTCGCGAGACCGTCGAGGATGCAGTTGTACTATAAAGAGAAAACTTAAATCAATATAATGATGTCGAGTAGGGGTAAAAAATACTACCGCTGCGCCAACCAGAGCTAGACATGACGCAGGCAATTGATTGCGGAATATGTCTGGTCGCCTGCGTGCGATTCGGTAAGGCCCCGTGTAAAAGAAGACGATGACAAGTTCACGAAGTGCGGGATGTGCAAAATTCCTTGTTTTCCCCTAAAAAGATCCCGTGAGAATAGCTTCAGTCAGCGCAAAATCACTTACACGTTCGTCTAATCCAAAGTGCAGGAAGAGTGACCCTTTGATTAAGGCAGCAGCAGCATGTTCTATCCACTTTGCGTGTTCGTGAATGGGGACCGAAGGCGGGGGAATGAGTGAGTATAATTGGGGCGCCAGGCTCGCAGCGGATTTCTTCAAATCAGATCGCCAGGTTGCAAGATCATCGTATAACTGCAGTATACATAGATTTGAATTACTGAGAGCAGCGGGAATGTGAGATCACGCCTACCAGCCGAGCCATGTTGGATTTTTGTTGTGGCCAAATCCCTGAATTGCGATGTGAAATGGTTTGGTTTAAGAGGGAACAAATGCTCACCAGCTTCAAATTGTTTGCCGTCCTGGTCCCATGCAATCAAGACTGAAACGAGAACCTCGCTCACAGATGACGGTAAATCAGCAACTAAAGCTGGGAAGGCATTCTCCAGGGCATGTTGTGCGCGGCATTCTCCTTTAGCGTCCTCGAGAAAACATTTCCATCGCGGACCATACCATGCTAGTTGGGTAGGCCTTGGCCCATCGAGTTTCCTTGATCGTTTAGTCCTAGACCGCCGTGTTGGTTGGTCCTCGTCAGACTCGACTTGGTGCAACAACTCCAGGGTTTCAGGATCGGGAAGACATGGCTGGCCGTTCTTCTTGTGATGGCGTCTCAATACGTCGTCGGGCTGCAACATCATGACCTATGAAGAAAAATATTGAGCCTCGCCAAGGATGAGGTTCATTGCCTCACCTGAACTTCACGCGTCTGTAGCTGCGTGGGCGAGGCACCTGGAGGAGCCTTGAAAGGCAAGTAACTGTCAGCACAATACTGGCAAGTCAATGCCAACTCAGCATACCGGTGAACTGCTGGACCGCTGGTTGGACGGCATGGAAGGATCAGCCGTATGTGAGACACTGGTCTGCGCAACTACGTCATCTTCATCGCGGGAATATTGGAAATCAAATTCCGGTGTAGGTGGACGAGTGACTCGAGGTTGTGAAGGGGGCTCATGCCCAGAAAATCCTGGAATTCGTATTAGTAAAATTGTCTGAAAGATGAGGGTAGAAGGCGACTGATCCTGCAGGAGAGTTGCAGATACATTACCTGGATGTTCAGTGCGACGTCCACCAACCCCCCCCCAGCCAATCTGCTGGTGACTTATCTCGTCCTCCTCGTCCTCCTCGTCGTTGTCGTTGTCGTTGTCCTCCTCGCCGTTGTCCCCCTCGTTGTCCCCCTCGCCCACCTCGTCATCGTCTTTATCGAAGCTGATATTCGCTTCAGATGATCGAAGCTCGACCGGATGGACGCCACGCAAGGCTGGGTCGATGTTCTGGTCCATAAAGCCAGCTGGCGGTGCAACCGAATCAGCTACACCAGGGCTGGTTGCGATTTTGCGAGCTGGCATCCGAGCGACTTTCTTCGCAACAGCGGGAGGTAGGCTGTTTGGATCTGGGTCGGGAGGGACAGTAGGTGCATGCGTAGCAAATCCGAATCTTCCTCCAGCCTGACGGATCGAGGGGTTGAGAGGTTGTAAAGGTTCCATGGTACCGACATCTATGGATGAGGTGTTGGTACCATTTGTAGTAGCCGATGAACTATATGGCGGGGGCGCAGCCTAGATGCAAACAATGGACATAAAGAAAAAGAACATGACAACACATCACACCTCTGGATGACGGGTCCGGCCCTTGCGAGGTAGTTCTGGAGCCTGAGGGTTGACAGGAACAGCAGAATCAAGGGACGTAGAGCCCTTAGGTCGGTGTACCCGAGAAGGAGCCTCCAATAACGCGCCAATCTTCTCTAACTGAGCATTCCTACCTCCCGTTCCTGCATTTGCGCGGCCAGAACGTCTGCCAGGTTCATCAGTGCTTGTTCCATCTAGATGAAGCGATACAAGTGGCGTGCTGGATGCCTCAACAGGTTCTGCTGCTCGAGGCTTCTTAGGCTGAGGCTTAGATGCCTCCGAACCTTTGCGCTTGACCTGTTTCTTCGCGCGAGGAGGCATGATGTAGCTACAGCAAACTTGAGCAGAAAGAGGAATAACTGGCGAGAAATACAGACTCACCAGATATTTTATATGATGACGCCTCGAGGTTGGAAGGAATCGCGGGTTCTCCCTAAGCAAATGACACGCCGGCATGATGTGATACGATTTGTCTTGAAAAATGATACGAGTAAGACGAAGAGCAACTTGAAGGAGAAATACGTCTCCAGCTGCCGCATGTCTCCTAAGCGGGCAATCTGCAGTGCACCAGTGAGATTGATTCGAGTCAGTACACGTATATATGAAACCCGAAGAAAGAGCAATTAGTACCCATCTCCCAACAGCTGAAACTTACTGTATTTTTCACCCCCTGGCGTGCCAGTCTCTGAGCCAATATTTCATACCACCATCGCGCTCAAGTCTCTTGAGATCGTACTCCAAGAGAAATCACTTCTTCCTGCTGCGTGTGTTTAATTCTCGGATCAATGAGGCGAATTGAAGAGTAATGCAAGGATAAGTGAGGTTGCATGGGATGAATCGCGCTCAGAAATCATACTCCAAGAGAAATCGCTTCTTCCTGCTGCGTGTGTTTAATTCTCGGATCAATGAGGCGAATTGAAGGGTAATGCAAGGATAAGGATAAGCGAGCTTCAAGTTGCATGGGATGAAGCTGGAGCGAGATTGAGATGGGCTGAGAAAAAATTAGTAAGGAACACGTGTAATGGCGCGCATACAAAAACATAGGTATTGTGAGACGAAACTGCTAAGGAAACATTGGAAAGGAAAATGCGCTACAGCTAAACTAGTATTTGATGACAAGGTCAAAACTCATAGATCCAATCCGAGTCTTCTGATTCCACCGTCGCATGAGCCACCGAGCCTGTATCTGAGTCACTCGCTGGGTCACGTTCCTCGTGCTTCTTCCGCTTGGCCGATTGTGGTGAACTTGAACTTGAAGAACCGCTAGTAGACTCGCCCGCTTCTGCAGCCCGTTTGTTCAAACGGCGAGTGAGTTCTTCAGCAGATCTCCTGAGTTTCTCGGTGGTGGAGGAGCGCTCCTCATCATCCTGAAGGGTGGCAAGATGACGTTCCAAAAGCTCAACAACACGCTCAAACGTGATCCGTATCTCCATATTGTCCTTCAAGATTGAACACCACTCTTTCGCAAGGGGGATAAGTTTTTCGAAGTATGGGTGGAACTGTTTTTCGAGACGGGCCTCCTCCGTTGAGACTGCGAAGAAGAAGACCTTCCTCAATTTGCATACATCGAGGTCGAGACTCGACCAGCTATCTGGCAAAGAGTCTGGTACAGGCTCCTGGCGCTCCTGGTCGTTAGGGCCGCTGTACTTGATGCAAACATAGACGAAGACATAGAAAAGAGACTCGAGGTCATCCGCAAAGCTTTGAGTGACGCGAGATGGGGGCAGCGCCAAAGTTTTGGATGAGGATTTGCGAGCTTCTTGCTGTGCGGCCTTGGCCTGCAATTCTGCCATTTGGGCGAGAAGCGCACGTGACATAAAAGGGATCGTGCCCTGATAAACCAGTCAACAAAATTTTAAGTGTTCAAGGACGATATACTTACCGTACCACCAATAGAATATTGATCATTCGAAGTGATGAATACCGCAAATTCCCAATCAATCAACAGCCCGTTACTGTCATTAGGCTCCCCCATGATCATTGCATTGTAAAGACTACAATCACGATGCAAAATACCGCGTTCTGCTGCTTTGCGTTGGACTAGAATACAAGTAAATCAATGCAAGACTCGTGTGTAATCAAATAAAACTCACTGATAGTAATATCTCTAATCGCTCTCACGAACTCCTTCAGTGTTCGAAATGCATGAAGGGGGCGAGCGCAGGGCCTCATGACGAGGCGAACGTGCGTACGATGAGTGCCTCGAATACTTGGTTTTTCCGCGTGACGATAATCCCGTGTCTGGTCGACAATATTATCTGACCTTTCGACCAGCCAGTAATCGAACAGCTCTGGAACACCATGTATACCGCTCATCGCCTTTAGCATGTTGATTTCGTTCAAGACTTTCGCCTCGCCACCCTGGACCCAGTGATCTTTGACAATGTATTCTTCTCCATCCAGACTAACCAAATAACAGACAGTTCCGCGACCAATGAGGCCCTTTGTGGTAAAGAGAATTTTGAGGATAGTGTAAACTTTATCTTTAACACGGATCTGGCCGCAGGGTTGTGCGGGCGATTGATGAGTGTGTGGGAAATGGGAGGGGTGGGGGTTAGAGCTGAAGGTGGCATCCGGGTCAGCCCCCTGCTGAGGAGCCTGAGATATGAGGTTCAACAAGGGAGCGCTAGTGACCACAAGGGGTTGGAGCAGAGTATGCGAGGGAGGGGGAGGGGGAGGGGGAGGGGAAGGAGGGAGGGTAGTGAGCTCTTCTATCGGGTCGTTGAAAAACTCGAGATCGTCATTAAATTCTGACTCGAGAGGATCGTCAACGGGGGAGATCGACTCGAACTCGGCCTCATGATTAGCGGGCAGTTCCTGGGGATTCTTGTGCAACGCAGTGAAAGGCTCGCTAACATGTTCGGCGGGGATGGTAATACTCCGATTAGTACGGGTAGGAAGGTTTTTGAATGGGCGATGATCGGGTATCTTTGTACCCGGGGGTGGGGGAAGTGAAATACTTTTCCAGAAGGTAACCGTGGAATCGTACCCGATACATTCAGGGCTGCCAAAGAGAACAGCAGCGATGATATGGGTGAATGAGTCTGGATTCTGATGGATCTGGATGCAGGGGGTTACAACCCCACCAGCGTGGTCGTACAACAGGACGCGCAGTTCGCGATATTGGTTTGTGAAGGAGAGTATGAATGCAAAACGCCTCCAGGGCTGGTTGCTCAGAAGTAAATACGCCTGGGTATCTGCGGCCTTCGTAATCCGCTGTGCAGGCTTATACTGACTGTATGTCAGCTCAGCGCATACACGAATATTGCCCCACTTGGGCTTGATATCATCGGATAGCACAAGATCAGGCTTGCGCTTGATATCGCTGCCAGACACTGCAACAGTAGAATTGCTTGCGCTCCATGTGCGGGTTGCGGATCTTGGTGTGTCCAGCTTTTTGGCCATAGCCGTACCAAGAGCGTTGAAGAATGAGGAGAATATCTCTTCGTGTGTGAATCTCTCGGCACCTGTTTGTGGAAGAGCATCGTTTGAATTGGTGGATGACGGAGGTGGTGTTGTTGGAAGGGCCCAATTCCAAAGTCTAGCTTCGCTATCGTACAATGGTATGATATCATCCGGGGAGTGTTGACTGAAGAGGGTGTTGATCCGTGCGTTGCGATGAAGGATTTTACTGAGTGGGATTTGGAGAGTGTGTGCCTGAGGGACATTGGCTGTGAATGGCTTGAAAATCAGAGGGAGTAGGTGGCCTAGCGAGCCATTTGCCAGGGATTGAGGTTCAGTTATCACCAGACGGTCGAGTTCGATGGTTGTCATTTTGTTCAACGAAGCGACGTCGTTGGCAGGCACTGTCATCAATGACGCTAATTTTATTCCATCGTCAATTGTCCTATAAAAGTGCGACATGTTGGCGCGCTGAGTGAGACAACAAAGGGACGATGAGAGCGAGACAATTCCTTATCGCCGCAGTCTAACTGAAAATAATCGAAGATTCATACGAAAATAACTAGGGTTAGCCAAAGCAGGTATATTACAGTTCAAAAGATAGTGCTACATTGAAAGAGGGATGAAAATGTTTTTGTCCCAGTACTTATTGAGCCAGAATTCCGATGCATGCTCCATACTGTTATATTGAGTGAGGCGAGGGTCCGCGCTTGCGCCAAAGCGAGGGACAACATTAACAGGCGCCCTGAGCTGGGTGACTGGTATAACATCACCAATGCGAGTCCCGTTTGACCGCTTCGCCCTCTTGAGCAGATGTAGCTGCGTTGCTGATTCGCGCTCGCTATTGCTAGTAAAGCGTTGCACATAAGTGAGGAAGCGATCCTTCCAACCCTCAGGTGTGCCTGTCTTTCTAATCGGACGCATAATGAGCCGGACTTGAGCGATGACGTGGCCTGAGAACAGTTAGAGAGCATTTGATATAATAGAAGAATATCAATCACCACAAAGACCATCAGCAGGCCATGAGTGCCCATCCTCGTTATTGACGATAACGGTGTCATATCGACCGAAGCTCCAGATGTCAGAAGGTGGTGCGCAGTTCAGGGTCTGCGCAGGCTGCACATTGGTGATATCATGAAATTCGGTGTTCTGAAGCCGAAGTTTAAACCATATCTGTAGTTTATCAAATGGAAGCGAAGCATTGGACCCAGCCCTCCTAGCCCCCCCCAAGCGGATGAACATGATGATAACCGTGAGTATCCTCACGACGAAGGAAATCGGCGATGGCTGGTCGTAAGTCGGGAAGGCCGAATTTAATGGCAGCATCGTTGACAGAGATGACCCTGATTGATGGGCTGTAGGCAAGATGAAACGCTGTGCATCCAACAACGAAGGTGCGCAATGGTAGAGGGACTGTTCCTACCTCCCTGTGCTGGAGGACCTTTGCGATTGCAAAGTAGTCGGTGATCGGACGTGCATATCCAGGGCACTTGACTGTAGACCAGAGGTCTGCAGGGAGGTCATCGTCGACATCAGAATCGACGGTGTCATCGTCAACGTTGAGGTGTTGGTCCAGGTTGGTTTGCAGCGTCAAGTCTAACAGACTTGTTGCGAGGTCAAAACGACGGCATTTGTCCGCGCGGTCAAGGTGGCGACATATTTGCGAGTCGTAGTTGTTGTTATTGCTGGAACGTGCGGGATCCTTGATCTCAGTAATATGTGCGTGCTCCGTAGCGTCTGCGCTCCACTGCATGGTGACACCAGTGTTGCGTATACTGGGAGCTACATTCTGCATGAGCTCTATCTTCGGAATATACCAGTTGTCGATAGGCTTATTGCCCTTTCCACGACGAAGCCCAGCAGCCGTGATCGCGTGTTTGTTCGCGTGAAATTCGGCCAGTGCTGCGGAAATACGCTCGACATTGCGATCATTGATCCGTGGTGACTGTATGAGATAACGGAAATCCATCAGAGCTCGTACAGCAGTCATAACAGCGCTGGGTACCGCATCCGCACTGACCGCAATAATCGAGCGCTGTATATCCCGTTGGGCACGCCCTGTGACCTGCTTCAGCTTTGAAATGCCACCATGAAAGTGGCGAAATCCTGTCACAGGCTGCAGTGCCGAGAAGCGAAAATCGATTTCTGCATCCTTCACCACACATATGATCCACTTCACGTCGTGGTCGAAAAACTCGCGGTGGATATGGTGAAGATTTTCGGGAGTAAGGAAGTGTGACAGATCAGCAAAGAGCCAATCCTGCCAGAAAGGTTTGTCGACACCATTTAAACGAAACTTCTGCGCTTCGCGGAAGAAAGACTCGATGTCACTGGGATCAGCCTTTCTCCGGACAGCAGCTAGTTGTGCGAGCATCGTAGAACCAGTTCGAGGCTCATGTTGGAAAGGGTCGCCAAATAGTTTGAACATGGCCATGGTGACCGGGGAAGTTTTGCCACCAACGGTAGCCAGCATCATGGCCTCTGGAGTGTCGACGATGTAGCTCGCGAGAGGAGTAAAGCAGTAGTGACTATGTCCAGCGGGATCTGACAACATAATCCCCTCACGGGCGGCCTGCTTAAGCGGCTCTAAAACAATATCCAGACATTGGTGGACTAGGCGATCCTCCAGTACGCCACGCATGCGTTTCTTCTTATGAAGGAACTTCGGCACGGGAAGTAGGGCAGTGAGCACGAAAGAGTTGGATGAGGTCTTGAGTCGGGTGGACATGGGTACATTGGCGAGGCTTACGAGGAGCGGGTGAGCGACTCTGTCGCCCGTCATCATTGATATATTCGTCTTGTCGGAGGATAGGATGGTCCCAAGCAGCGTCGCACCTCGTGGTAGAGCCGACTACGTTGAAAACGATGAGTACTGCAACTGCCTTGCGCAAATGAAAACACGCACCTGCATCTTCCACGCGTCGTCTCCTGTCATCCATTCGGAGTACACACGGCACAGTCGTTGCGCCGTGGTATATACCTTGCGGGGCGTAAAGTCTAACTGGTCGTGAAAGCGCAGATGGTTGAGTATGCTGGAGATACAATCCAGGGGGTCACACCAATATAATACGACTGGTGATTTCGTCGGATGCGTCGTCTTAATCACTTCGGACATCCAGCATGGACCGCTCGGCAGCATTTCTGCTCTGCCTCGCAGTTCCTTGGCCGAAGAGAACGACAGAGGAAGACCCTGAATCTTAACATACAATTCATTAGACTAAAATGATTAAATACATTGAGTACCTACCATGGCGAGTGACAAAAAACTATCTATCTTCCCCATACTTAACCCCGAACGAAGTAGCCACGACGCAAGTTCCCAATCTTTCCGGCCACTGAATGGGTAGTATAAATTCCTTGCGCGATGCACGCTGTTTTCGTCTGAGTTGAATAAGTCCAGGAAGGTATGACCTGCGCCATATGACTGAGAAGCTCCGCGGAACCAGTTGATGAAGTCCGAGTCACCGGTCAGTGGTATTTCTTCATCAATGAGCGCACCGGTAGAACCACCTTCGTCGAAATTGACACCATCTCCATCTCCAGTATCCTCACTCCAGCCTCTAGATCTGTCATGCTCCGAGTCTTCGTAGTACGTATTTTCGTTGTCGTTGTCCACGTTCATAGTAGTGTCGATAGATTCATCCAGTCGTATAACGTCTTGTAGCCAGGTGCTGCATCCTGAACGAGGCTGATTCATATGGCGGGCCACGGCGACCTCGTCCTTGAAACCACCTCTGCCGCACGAGGGACACTGAAACATATAGGGTATGGGAACATTTATCAGTGTGAGAAAAGACATCTTGCATATTAATATAATATACCATCAGAGACGAAGTTCGGAACTCACCGAACCTACTGTATAGAACAAACCTTTCACGCCCGCATGCAAGTGTCATATCATTTGCTGCTTACTATGTCGAAGTCGGCTCCACTTGTTAGTCTCAATATTCACAAGCACTTCCCTACTAGTGCCTCAACCCCAACACATTCTCGCTGCCATCGCTGCCATATTTCGCATGCGGCTCACCATCAGTGTCTCCCAGCCCTGGTGAAAACGGATATTCACGACCGCGATCTCTCAGAATTGTACGATGTCGCTGATGCTATGGGCTCTGTGGTAAGTGTATTAATATCTATGTCAGTGACTACCAGCTAATGCCTAACATACTTGTAGACCATCGAAGACACGGACGACCTCGAAGCTAACTTGCTTATGGAACTCGCGAGAGCCAGACGAGAGATACTCAGAGCCGAGAAATCACTGGCTGATTGTATGGTCCGCGAGCATGAAGTTCTGGCAGATTTATCGAAGTTCAAATCCAGCATATCCGAGCGCAGACTTGATATGGCAGACATTGGATTGGGGCGCATGCGGGTCGCCTTTAGAAACCATGGTCTTTTCCACAACGCGCTTCCTCATCATGCTCTACACAGTAAGTCTCCCGAAATTCAGATATTCACGGTACTATACTCGACCAGTTACAGGTTCTCCCGTTGAGTCGCAGGCTACTGGTCAAAACATCACTATCCAGTTGGATTGATGCGGGACGGGTGTATTTTATCGCACTATTTTTTGTATTATGTACTGTCGCATACATTCAATCAAGTGTTTTTAACAGAATTCTACTAAGTTATTGACTGATCTATCTTATTACTAATTACCTGTTCTGTGCTTCTATGTGTTGTGTAGCGCTGTCTGCTCTAAGCGTCTGTGGACAACTGGGTGAAATTATACAGCGCGAGCGCTGGTGACCTTGATAACTGCGGGTTCTGTTAAAGCTGTGCTAATTACCTGTCTGTGCTTCTATGTGTTGTGTGAGCGCTGTCTGCTCTGTGAGCGTCTGTAGACAACTGTGTGAAACTGTCAAAATAGGTAATATCTGGGGAGAAATTTGTGTTTTACTGATGTACTGGGACAAGCAGAACACGAACAGCAAGCAAACAAAATAGCACTTACGACATCCTTCCACATGGCGGGAGCCATAGAACGTCTGGAGAAAACAGCGGATGCACACGACGGAAAAATAGCAGCGCTGGACAGCTTCGTAAACGAGGTGCGTGATTCGATCGACAGCGCAATGGCGAGACTTGAGAAGGCAGTCGAAAAGACTTTCGAGGCCACGCACGAAACCTGCACCGAGACCCATGCTACTAATCCTGACCCTGCCAACACGAACCAAGCGAGAACGTATGCAAACGCCCTCCAGAACAGACTCCCTAAACCAGACTCGAGCACCCTAGCACGAAGCGAAGCTCAAGCGAGACAAATACTCGTAGACCGCAAATCGCTCAGCGAAACCTCGGGTCTCAAGGACCTATCTGAAGCAGAGCTAGTCCGAAAGGCAAACAAAGCGCTGGAGGACATGAAAGCAGACAAAAAGGATGTCCCACAAGACGCCGCTTTCACAAGCGCTCGCAAACTGCGACACGGAGGAGTGATCTTCGAAGTTGACTGCACTGACACGAAAGCCTGGCTCTCATGCCAGAGCAATAGCAAATCTTTCAGCGAACACTTCGGAAGCAGCACAATGATCAAAGACAAGACCTTTCAAGTAATAGCGGAATACATGCCAACAACTTTCAATCCAGAACTAGCCTCGTCACTAACAGAAACAGAGAAAGCCAGTAAACTCCTCCCAGGATCAATCATCAAAGCGAAATGGATCAAACCTCCCGCCCGCCGCAACCCAGGCCAAAGGACAGCCTTCTGCACCATATCATGCAAGGACCGCGAAAGTGCTAATCAAGCCATCCGACTAGGCTTAACGATAGAAGGACGCAAGATCTCAGCACGCAAACTGCTCCCAGAGCCCACTCGCTGCCTAAAATGTCAACAACTAACTAGTGAACACATGGCAAGCTCCTGCAGCCAAACAGTAGACACATGCGGAACATGTGGAATGGACCATCACACCTCAGAATGCGACTTCGGCAAAGCAGACCCCCAACACCATTACTGCGTCAATTGCAACCTCCAGGGACATGCCGCATGGAGCCGCGACTGCCTGATGTTCATAAACAGAAGCAACAAGATGCACAGCAAATCAGAGGAGGCACGCTACAAGTATTTCCCTATGGAAAACAACCCAGATTCCTGGGAAACAATTGGAGAAGGTAACCCCGCGACAAACCAACTGCCAGCATTCAACCAGTGGACTCAGAACGCCACCCACGAAGCAGACTATGGAAGACCAAGACCGCAACAAATAAACCAGAACTGGACGCGAGTGGAAAACAGCGGAGGCAGGATGAGAACGCAACAGCAGACCCGCACCACCGACCACGGATGGCCAAATCAACAAAGGACGAACGGACAACCATCCCAGCGAAAATGCGCGAGACAAGCAAGAATCACGGACCTCTTTGCAGCACAAGAATCCAACAACAACCCAGGACCATCTAACACCAAGAACACCCCAGCAAGCACCCAACGGAATGTCAACACCCCAACAAACCGCCCAAACCACCCCAACACTCATTCAACGACCCCCCCTCCCTCAACACCTCGACTACTCCAACACTCAACAAACGCACTAATACCAGGAAGCTTCTCCCCCGGACCCCCCTCATGAATAGCCACGCCCAAAACAACGAACCTGACCGCACGTATCTAAGAATCTGGCAACAAAACCTCCACACGGCGCAAGCCGCCCATGAACACATGCTGCGCAACCTTAACCCGAACGACTACGACCTAGCGATCATTCAAGAACCATACATCAACCCGGTCAATTTGGCCCCAAGTTCCTCCCGATGGGACATAGTCTACCCTTCGACGCACGGCGACAATGGAGTGGAACGTACTAACTCAATTATCCTAGTGAACAAACGCCTATCAAAAAATACCTGGAAGAATGTCCCATTCAAGAACAGCAATGTAACCGCAATCGAATTCAAAGGTAACACAGGTAAAATTCTAATCTATAACGTATACAACTTGTGGCGGCATATGCGCACGCTCGCAGAACTCGAGCAGCACATCGACAACCTAACGGAAACGAACAACGCCCCAGACAGCATGATATGGATGGGGGACTTCAACTGCCACGACCCGATGTGGGACGACACCGCTAACCATCATTTATTTACAGGTCCAAACCTCCAACGATCCACCACCCTCATCAACCTCCTCGCTAAACACGACATGCGCATGGCCCTAGCAAGAGGAACAGCAACACTCGAAGCAACGGGAACAAAGAACCGAACACGACCGGACAACATCTTCTGCAGCACAGACCTGCTCAGCTCATTCATCTACTGCGACGTAGAAGAAGAACTCCGCCCGGTCTCAGCAGACCACTTCCCCATAATTAGCACGTTGGACCTCACTCCAGTACACATCGACCCCAAACCTCGACGCAACTACAGAGCAACCGACTGGGAAGAATTCCGCGACACCCTCAAGCAAAACCTCAATGCTCTCCCGCCGCCAAAAGAGATAGAAACGGTAGAGTACTTTCACGCCAGACTCCACACCCTCCAAACAGCCATACTAACAGCCATCGAAACGAAAGTCCCGATGAGCAAACCCTCCCCCCATGCCAAACGCTGGTGGTCAGCGGACCTCAACCTCACAAACAGAGAGCTAAAGAAGCTAGCCAGAAAAGTCAAGAAGAAACACCAAGAACCCACTCACCCCATCCATGAAGAACACCGGCGAGCCAGGAACGACTTCTCAGAACTACAGAAGAAAACAAAGGAAGAACACTGGAAAGCCTACCTGGAAGACGTTGACGAGGGTAATATTTGGGACATTCACGACTTCCTAACAGATGCGCCAGCAGACCGGATACGCTCACGCATCCCAACCCTCGCAGAGAAACCAGGAGACAGACCAGCGGAAGACAACGCGGAAAAGAGCGCACTCCTCTACAAAACCTTCTTCAGAGAACCCCCGGCTGACAACTATGTGGACCCCGAATTCCGATACCCAGAACCCATCTGCGAATTCCAGAACATAACGGATGCTCAGATAGACAGGGCAATCAAGAAACTCTCAGCCTTCAAAGCACCAGGACCGAACAGCGTCGGCAACTCAATATTCATCAAAGCAAGAGAACTACTCACACCACAGCTAGGTCCCATTTTTAGAGCTACCTTCACGCTAAAAGTCTACCCAGAGCAGTGGAAACACTCGTCAACGATCGTACTCCGTAAACCTGGACGCGCAAACTACACCCTCCCTAAATTGTACCGCCCAATCACGCTAATCGACACGATGGCCAAGATACTCTCATTGTGCGTATCAGAAGACTTAGTCTGGATCGCGGAGGAACACAACTTACTCCCCACGACGCACTTCGGAGGAAGGCCGGGACGATCAACGGTCGACTCCCTGCACCTACTGACCAAATTCACAATGGACGCCTGGGCACACCCAACTGACCGCTTTGTCTCAATGCTCTTCCTAGATGTAAAAGCCGCATTCCCCAGCGTAGTAGTTGAACGCGCACTCCACAACATGCGTAAACGGAGAATCCTCAAGGAATACATCGAGTGGTATCAGAGGAGACTACAAGGCAGGAAAACCACACTCTCATTCGATGACTACACATCAGAAGAATTCAATGTGGAAAGCGGTATAGACCAAGGCTGCCCTCTCTCCGTTATCGTGTTCATCTTCTACAACGCTGACTTACTTGATACGACAGACGGACACGAAGGCACGATGTCACTCGGATTCATCGATGACGTCGCTTTGATAGCACGAGGCCGATCCTTCGAAGAGGCAAATAATAAACTCACGCTAGTTATGGAAAAAGAGGGCGGCGCACTACAGTGGAGCAAGGAACAGAATGCCGAATTCGAACTAGAGAAAACGGCCCTCTTGTGCGTTTCAAGATCATGCAAGAAACACCCCACAGTACGCAATAAGACCATCCCGATCCCAAGAATCCCCATCACGATCAACGGCCAACGAATTCCCCCCGTTAAGTCACATAAATTTCTAGGCATTATAATTGATCACGAGCTACGCTTTAAGGAACATGCTACATACGCCCTAGCAAAAGGCACGAAGTACGTACTCGCTTGCAGAAGAATGGCGAAGCCATCGAGAGGGATACGAGGAAGACTAATGAGAAAGCTGTATGAGGGAGTCGTGGTACCGAAGATGTTGTACGCAATAGACGTGTGGGGAGCGGGACTAGTGAAGAAAGGAAGGAGTAGAAAGAACAATGGAAGGGGGGTGAGAGGCTTTGGGATGAAGATGGCGAGAGTCCAACGGATGGCGGCGATTCTCATAACGGGAGGAATGCGAACGACGGTGACGGATGCACTAGACGCACACGCCAACATACTCCCCTTCCAACAGTTACTACGCAAAGTCTGCTGCAGGGCATCCCTCAGAATGTCAACTCTACCACCAACACACCCCCTCTATAACGAGCTCCGGAAAGCCACCCGCCAAAGGAAACACCACAGAACGCCCATACACGAACTCCTCCGAGAATTTGCCATTGACCCCAGGACAATAGAGAAGGTAGACGCAGTCCGCCACAACCCCAAATGGGACCCAGACGCAAAGATCAGAATCGCGCCCACGAAGGAAGAAGCGGCCAGAGAAGACGAGGAAGCAGAAGAGGTAGTGAGGATCTACTCAGACGGATCAGCGATAGATGGAGGAGTTGGAGCAGCAGCGGTACTCACGAGAGAAGGACGACATCAGCAAACGTGCAGGTGCCTGGGCGCACCTGGTGAGTACCTGGACGTCCTGGCGGCGACCTGGATGGTCTGGCGGCCTGGAGGGTGATTCCTTCTCACGTATGCCAAACTTGACTGAAGCAAAACTTTGATTGAGATCTACTAGCTACTCCCTACCATGAATTCCTTGTACATTAGATACAACATGTATACTTAGAACACAATTTCATGTGCATGATGATCTGCATACTTATTTACATAGTAAGAATTGAACATGTCAAGAGAATGAGCAAAATGAAAACCATCGGGGAGGGGACCGCTGCCAAAGACGGGGATGAGATGAGCACTTCGAAGAATGGTATCGACATGCTCCACAGACTGAACACGAGCTCCGTGTGCACCAGTAATCTCGGGCTTCACCTTCCACATGCCCGTCACTGAATCTGGGCCTCTCCCCATCCGTGAAAACCTGTCGATCAACACACAAGGGTATGTCACACCCTCAAAATGAAAAGAAAAGAAAAGCTTAACACGGCCAATGATCATGCCCCTCATACCAGTTTTTTCCTGGTCCTCGACGATGAAGACACAGTCGTGTCGTGGATCCTTACGGCGCCACGACGGAGTGCATCGAATTGACTCGCGACGCATGCCGTGAGTCCCAGATATGTCGCTTGGAGCCGAGAAAGTGGCTATTGCGGAGTGGAACACAGCAATTGGAGTGTCAATGATGGGTAGTTCATCCGCGGGGATCAGGTGCACATCATGTTCATAGTTGGGATGTAACTGGTTGAAAAGGAAGTGACGAGGAAGGAGGGGGAGTTTCGGCTGCCGAATATGTGCTGCCAGGGTTTCAAGTGATCGTGGGTAGCCACGTTCTGGGCGACTGCATCAGTACTAGTATAGTAGATCACAACTTGAAAAAATACATACGAGGTGTTCGAGCTAGTATCACGGAGCCTTCAACCAAATACATATCTGGTGCATCATTTTCTGCACCTTCATCAGCACCGTCTACGAAGTTAAAGGAATTGCGAGTCAGCGGAGGCAAGTGAGATGGTGGAAGGAGACCACGAGCTACGAACTCAACACGAGCCGCCGCAAGCTTATCCAGGCGTTGGTTAGTAAGTAACATCTGACCGAGTGCTTCATAACGATTTGAACGACGCCATGGTTTCTTGACAGCGGTGATGTGGCGAGACTCGGTTATTGATGAGCAAAGGCCATTGGGTGCGCCATATTCCTGAATGAGACGGACATAGTGCACAAGGGAATGCTGCCGTGGGAGTGCAAATCCCTTTGGCCGAACACCAGACTCCCGAAAAATCTCACGCGTCTCATGAAAGTGCTGCAGCGCTGCAACAATTTTGTCGATGGTATCTTCACCAAGTTCAGACCGGCGGACTAGGTAGCAAAAGTCGAGGAAAGAGCTGAAACACTCTATGAGCTGCACAGGAACATATTCGACTATGGCGGGGATGTAAACCTAGTAGTTTAAGTATACAACAGTCAGCAATCAAAGTCACGCTACACATTTGTGCACATACCTTCATCAAAGCCTTGGAATCGTCCCCCGTCCACTGCTTGAACCGGCGACCATGAGGAAACCTTCGGAGCCCAGGAAAAGCAGGTGTAGCAGCAATACTACAAGTTATTCAGTACTCAACTCAGGCTGTAACCGGATTCACGCACCGATGGTCTATGTCGTCGATGATCTCATTCGCTCGTGCTTCCCCGTGGATCTCCTCGAGGTATTTGCCGGTCCAAGTAACGAGGTGGTCCTTAAAACAACCCTTGATGACTTGATGCAGCAGGTCCGGGGAAATCATCTCGTGAATGTCGGCCCGCGGGAAATCATTGGTGAACGGCTGGGCACACAAATACTTAAGTCAGTCAATGAAAGTTAACAAAATGGTAACAGACGCACCACCACATCATCATCGATCCCGTATTGGTCCCTACAACACGTCTGAAGTGAGTGTTTCCACTAGGACCTCGGTATATTCTCGTGTCCGTCGTTCTGCGGTGCTTCCATCAAGGTCCTCGGGCAATGCAGTGCACTTTGCACACCAATTTTGGACTATCCCGGCAAGCATAACTTGCTCGGGATAATCCGCTATGAAAGCCGCTAGATCATAGATCACACGGCGAAAGTGGCTGTCTGGACATTGACGGACGATGGGGGTTGTCATGGGGGCTCGAAGTGGCTGAAGGATGGCAGCAATCGATGAATGGTATAGTTGACGCTTGAAGGTTCGGAAGTGAACATCGTTGTCGTATTTGCGATCCGCTGGTGAAGAAAATCATCAGCCATGAGTATGACACTAAACAGTAAACTCACCCTTGGGTATAGCAAGGAAGCCTATCGGTGTCACAGCATTACGATGGGCTCGACGGACAGAATTATGCGGGTTGCCAATAGACAAGTACAGGGGATGGTACTCGACATGGCCGGTGGCTACAGAGACAGTGGTTTTGTCACTTCCCAGAATGACTCCCACATACATTGCGCCGTCGGTAGATGGATCGTTTGTGAATATTGTATCCTACAAGCAAAATATTAGAGTCGGACGTAATTCGAAAAAAAATCATCTTACCGATTTGCGCCATGCATAGTTGCCTGACATGAAGTCCTTCCAACGTCGTTTGCCAGCAGTGTCGTAGTGAATATATGGCGCATAGTCAAATTGACCATCAAAGTCCGGATTCGCCAACATAGCCTGGATAACGGCCTCTGGATCGCGGTACCATACTTGATATTCTGCTTGTTTCCACCGTGGTACGTCTGAGGCCGAAGTACCATCACTCAGCGGCGAGGCTGAGAAACATTGCCAGGGAATATCGCCAGCTCGGATTGCATCGATTGTTGCGTAGACATCACAGGTGGGACTTGAATGGGCTGTCTTCTTCATACTTCGCAGCTTTAAATGCCCATAACTCCATTAGAAAATCTATGTTAGCAGCCGACATCTCTTCACGGCGGAACAAAAAGTCGGCAAGCAGAAATTCCGCTTGATCGCCGAATGGGCCCCAGTCATCTTGAAGGCCAACATGGCGTGCGGGTATGGGTGCATCGGGAGGTAACATATTACCCTCGTGGTCACATGGATCACCTAAGAACCAAACTTGTCATATTAGTACTGCAAACGAAACAAGCCAATTGAATCATTTACCTCGAAGATGTGGATGGCGGTGGTATTGTGGCTTAGAACGACCTTCATGCTGAGCAATAGGATCTTCTGAATGATGGTGATCGTGGCCATCGTGGTCCAGATCAAAATCAGGACCGTCGTAGTCGAAGTTAGATGGTCCATCGGAAAGAGTGTCGACAACAGGAATAGAACTGTGATGGGTGTGAATATGTTTGGTACGTCCACGTTGAGATTTGAACGTCGCGGGACAGCCAGGAAAAGTGCATCTGAGTCGTCCAAGCATATTCTGTGCAAGTGGGACGATCAGGCGATCTGGCAAGTGAGACATGTCAGCTGGCACACAATATCTTGGCTTGTTTGCATGAAACAAACCTTGAAAAAAATTGCGCCATCACAATCACACTCAGAGTCAACCACTTACCACCAGAAAAATATGGCTCGCCCGACTCGTTCTACAGCAAATACCCATCCTGCTAACATTTTGCTTGAAGGCAAGATCAAGCGCCGCACGCTGGCCGAAAAACAAGCGCAAGATGCTGCATTGGCCACCAAACGTCAAGTTGAAGCGGCTAGAGAGGATAAACAACATCAAGATGGAATCAAACGTATTGCAGCAATGGAAGACTCACTCAAGCGCGACGATCGACATTATGGCAAGGATACCCCTCCTTATTGCCCTGCCGTAACTGCAAAACCGAAGGCAAAGGCATACTATGCAGTTCAAGATGGTCAGGTTTCTCGGTTTCTCATACTTGCAGTATTCAGCTCACCAAAGTAAAAAAAAAATAGGGAAGAACGATGATCCCATGTCGGATGAACAGCAAACCGGGTCAGACTTCCAGCCATCGGTGGCATCAGACTCCGAGTCAGAAGCCTCTCGATCAGGAGACCAGGGACGATAGCGACAGTAATGTGGAGCTTGATGGGGATGAGGAACTTGATGGGAGCGGGAGCGACGAACACGTTCGTAAGCGTGCAACGTCTAGTAAGAAGCGTGCAACGTCTAGTAAGAAGCGTGCTACATCTAAAAAAAAAGTGAGAAAAGTCAAACAAGGCTCAAAGAAATGCATAGCGTGAAAACACTTACTTTTTCAGAGTCGCACATTCCGCAATGAAGTAACCAATGTGAGGAGTACCGTTGCCACAGCAGGTAGTCTGGCGAGGAAGCGCAAGACCGCTGAGACGCAGAAACCTGGAGATGGTGAAGCTGATCACAATGGACGGTAAGTGAACATGCCTCTGGATTGTCAATTATGTTGACATACCAAAATTATAGGCCCGCACAGGCCAAACGTGCGAAGGGTGGCCATGCAAGTAACCTGCAAAGTAACTGGAAGAAGATTGTCGGGTCAGCATCAAAGTCAGCGCAGTATACTAATTCGTCAGAAGCAGGTCTCATACCTTCAGATACACACTCCCATCCATCCTCTCGTGCATCTTCAGTGCATACCAGTACCACCACTCCAAGTGTTGACGAAGGTGAATTTGACCACGACGAATCGGCGGAGTTGCTCGCTGCAACTCGTAAGAAGAAGGGCGGTGATCCAAAGGAGAAGACATCGACCTTGGGGCGACCAGGCTCTGGTCCGAAGTCAGGACGCACAACTGCTAATGTAACGATCATCCACTTACATGAGACATTGCTGACAATATATGATTCAGATGGGTCTGACCTTGATACATAAGCCAGCTGATGACGCTGTTGATGAAGAAGTCAAACGATCGCGTGATGACACGCATAAACCGATCAGGAAGTTGAAACTCGAAGACTTGCCTTTTGCAGATAAGAAGGACTTCGACATCTGGGCGCGCTTCATCTGTGCGATCATTGACTGGGCTGGGACAACCACTGATCCGTTTGGCACCAACGAACATCCTGACCTCTCCACCAAGCTCCAGGAGTTATGGGATGTTCTGTTCCTGCATAATAAGGTTGAGGTGGCCAAATGTCCGGCCATCAAGAAAGTGGTACGTGGCAGTCCGAATTCATTGTGTCGAGCATTGATTGGTGACTTTGCAGGCGACGGACCGGCTGAACGAATGGCGGAGCATGCTGGGCAGGAAAGCCATCAAGATTCTTGAGCATGAACTCAGGAAGGAGGAGTACAAGACTGACATCACCGCACGTGTCCAGTTCATCCAAGCTCTTCTCCCTCACAAAATCGACGGTCAAAAGCGTGTTCCTTTTATTTATTTGGATCCTGAGGTAAGTACTATGTCACTTTACAATCAGGCAGTTCTCATTAATATCCTACTACTACAGAATCTGAAAGGGTCATGGCTGGGTCCGATGCTGCTCGAGTTGCTCGCTACCCATGCAAAGCGCTGTGGCACGTCATTCCAAGCCTTCGGTAAGCCCTCGGGTGCGCTCGGTATGTGTGCAGCTGCGGTGAGTCTCATATTGTTGATTCACGTGGTCACACGAACTTATCCTCTACTGCCTTTCCCAGGTACACCGCGCACTATTTTTGTATAAAGACGGCGAGTCGGCCAAAGAAGCAGCTAAGGATGCCAAGCGTTCTGGTATCACCACCGCACCTGCTAAAAATGTGGCTTTCGATGCTGCCTGGGGTAGTTTGGCTAACCAATACTCTGCACAGACAGTCAAGCTTCCTGGAGAAGAAGTGGGATCAGGTTCTCAATGGAATGTGGGAGCTTGTGGGCGACGATTCTCTGTGGAGCCGTTTGCCTATGACTGACGGCGGTGATGACGACTCGATGGACATTCGCGACGCCATCCCATTGTCGGATGATGAAGATTTCAGCATTTGGTGAGTCTCATTTTCGTTTAACAAATATCTAGGCTGATGTTGGTGACCTCACAGATAGTCTGTATACTATTATGTCTTGAATATGATACATTGTGCTCGTTTACTGAAATACAAGGGATTTCTACTGAAAATCCGGCTGTCTGTAAGGTGCCTGCGAGTGATCTGGTGGCGGTCTGTGAGGTGCCTGGACACCATCTGGTGCCAGGCATGACCGTCTGGTCATGGCTGATTCATCTGCGCACAGGCTCGAATCTGGAGGCCTGGAGGACTGGATCCAGTACATCCAGACCGTCCAGGTCCATCTGCACGTTTGCTGATGGAGAACAGAAGACCTTACACTTCCACCTTGGACCGTTGGCCAAGCACACAGTCTATGAGGCCGAAATAGTAGGAATGATTCTGGGCGCAGAACTGCTACGCCGCGAACCAGGAAAACCCTCAGCCAGACTATGCGTCGACAACCAAGCGGCCATTCTAGCCACACAGTCCTTTAGAACCAACCCGGGTCATTACCTGATGGATATGTTCCACAGAAACCTCGAACGCGCGCTAATCAAACGAGACGAGGACCACATAACGATCCACTGGACCCCGGGACACGCGGACATAGAAGGGAACGAGTCAGCCGACGTTGAGGCCAAGAAAGCGGCAGGAGGACTGTCCAGCCCTCCAAACAACCTACCCAACTGCCTACGAAAACACAAACGCAACGGACTCTCCTCCTCAATCCTACTCCCGTGCAGCAAATTGGCGCTGAAACAACGACGCTATGACCAACTCAAGTGCAAAGGTCAGAAGGTCATGCACGACTCACCACGCTACCCGCTCCTCAAAAAGATAGACGACGGTATCCCCTCAAACCTTTTCCAGAAACTGGTCACAGACCTACCTAGAAGACAGGCAAGCCTCCTTATGCAGTTGAGAACGGGCCACGCCCCACTCAACAAGCACCTCCACCGCATAAGGGGCGCAGAAACACCGACCTGCCCAGCGTGCGAAGACAGCGAGGAGACAGTACACCACTACTTGATGGAATGCCCCGCATACCGAGCACAACGAGATGTCCTGCAGAGATCAATGCCAAACCGCGCCTACCACATCCGCCGACTCCTTAGCAACAGGGAATTCCTCCCCAACCTCTTCAAGTACACAGCAGCAACCAAACGCCTCGAGAACACTTTCGGAAACGTCGCACCGATCGAAAACACCTAAAAACGGAGCTGAGCCATCTCGCCCCAAGCGCATTCCCAGAATCACCTCGCACAGCTCCACAAGCAGTACAAAACCCCCAGCCACAAACCTAGGGCACTCGCGCACGCTCCCCCCACTTCTTTTAGCCTCAGGTTGGCTTCATAACGCTCCACCACTCCAAACCCCAGTACGGAGTGCGAGCCAATGGTTCTCAATTACACCAATGTTCTCACCCTCGAAAAATAACATAAGTATAATACAGCATGTACTGTCTACATCGGGCGCTGCCCCAAGAAGACAATAAAACGGATTAAAAAAAATTAAAAAAAATAAAAAGGCAGATCGCTCTGGGAAGGAGCCTTGCCTGCATCAGCAAATGTGCAGGCACCTGGTGGCACCTGAACGTCCTGGCAGTGACCTGGATGACCTGGTGACCTGGTAGGTGTTTGCTTCTCACACATGACAAACTGAAGTGAAAGCAAATATATACTGTGATTTACATATACATAGTGCTACTTCATTATCTGATAATCTATTTTTATGTGCAGGCACCTGGCTGCACCTGGTCAACACCTGAATGTCCTGGCAGTGACCTGGATGACCTGGTGGCCTGGTAGGTGTTTGCTTCTCATACATGACAAACTGAAGTTAGAGCAAATATATACTGTGATTTACATGTACATAGTTCTACTTCATCATCTGACAATCTACTTTTATGTGCAGGCACCTGGCTGCACCTGGTCAAAACCTGAATGTCCTGGCAGCAACCTGGATGTCCTGGTGATCTGGTGGGTGTTTGCTTCTCACTAGTGCTAACCCTTACTACATATTTTATTCTCATGGCAAAGTCAATGAGTAGGTTATAATAAGATCTGGGCATTTGAATAGCTTGTCTCTTAACAATGGATTGATTTTTATAATATAATGTGATTTTACAAATGGTATATATATCCTTTTGAGTGAGGAAGAATAAAGCTACTGTGGTGGAATGGTTGGTACACAATGGTTGTTGATAATTAACTCTGACACCATGGGGTCTTGAGTTCAACTCCTGACATTGGCAATAAAAAGTGTCAAAAATGTGAATTTGTTTTGCCTTATTTACTACCTGAAGCTGGCAATCTGGTAGTGATCTGGTATCAGATGTGCCAGTCTGGTCATGACAGATTCATATGGACACAGGCTCAAATCTGGTAGCCTGATAACCTGCAGCCAGACTTCTCCAGGCCATCCAGGACACTTTGCACATTTCCTGATGTGGAGGATCTCTACATCTGCTCATACACGCCGACACTTTCGGCGCTGATCAGATCCAGACAGATGATGAAGAATTGTGTGCCCCCATCCTTTGTGGCGGTCGGGCAAGGTCAACCGGGCGGAGGGAAAGGCAAGGCACTCTTGGCTGTTGATAGCGAGCTCGATCTCGTCCATAAGCTCGTCCCTGCGACGGTCAATCGTTCCACTATTTCTGGCGACGCAGCCACACGAGCAGGTGCACTCGAAGCCCTGGAACAGATCACCTGGGTGCACCTCGCTTGTCATGGCAAGCAGGACCAGGACCAGCCTTATAATTCTCATTTCGTCATGAAGGACAAACATCTCACTCTCCTCGACATCATGGAGAAAGATATCCCGCACGCTGAGTTTGCGTTCTTGTCGGCGTGTCATACCGCCGTCGGTGATAAGGAAACGCCCGACGAAGTAATCCATCTCGCAGCTGGACTCCAGTTTTCGGGGTTCAAGAGCGTCATTGGCACGTTATGGGAGGTCGACGACGCTGTCGCAAAACACGTTGTCCAAGCTTTTTATGAGAATATGGTCAAGGATGTGGAGGATGGCGGGTTCATGGACTGTACGAAGGCGGCCTGGGCACTCAACCGTGCCACACACGCTGTGAAGAGCAAAGTGCCGCTCGAGCAGAGAATGGTTTTCGTTCATATTGGAGTGTAGTTTTACAAGTTGTTAGGTCTCCCTTACGGCCTCCCAAATGCATTTACTTTGTCGAGACTCTCGGTATTGTATCATTGTATCATAATATTCCCTTCTGTCTCATACAATCCAAACCTGTATCACGCCTCCAGCTTTAGGTAGGCCGCACACCCGATGTGTCGTGCACTCATAAACCTTCCCGCATACCTGACACTCGAGAGCTTCAGTAGTTTCGGCTTTGTCTCGACTCTCCGAGTCGTCGTTTTGCTTCGCATCCGATCGAAACTTCGCTTCGCTTTAGGGTCATGTGACTCATTTAGGCTGCAATTGTGCAAGCAAAACACGAACGAAAGCGTGACTCAGCCAATGTCAAACAATGCATACGCGGCCCGAACCCCCCTCCCCCAACTGGCAAAACTCGTATGTACCATACACCGGCGAAAATCGCTATTGAACAGAACGCACATAGCACGTTTTGTGGCTCAGTCTTCGCGAATTCGAACCTTCAGGAAGCAATCATTTGGGCTAGTATTCGCGAACTCTCCCCAGTATCTCCAGCTTAACGAGTTGTTCAGTAAGCACCAGTCATTTGGTAGGCCTGACCGTTTTCATCGATTAATAAGTGTATCTTTGTTTGTTATGTTTCTGTTAACTATTGTGCCAGGTTGCTCCGGATCGTTCTCGGGTAACGTGCCAAGTTGATCCAACTCAGATGTCTCTCATCTGCCATCCAAGAGGTCCCCATTCTATAGTGATGGACCGAAAAGAAATTTAAAACGAATGCGACCAAAGTTCGAACACCACTTCCATTCGGCATCAAAGTTCGGTAGATGTTTATTCCTGTGTATACATGTAGGTTCAAGCTAAGGATGTACCCTTTGAAACTTCGACTGTGGCTAAACATCTATGATAAAGTTGCTGTGCTGGTTCTCGAGCGTTTCTGCATCACACGTCATCAAGGTTTTCCCAAAAGCAGATATGTGGTTGAATGACCCGTCGACACGCTGACCGTGCTGAACGGCGTGATCCTGTTGGCGACTTGAACAAGGACAACAATATCATCAACTGTGGTCGAAATCATATACACGGAACGTTGTCAACTAGGTGCCATATTCGTCCATGGTACGTTCTTGTCAGCTGTCTGTTGTCTGTCATCTAAGGAGACCGTTCTTATATTTATATCCCAGTTGCATCGGTCATTAGACGTATCACTGGGACTCACACTCTCATCGAAATCGAAATCGATGGCATCACACCAAGTTGATTTCAAGACTCCACTCAAGGAGATCCCATTGGCAGAACTCGAGAAAACTCAGGATTCTGCTTATTACACCGGTGGTTTTGGTGACGTCTGGAAATGCACCTGGTCCACTTCTTCTAAGGAACCCCCACTCACAGTGAGCCCAACTCCAAGTATACGTGCATGCATATCAATATGTTTATTGTTAGGTTGCAATTAAAGTAGTGAGGGTCCCTGATATCAGTCAAACAGAACTGTTAGCAAAGACTGCCCGGGTAAGGTCTCACATTAAAGCATATCACTGTTGCTTACAGACCTTCTGGCTGACAGGATATTCGTCGCGAGGCCTACGTCTGGGCCAACTTGAAAGACGGCCACGTCCTTTCGCTTCACGGAATCACATCTGGTTTCGGAGTCTTACCAGCGTTTATTTCGTCATGGATGACAAAAGGATCCCTCGATAGCTACCTGAAACAGAAACCCACTCTATTGATATTTCGGAAGCTAGACATGGTAAGTGCTTGTGTTAGAAAAGTCTAGCTGAATCTCAGGCAAAGATATCAGTCTCACCAGATAGCATCCGGTCTCAAGTATCGTGCGTGGTTTCTATTTTCCATGCAACACTCAGTTTGAAATAGCCCCTTAGTGCATGAAGAGGGCATTGTACATGGCGATTTGACACCTGTACGTTTATTATCTCTTGTGGAACTATGCTTGAGAGATGACAATATCATGAATTCAGACCAACATACTGATTGATAGCGACGACAAGCTTTGCCTCGCAGACTTCGGTCTCTCAGTGATCCTTGCGGAGTCGGGAAATCCCACATTCAACTCCTGCCACGCAGGTAACGTGCGGTGGATGGCCCCCGAAATGTTTGTTGTACCCGAGCATGGGGAGCTGACAAAGCCAACAAAGCCCGCAGACGTGTATTCGTACGGCTGTATCATGCTTCAGGTATGTTGTTTTGTTCATTGAGATAGTTGCATGTCTAACACTTCGAAGCTATTTTGTGGGCAGGAACCTTACTTCGAGCTGGTGCATGTGTATCACGTGATGGCCGCGATATTGAAAGGCACAAAGCCCTTCCACCAGCTCACCGGAGTTGACGAAGGCCATGAACAGTATGCGCTGAGATGTCTGTCAGCCAACTTCGGTGGTCGGCCTAGTGTCCAGGACATCGTGGCGTTTATAAAGGCCGAGCTAAAGAAACTTTTGTTGAGCTCTGGCGAAACACAGGACTCCGAGGACGGACCGAGTGGGATGTAGGAAACGCCACGCTGATATTTACGGGCGCAACCGCAGTGTGCGACGGACGCGACAGAATGACGTCGGCCGAGGAAGATCATATACAAAGTGTCATTAACTATGTTACGCCTATTTCTCTATCACTATGCTAATCTATCAAGCTACGAGCTATCTGTTAGAGCATCTCAGTCCGTTACCTCGAGACTGAGATAATACAGTTATTCTAACTCATCCTCGTCTACTCTAAACCGGGAGCCTAGCTTGGTATTTCCTTCCTTCCCTTTTACCTCTCTTGCCTGATAATATTACTTCACAGCTTTTCGCGTGTTATATCACCCATGCCTCCATCCTAGTACGCGGGCACGGTGTGTCTCGATTGTATTTGCCCCATGGCGGCAGCGCAAAAAACATCATCCGTTTGACACTGTCCTCTTGATCAAGTGCAAATGTTGAATACAAGAGTTTTTATCAACAACAGGATGCCGGGAAGACCGGGTATAGCATCTTACAATTAATCGGCTGCAGGAGTTTTGCACCAGCAGCAAGTTCCTGCCCGCTCGTCACGATTACTCTATTATTTTTTGTCTCATCCAAGGTGCATGCTTAGTATTTCAGATGTGATATTTGACATCCCGGTTCTGATACTCTATGACGTTCAACAGTCGACCACTAGGACACGCTCACTAGTCACCTGCCTTATGGCCATGCCGGCAAACGGACACCGTGCTTATTTGATCATTTTCAATATCAGAATCGCGGTCATCCTGTCGTTCAACATTCAACAAGGACCCACAACGCGATGTCATCATCATCAACTCCCTCGGCCTGTTGCGAGTCTCACAGTAAAGCGCCGCCGCCGGCCCACACAAACCTGCATAAGAAAATTTAAAATGTAGTAAGTCATGCAGCAATATCCTCCAACAAGTTAATCACAATCAGTATACTTGTACGACACAGTACCTACTTACTCTGGTGATCAGAAACGAATGGACTCGAGAAGGACAGATAAAAGGCGGCCGTCAAGACAAAAATACCATGACCACTAGGCCTAGGCTATACGTATTGAGACTAGCCAGAGGCTTCAGCGTCTTGATAGCAAAGATGATGGAAAACCCTGATGGGCTGTGTGATTCAATGTCTTACATATCAATGATTGGTTACGCCACATCTTCCATCAGACTCGGAGGAAGATATCGATTGGTATGGGCATGTTTGATTGCAGTGACGGTGTAGTCATGCTACCAAGCACTTTCCTATGACTCCTGCACACTGAGAACTTGAACCTTGATCAAGGAGGTTCAGGAGGTTCTGCCGCGCCGCCGCCGGCCCACACAGTTTTGCATAAGAAAGACAGTAGTCTCGGAGCACTAACTCGTGTAGCAATATCCTCCAACTTCGTCATATTCACTATACACTACTTATAATGACACCCAGTACACGACGACACAGAGCTTGCTTACTGTACATGTGAACCCAGAACTCCCATGACATCGACAATTGTCGGGCGATCGGCTGCGATCTTATTCAAGCACGGTGAGAATTGTTGATATATTCCATGACTCTGCAAGCTCTTGAAAGGCTTGCGTCCATTCTGTATCGCACCCATAACGGCTAAAGCACTTTGTATCCCCGCGTAGGGCTGCTTTCCAGAGAAGATCTGGAGCTATTGTAAGAAAACTAGTTTGAGGATTAACAATCCGACAGACCTGCAACACCACGCAGCCATACGAATAGATGTCCCAAGCTGTGGTTGGCTTCTCGTCTTTAGCTTTGTATTTGTCTTCATCTTCGTCTTCGTCTCCAGCTCCGGCTGGGAGAGCTTCAGGGGGCATCCAACGTACGTTTCCTGGATGACAGGAGTTGAACGTGGCGTTTCCCGCCTCAGCAAGGATCATCGATAGACCAAAGTCTGCGATACGGAGGCAACCGGACTTGTCAACCAAAACGTTTGTCTGTCATTGAATTCAGTTACATACAACTTGTAGATTAGGATAAGACCCACCGCTGTGAAGTCGCCATGCACGATACCCTTGCCGTGCACTAGGGATTAGTTTTCAGTATATGGTGCAGTCGCTACATTTGGTAAAAACGGACGCACGGTAACTAAGACCAGTAGTTACCTGCCGTATCTGAAACCATGGCTAAGTATAAGCTAGTGCAGTAGTCATTTGGCACTTACAAGCTCTCGTTTCCGAGGGTCCAACAGTTTAGAAAACTCGCGCTTCAAGTAATCGTCCAGGGATCCTTCTTCCATCCATGCAGACACTAGTGCTGGAAGTGGCCCAAATTCTTCGGCAATAGTTACACCCTCGAAAGGGAGAATGTGGTCGTGTTCCAACTGTATCCAAACATAAGCCTCGCGACGAATTCTCTGGTGAGTAAATCTATCAGCGAGTGGACCTGCAGTTATTCTATGCCCCAACCTCGCCTATTTTGTGTAATGTTTTCGCATCTGTTAATGAAAGGACTCTGAGAGATTTGACAGCGACCTTGGTTATGATAAATGATGAGTCTTCTACCCATGTCTAAACTCACAAGGCGCCGTGTCCTAGATTGTGTAGACATTGAACATTTCCAGATATCAGCAAGGCCTCCTCTACAATTAGGAAATTTTCCATGTCTTTGAATATCTGTCGCAGGAATAGGAGGGGGTTCGATCTTGAATTTAACTGACTGCCGCCAATAATATTAGTATATCATCAATGTGAAAGTGGCAATGTCGACTTACGGGGGAGTTATCACCCATTGCAAAGTAAAGCTCTCAGTATTCAAAATGACAGGTTGTAGACAACTGATGGGATGAAGGAGATGAAGTGGGCATCCTTATATACCTCTCATGAAGAGACAAATTAACAACGCCGTCAACACAAAAATACCATGACCACGAGGCCCCTGTGACCCGGGCTTTCCGTTTGACGTTTGGGCGTTTGATAGCAAGTAGGATGGAAAACCCTGATGGGCTGTGTGAGATTCATGTTTCAGATATCAATTATTAGTTTACTCCACGTCTTCCATCAGACTTGGAGGAATATATTTTGCGGTGCGCCTATATGCATCCATACGGATCTACACACATGCAAGATTGGTGTTAGAGTGCTCCATCCTCAGTTGTTCACCTTTGTCGCAACTTCACCATCCAACGCAACGATCGAAGATATTATATTTTCCAAACTCGTTATGCAAGTAGCGTGTGTCGCTGCTTGCTCGTCTTTTTTCCAGTTATCGATCGGTCGGAGGCAGACTCCAATCGGGCCAGGAACTGTATCGCCCTTTGCAAAGTGGGCGGATTGGAGATCAGAACGCTTCGACGCGGAAACACTTTTGGGTAAGACCAAGGAAACTTTCCTGTGTGTAGTCATGCTACAAGCGCCTTCCTACGACCTGAATGGGATCGAAGGCGTCAATGCGTGGTGATCGTCTCAGGGTATATAAAAGGAAAATAGTTCGTCAGATATTTAGGGTTTCTGCTTGGACGCCGGTCGTTCGGTTGCGCCACTGATTGTGGGTTGTTATCTGAACTCTGCGTAATGAAGAGATCGTCTGCAACAGAAAATTAAAATTAACTAAGGGGAATGGAGGCAATTCTTCGTCTTTGATGATAGCTATGGAGTGGAACGTATGAGAAGACTACCCACGCTGGAAAGCAGCAGGCTTACACGCTCATAAGGCACTCTATTGTCCAACCTCACAAACTCGAGTTTAAAGACGTCAAAGCTACGTGATCGATGAGATTCCATGCAGTGCGCTTGGCACACATCTTTCTTACGAACTACCAAACCCTGTCAGTGGTGAGAACTTCAAAATACACGCAAACTTCACAAACACGACCTCATTCACCTAACCACCCTCTCAAAAACCCTCCTAATCTCCTTCTCAACTCTTCCAACACCAACACCCACCCCAACCAACACCCCGAAATCAACCACGCAAAGCTCAAAAACAGCACCCAAATACCTAGGCACAAATATCTTCCACACCATCAAATGCCTCCTCAACACTGCCCCACACACCGCTGCCCCGAACGCCAACACCGCGAAATACAAGGACATCGCTAGTGCAGCTCTAAGCGCTGATGCTCCCACTGTGGGGCGGGGATGCGGGACAGGAGGGAGGTTCCACAATACGACCAAAGGCACCGCAAGCGCTAAAAGAAAAAACGACCCAAACGTATTAACAGCCACAGAAAGATGCGAAAGAGGGAAAGAAAGCGTCTTTCCGAACATGAACGCGCTTTTCCACTGCACAGACGAAAAGGTCGATTGGTGGCCTGTGCTGTAATACGTGTGCGTCGCTAGGAGCGCTAGAGGTACGATGTCGGAGAATAAGAGCTCACGGTTTATGTTATTGTTGACGAGGTTTGGGGGAGGTGGTGGGGTGGTGAAGGCTGCGTTTAAGCTGTGGACGTCCCGGACGCTGTCAATAATCTCTAGATAGGATAGTAGCGCGATGGATGAGAGTCCGAACACGATCTGTCCTGAGAGCTGGGTCATCAACCAGACGATACTCAAAAAGATGAGCCAGAAAATGAGGTATGGAGAACCGAAGGCGTTGGCGAAGCCTAGCACGGTTACTTCAGTCTTTTCTTGTGCAGTAGATGCAGAACTCGACGGGGTTTGGCTTGTCGAAATAGTGAGGCAGACAGGCGACGTCCACCACGCCGAAACACCCCCGATCAACATTACAACAGCACTAGTCCTCGCTAAGACCGTCCTCGTCACCCTCAAGCCATCACCCATATCCCCCAGGATTTGCGCAGAGTCTGCCCATTCGAGCATCCAGAACATCGTGCCAGCGATCAAAGATGGTGCGAGGAACAGAGGAATAAATGTTGCAGCGAGACCCGAGTCCGATTTGGAGATTTTGAGTATGCGACGGACGATGCGGGGAACTGCGATTGCAATAGGGAAGGCGAGGAGGAGTGATGTAATTGGTGGGGCTGATGATGACTCGGACGCGTAAAAAGTGACTGTGCAGTAGGGGTGTTGTTCCTCCCTGCAGACGGTGCTCATAGCCATCAGTCGAGCGCATACTGCGAAAAGAGCAGAAAAGCCCAGTATACGGTAGCGCAGCTGGGAGGTTGGAGCAGTGAAACCTGTAATGACTGAGGGAACAATGGACGAGATGAGGAAGAAGAGCACGATGCGGTCCTCCCATACTGTGAATGAGTTTGATGCGAAACACAAGGTGTGGAGAACGAGGAAGATGGGGAGTGCCGTGATAGCTTTCAAGGTGATCGTGGGGCGAGTTGTAATTACCATGACGAACGATGCTGAAATGGCGGCAGCGAAGAGCACGGTTTGGTGCATGGCGACACCATCCAAATACTCATGCAACATAAGGTGCGTTAGGTACCCTAGGGCAGATCCTCCAGCGGAGGCGCTGAACGACCAAAAGACTTTGTCGTCAACCCACTTTTCCCACTCGTCATCCTCAACATCTCGGAGTTTGGAGTACATTGCCCAGCAAGCGACAATGCTTAAACCAATGACCGCCAATCCAGCGCCCATCAGAAAAGGGTTGAACTGAGCCCAGAGAACACGGCAAGCGGATAATGCCAAACGAGTGAAGTTATTTAATGCAACGAGACGGTTATTCTCGTCTATCGCATTTATGCCAGCCCAGGCGACAGAGAGATCATGCCAGGCAGCATCAAGCTCCTGTCCAGACAAACTAGATCGATAAGCATCGAGATAGCGCCTAATCTGAGCTGCGTTTAGTTCCATAGCGTTCTGCAAAGATGAACCGCCTCGATTGAAAAGTTCCGGGATGATGCTCCCAAGGTTATTGAATGGGATGGGAAGACCTAGGAGTAAGGAAATAGTTGGCACCAGGTCTATCTGCTGGACATGGCGATGCGGGACCGAGGCTTCTGGGAATGTGATCATCGGTAGAATAGCCTCTTGAATTGGGTATTCGGGAAGCGAAAGAGGGATCTTGCTGTATATCCAGAGAGCTGACATTGTCTCTAGGACGCTGTCGCCGCCGTGGTTACCCATCCGATCCATTCCATGATCGCCGAGCATTATGAGGAGGGTATCATCGTCCATGGCTGCAACGACATCGCGCAAAAAATCGTTCATCTGCTCGAGTTTTTCTCTGAGGATGGGATGGTCTGGGCCAACTCTGTGACCTACGTGGTCGACGCCTAAACCATGACCGATGGCAAAATCCCACGAGTTTCGATGATGTCGCATCAAGGGTAATATATTATCGATGACGCCCTCGTCCACGGTGTGAAGGTCTTCGACATTGAAGGAGTCAAAGGCAAATGTCATGTTTGGCTGAAAGGCATCTGGAAAAAGTGTGAGCCATGTGTCATCCCCTGCGAGAGCAATCTTTCCTTGGGATTGTATCAGGGAAACGGGGTGGGAAGAAGAAGTAAGCACATACCTTTCTGCCTGCAGCGTTAAGCTGATGTATTATAGAATCTTCGTGAATGGAAGAGCCTCCAAAGTTTTCCCCAGCATCTACAAAGGTGGGTAGGGAGCCCGTGGTAAGGCCTTTGAGTCGCTGAAGAGTCGTCGTCGGCGGGTCTGAGTGCGCGTTAAATATAAATGATAAATCAGGACGAGCGGCAGTCAATTCGCGTGGCAGGGTGAGGATGTTGTGGTGGAAAGGGGAGGTGGGTTCTGGTGGGTGTTCTGCGATGAAATCGAACCGGAGCGCGTCTATAACGAGCAGGACTGCTCTTTTGTGGGTAGCGAGTGAAGCGCAGGCGTCTGAGTTACATGTTCCTCTGTCTGGCAGTGCGAGTCGGGTGAGGAGGAAGCCCTTTGTAAATAGGTAGATGCCAGCTAGGTGAACGCATAACACCCATAGCAGAATACGGAATTCGCGAGAAATCATTGCATTCGGTTGACGCCAGAACAAAATTCATCCACAAATGAACCTTCCCCGCAGCGTTCCTTGTCACTCAGTCAGTGGGTGTGGTCAACAAGAAAGTCCCCAAGGTGTAAACGATGCTAAACTTGAAGTTTAACTAGACATTCTGAGCCAATTTTGAAATTTCATTGTATATTGATTACTTAGTTAAGGTTAAAATGCTTGTGAATATATGAAATCGCTCAAAATCTCAAGCAAAGCTTGGATCGTCTTCACATTTTGTACATATCTAAACCGGATGTAGCGAGCCTTAGAACATTAATATATTGTCTACTTACATGTCTACGGATTTCCTGAATCGCGAATTGTAGCTATCACTGATGACCTCGAGCTCGTTGTACATGTAGCAGGATTTGTGCTACTCGCACACATTAGCAGTTTTAGTTCTGTGTACACTGGTATTTAAGTACCATCCAGAAACTTATTGTTCCCGGCTCGGGTACTCAGTACTCATTGACCAAGTTGCAGAGGCCTTCGCACTCTCACATACGGTACTCGAAATAGGATAGGTTAAACCGTTTCAAACTCCATCGGTGTTCACCAGACAGCAACAGTCGTGTTCACGGCGAGTTCGATGGCAAATACGACTGCTGTAGCTGCTACTGCGGTATGTTGACCATGTCAGATGTCGTAGTCGCCCTCGATTACTAGACCCCTTCTTCAGCTTCGCCAATTCGCGTTTTTCGATGTTTACCCTGTGAAGGATGTCCATGACCTTGCTAGCTCGCCCGAAATTTTCAAAACCGCCTCAGAAATCTCAACTGTCGTCTCCTCTAGTGCTGGACTGCTCGTTGCGGATATCCATGGCAGTGTGCACATTCTAAACAAGGAATTTGTATCAACTACGAGCTGGGTCGCACATGTCGGAGGACGAGTCACGCACATGGCAGAGAGGAAGGGTGTCTTGGTGACTATTGGGGAGGAGGATGCAGTGCGAGGCAGTTTGTTGAAGATTTGGGATCTTGAGAAGACGGACAAGAGAAATCAAGCACCGGTGTTATTGAGATCTGCCAAGGTCCAGCCCAGCAATAAGCCTCATCCAGTAAGTGCTTCACTGTATTCAACTTTCGCTCGGTGAGCTTGTAAATTTCCAGGTATCTTGCTTTGCGCTTTCATCTGCGCTGTCTTTCCTTGCAATTGGCTTGGCCGACGGGACGGTGCTACTTTACAGGCACCTGGACCAGTCACTATCTACCGCAGCGTCCCTGACTGCACTTCCCAAGACGCGCACCATCCATGAATCATCCCCTGAACCTATCATAGGCCTCGGTTTTCGAGAACCTCCCACTAACGCCGAGGCCAAAGATAACAACTTGCATCTTTTCATTGTGACCACAAACTCCGTATTTTTGTACCATGTGTCCGGCAAAGGGAGTGGAGGATCTAGCGTGTTGCTGGACGATATTGGATGTGGATTGGGATGTGCGGTGATGGATTGGCGTGCTGAGAAGATCGTGCTCGCGAGAGACGAGGCAGTATATGCGTATGGGTTACAGGGGAGGGAACCGCCATATGCGTATGAAGGTGGGTGAATCGGTACAAACCCATGTGCTGGGAGCTGATGCTTCGTCTTTCACAGGTTACAAGTCGTCGATCCACACCCACCTGAACTATGTGATAGTTGTTTCACCGCCGACAACAGTTACAGCGACGTCAACAGCTACGCGAAAGCTTGCGGCGCAAGCGGGAGGCGGTGATGGGGATGCGTCGAGGGTGACTGTGTTTGACATGGAGAACAAAGTAGTTGGATATACCGGGATGTTTGCGGAGGGTGTCAGAGAGGTGATCTCGGAGTGGGGAAATATTTACATCCTCACGAATAATGGGCAGGTGCGTCCCATCAGTGTGAATTGTGCGTTGCTTCTTAATCTGACGTCTGTGCCCCTGTTTAGCTGACCCGCCTCGCCGAGAAATCTACTTCTGCAAAACTCTCCATGCTGTACGCAAAGGCTCTGTACCCACTTGCACTGAGTCTCGCGCAGACACAACACCTCGATGAGAGTTACGTGGCTGATATTCACCGTCAACACGGTGACTACCTTTACACGAAAGGAGATTGGGATGGCTCTATGACATGCTACCTGAAAACGATAGGGTGGGTGAAACCGAGCTATGTCGTTAGAAAAGTCAGTTATTCTTCTTCCAATACGACAGGTCTGACAATTGTGGTACAGTTCCTGGACGCTCAGCGTATACACAATCTCGTTACCTATCTGCAAGAGCTGCATGCCCTTGGTCTAGCAAACGCTGATCATACCACCCTTCTGCTAAACACCTACACCAAACTCAAAGATGTCGCACGCCTGGACAGCTTCATCAAAACAGAGTCTCGGCGCTCTGGTGCGGGGGAGTCGAAAGGCGGCCTTCCATTTGACCTTGACACTGCTATCCGGGTGTGCAGGCAGGCAGGGTACTTTGATCACGCTAGCTACCTTGCGAAGCGGTACGAGTTGCACGAGGAGTATTTGAGGGTTATGATTGAGGATGCTGGGAAGTATGGCGAGGCATTGACGTATTTGAGACACTTGGGAGCAGACGCGGTGAGTCCAAATGCTCGTTGTTGCTTTCCCACACGAGGCTCATATATTCGTGCAGGCGGAAAGTAACCTCGCAAGGTACGGACGCGCTATGCTGGACAATCTCCCAGAGGAGACGACGCAGCTTCTCATTGATCTCTGCACTATTTCTGGACCCCTCACTACGCCAGAAGCAGAAGACACCACTTCGCAACAGTCGAGCACACCGGCAAACGCCCCATCGTACCTCTCGTACCTTGCTCTCTCCCGTGCACCCGCGCCTGAAGACAAAGTTGAGGAACCCAAAGTGGACGAGGAGGAGGAGCCTGTGGAGCCTCAGACAACGCAGCCCAGCGCACCAACACCATCCAAAGAAGAAAAACGGCCTTCGCCTACACTCTATTTCGCACATTTTGTCGATCACTCGTCATATTTTGTCCGTTTCCTGGAGAATGTAGCCGCACGTCGGTGGGGACAGTCGCTCTCCCCTCTCCCATCCCCTCTTCCAAATCCCAGTTTGGACGAAGATGAAGACTCGGAGAAGAGCGATCAGGCAGCCGTTTGGAACACACTGCTTGAGCTCTACCTTGACGGAGGCTCTCAAGAACAACAGGACAAGGCACTTAAAATCCTGACGAGCGACTCCTTACCGTGCGATAAGACACATGCACTGATTCTTTGCAGCAGCTACAGCTACACTCGAGGTTTGGTCATACTCTGGGAGAAGCTGGGCATGTACGAGGACGTTTTACGGTTTTGGATGGATAAGCACAACGCATCACCATCCGAATCCTCTGCATCAACAGAAGTCGTGCAGGCCCTTGCACGATATGGCCCAACCCACCCACACCTCTATGAGCTGGTGCTGCGCTTTTTGACGAGCACGCCGGAGCTGCTCACGCGGCACCAGGGGGATGTGGAGAAGATCCTGGAGCATATCGAGAAAGAGCGGATAATGCCTCCACTTGGTGTGGTCCAGGTATTGAGTAGGAATGGAGTAGCGAGCGTTGGACTTGTCAAGAACTGGCTGATGGGACGCATCAAAGAAGCAAGGGATGAAGTGCAGACTGTATGTTCTTCACATTCTTTCTCATTTCCGCGCTGATGTTTTTTTTTTCTTACAGGACCAGCAACTGATCAACTCATACCGGCTGGAGACGAATGCGAACTTGAAGCAAGTGGCGGAACTAGAGGACCCGATGCATGCAAAGGTCTTTAGTGTCACGCGCTGTTCTCAGTGCAGTGGGCAGCTTGACCTGCCTAGTGTCCACTTTATGTGCAACCACTCATATCACCAGCGGTACGTATTCATTTCTTCATTATTTGATCTATTCTATTGTTTTCCTCGAAACCACATCTCATCTGGCTACCCCTCGTGGTGTCAGTGCTAACGTGCGTTTCACACAGGTGCCTGCTGGACCACGAGACCGAATGCCCGCTTTGTGCGCGCCAACATGGGGTCATCCAGGAGATTCGAAGGAATAACGAGAGGATGGCAGATCAACACGAGCTATTCCTCGCGGATGTGCAAGATAATGGGTTTAAAGCGGTTGCGAGTGGATTTGGTAAGGGGGTGTTGAATATGACTCGATTGGACGATGTTGCTGTATAACGTGTATCGTGTCGTTCCATACTTCTGCCATATGATCTGTGTCTGCTAGGTCTACGATACCCGATGGTAAGTCATCAGATTTAATGCCGTCCACAACTATATCTAACCTCAGCTTAATGGCGATGGACATTTGCAGATTGAGTTGGTCCAACACTAATATTGACTGTTATGCTTCGGCTCGTCCTTTCACAAATGCAACGATTTTTCTTCAGACTGCAGAGGATCGACAGACGCTTCATGTCTTCTGACCATCGCCTCTGAACTTTGAGTGGAGTTGACATCAATGGTGTAGGTTTGGTTTGGCTGTTTTTACACTGACATACAGCTATTGTTACATGTCCAACGATTCCTCGAGGCCTGCAGGGAGATGAGCGACTCAGATTGATGATCACACGCACTTGAAGCATGGTCCTTCCGAGAGTAAAGTTTTTTTTGGGAGAATACCGCCGACATTGCCTTCATCATCAAGCTTCAAGTCCCAGGTAATACTAGCGTTCTCATCCAGGGCGCCGTGCCTCAAGGCTTGAACCACTACCCCAGGAAGGAGAGGAGAATCTACAATCGACGAGGCTCAGTAGTTTTTTTTCCCATTTTCGTCAACAGAGGATAGTATTCTAATTGGAAGCTCATGAACTCTATACTTAGATGCGCACGCACCTCACTCAAGTTTCCGTGGATGATGGATCACGGAAGGAACTGCCCGAGCAGCTCTGTATAATTGATCAATATACAGCACACGAGTTGCCTTTATCGGATATGGCCATGGCCTCAAAAGTGGACTTAGAACAACACGAGCCATATAGGCGCCGCCTCAAGTTGTTATCGCGGATGACATTTTAACATGAGCGCATATTTCTCGGCGCTCGGAGTCAGATGACAGACAGCCTTTGCTGACATAGGGTTGGTTCTCAACCATCATGTTCCACCACGAGGGCTGTCGCCGAAGCCGATGCCTCGCGCAACAGGGTAGTTTGGGCTAAAGCATTCAGTAATCCCTGGACACGAGTCAGGAAGTCTGATGGGTTTATTGTCTGCCCTAATGAGGGGTAAGTTTCTCCACTTGACGCCCTTAGAAATGGGCGATTATGTGGTGGAAGGCCAGCGTGTGTCTCATTCAATTCATGCCAGTTGGGGATGTACTGGTGCGCCCTCTTCAATTTCTACTCACCGGAGCCGTCGGTGGATCTTCTTCGCGGTGTCAACGGTTAGTGCTGTAGTTCCTGCGTATAAGACGACAAGTCACTGCTAGGGAAGTACATCCGCATCCCTTTGTGCCTGTGCTTTTCCCATCGACATGCTGACTCCTGTGAAGACACTTGCACGCCGAGTCTCTATCTACCTTCGTCGACCCAGCTCACCCTTCCCATCTGATGTTGCTCGAACTTCTGATGATGAGCGAGCTTCCGTAAGCCAGGCCTCGTTTGTTTATACCTCCGAAGACGGGCAAGGTGGACGTTACTCTGAGATAGAGGATTCGCAACTTTTCTCTTCAATCGAAATTGCAACCCTTCAGACATCAACATATGGTTCTTTCATTATGGACCCATCCATTGTTACTAGGCAAACCCAATTTCCAATCGCCTCGGGTGGACTTGGAGATGTCTACAAATGCACATTGAATAGGGGCGCGAGTCCAGAAGAAGTACCTCACACATATATCTTATTCCATGCTTGTGCTCACTCTATGCTCAGGCTGCAGTCAAATCTCCACGGTATCCAAGTCTAACTGACGCCGAAGTGGCCAGGATAAACCACGTATGTTTGGGTCGCTTCTAGAACTGCTGCGTTTCTGAACTTTATATCTGTTGAACGCAGAATCTTGATCGCGAAATCAAGGTCTGGGCTGGATTAGACCATCAATATGTATTACGCCTGCATGGGACTGTAACAGGCTTCGGCCAGTTTCGCGCGTTGGTTTCTCCCTGGATGCCGAACGGGACATTGAACTTCTACCTTAATCGTCCATATGAATCCCTCACGACGATAGATAGGCTTCGCATTGTGAGGTTTTCTTACGCCAGCAGATGACAGGAACTTACTATTTCTCAAAGCTTAAACAGATTGCTGAGGGGCTCAAATATCGTAAGCGACGGATTGGCTATGGAAGCGACCGGCTTAACTGATGACCATGCTTTCGACAGTCCACGACAACAACGTGATTCACGGCGATCTGACCAGTGTAGGTTTGCATACACTGTACACTCCGTGATTCTTTGATTATGATTGTAGAACAATGTCCTGGTTGCTGCTGATGGATCCCCGCGCCTCGCAGATTTCGGTGTCTCAAATATCATGGTAGAGTCCAACCCGGCATTCTCCTACCAAACTGGCGCGGTTCGCTGGGCAGCTCCAGAGCTCATCGTCCTCCCGGAAGGTCAAACCGTGCAATTTGCTACCAAATCCAGTGATATATATGCTCTTGGGTGTATCATGCTTCAGGTCAGTGTCTTATTTATGTTATCTATGGCACTAACATGGTATCTGTAGGTGCTATACGGCAAATTGCCCTACTGGTGGATCAAGACTGCCCTGCAAGTTATAGCATTAAAGTTCAATTACCAGGAGCCCATTGATAACACCGTGCAAATCCAAGCACATCACCTTCATTTCATGCGGCGGTGCTGGTCAACCAAGACTGAAAGTCGTCCATCAGTGGAGGACGTGCTGGACTTTCTCGAGGAAGCTATCTCCCATGGAGCTTCATCCTCGTAAGGCTCGGTTCGAAAGTAGTTCTTTATCTTACCTTCCTTATTCTGACTGCCTCCCTGTCATAGTATAGTGTCGATATTATACTATCATATGAACCCACGTATCCGCTAGCTCGGTACCTACAGAATAACTCATACATACTATCGTAGAATAGAAATCCATTATTATGGCTACATGTGGAAGACCTCCGCACGCACGCCCATAAATTGTTCGATACACGCTTCAGGACTCTTCAGGTTCGCTGTCTGATATACCTGAAAACCTCTCAATTCATTCCCAGTAAAAAGAACAAAGAAGAAGTTCTGCAGCGACGCCACCGGCCTACACAACCCAGCATAAGTAACACAAGTATCACAATAAAGGTAGGAATATAGTAAGTAAGCAGTAAGTCGTGTAGCAATATCCTCCAACTTTGTCATAATTGGTATACACGACACAGAACACGCTTACTATAACCCCAGAATACCCGTGACCTGATGAATCGTCAGACGAAGGTTGGCTGGTTTCTTGAAGCATCCCGATGAGAGCTTTCCGTCGAATCCATCTTTCTTCATGTCAACGAAAGGCTGTTGTCCCTTGGCCATTGCGCTCATAACGGAGAAAACAGATTTGAGCTTCTCGTAGGGCTGCTTTCCCGATAAGACCTAGGACTCGGGTAAGAAAGTTATTTCAAGACTAACAATCTGACAGACCTGCAACGCCACGCAGCCATACGAATAGACATCCCCCGATTCGGTCGGCTGCTCGTCTTGGGCGTCAAGAACCTCGGGGTCCATCCAACGTACGTTTCCTGGATGACAGGAGTTGAATGTGGTGTTTTCCGCCTGAGCGAGAATCATCGATAGACCGAAGTCCGCGAGACAGACGTGACCATCGCCACCGACCAAAACGTTGGTCTAAAAACAATTAATTGAATTCAGCCAAAATACTACACGCAAATTAGAATGAGACCTACCCCTGTCAAGTCACCATGCACGACACCCTCTCTGTGCACTAGGGGATAGTCTTTAGTATATGGTGCGTACGAAATATAGAAACGCACGATAACTAAGACCAGAGGCCACCTCCTGTATCTGAAATCGTGCCTAAGCATATGTTATGTTTGATATTAGCTGTCCACTTACAATGACCAATTTTTGATGGTCAGACAGCTCGGAATATTTGAGCCTTATATATTCATTCAGTGATCCGTTTTTCATCCATGGAGAAACTAGCGCAGGAAGTGGGCCAAACCCTTCAGTGACACCCTTGAACGGGAGAATGCGGTCGTGTGACAACTTGATCCAAACATAAGCCTCACGACGTATTCTCTATGGTAGTGAGTAAAGCAATCAATAAACGAGCGGAACTGTATATATTACTTCATGCACTAACCGTGCCTGCTTTTGCGACTAGTTCTTCATCGGTTGATTGAGGGACCCTGATGGATTTGACAGCGACCTTGATGATCGTGATCAATAATGAGTTCGAGTCCAAGTCTTCCACCACATTTTCAAACTTACGGGTTCAGATTGTGCAGAAAAGGAACATTTCCAGACGTCGCCAAGTCCTCCTGAACCATTAGGATATTGTTCAAGTTTTTGAAGGGCCGTCGTAGGAATAAAAATTGGTTCGATTTTGAAATTTACTGCATGGACCTTGGTCTCCTGCCAATGTGACTGCGATTAGTCGGACATCAATGTAAACGCAACATCGGCTTACGGGGAGGTTATAACCCATTGCGAAGTAGAGTTTCAGTGTTTCGAATGACAGATTGTAAACAATTGATGGGATGAAGGAGACGAAGTGGGCATCCTTATATACCACTGTTGAGGAGCCGGGTTGACAATGCCGTCAATACAAAGATGTCACGAGGCCCCTGTAACCCGATTGAGCCTCAGTGGGGCTGAGCGTTCAACTGAGCGTTTGATTGCAAATATGATGGAAAAATCTGATGGGCTGTGTGAGATTCAGTGTCATACGACTGGTTTACTCTACGTCTTCCTCGGAGGAAGGTATCTTGCTGTGCGCTCTGTGTGCGCATATATGGATCCATATGGATCCACACGCATGAAAGATTGGCGTTAGAGTACTCCATCTTCGGTTGCTTACCTTTGTCATAACTCTACCATCCAAAGTTACCATCGAGGTTTGATTGAGGGTTGCGCCACTGATTGTGTAACGCCAGATCGTAAAGCGCTCATCTGTCATTGGCAGATACGATCAATTGTATCTCCAGACTTTACAGTGCCACTAGTAAACGACGCGATGAGTTGTTATCAGCTCTGCGCGGTAAAGAGATCTTTTGCAACAGAAATTCGAAATTAACTAAGGGGTATGATGACACTTTGATGAGTGAGCGCGTCTAATGGTCGACTGTCAAACGTACCTGGAGTATCGGAACCGGGATGTCGAGTATCAGAACTGGGATGTCGAGTATCAGAACTAGGATGTCAAATATCACATCTGAAATACTAAGCACGCACCTTGGATGAGACACAAAATAATAGAGTATTCGTGAATCGTGACGAGCGTGCGCTTAACTCAGAAAACTTCAGAAATCTATGGAGCCCCAACAGACGTTCCAGGAACCACACATAAAGCCGGGCGAGTGAAATTCTCGGAACGAACACTCGCACTACATTTTCCTCCGCATAAAACGTGTCATTTGAGGCTAAGCAAGTCCCTAGTGCGACAAAAAGTGCAGCTGAGGATAAACCTGAGACTCCCTCGAGTTGAACTGCGTTCACACGTGAGGCTGTCCCAAATTTCCAGTGTTGAAGAGCGAGCACTCTCATGTGGTGGAAAGGGATAATAGAAACGGTATGATCATGTGGACTATCCGTAGCGAGTCTCGGCGCTCAATGAGCTGGTCAAAGAGCGGCTAAGTCTGTAGATTAGTGCACAGGATCTTTTATTTTACCGGTGGCGGACATGCCTTACATACCTTCGAGAACTTCCACAGCGCTAAAGAATTCAATTTTATAATAGGCACTGTCAACCAGTGCAGCGTTAGTGGGATCCTTCAAATGATAGTCTGATGGAAAACCTACGTTTGTCCACGGTATTTCATACATCATGATTGCGTGACAGCATAATTTGGGCTGCTGCAATATGAAAGCATACGGAAGGATGGGATATGGCGCTCCCAGGTCACGACCGCAGAGCCTTGTGTACCTGCATCCTAAGTATCTGGCTTTTTCCAATCAGTCGACGAAAGAAAGTTCATCTCAGGCTATGTGTCAGCTGATAGCCTCACACTGCACAGCGTGTTTTACATAAAGTCACGGCTCCTGCCGAGCGAACTTTGCATCGCCGTCACATGTTTGATGAATACAGTGCACTGGCCCATGTTTGCCATCAAAGTTTCATTCAAACTGTCGGAAGATAGGCTGGCAGCATGGATTTATCAATGGGGTCAGACATTCACCGCCCCCACCCCGCGGCGTCTATATTCTCAATTATATACCTGCAAAATCAACCATTTGGAAAACGACAGAGTCGCACGGCGGCTGCCTTTCGCCACCTTGTGTGACCTAGTACTGTTTTTCTCTTGCAATGGGTAATTGCTACTCTCAAAAATCTGGGGTACGTCCATGTCCTTGCCTTCAATGGAACAGCAGTCTGAGTCGCCTCGGGCCTCGACAGACGATAAATGACAGTCCCCGGCCCACTCACCAGGAGATAAATGGTATCCCCCAGCCCCCTCACCAGGAGATAAATGGCAGTCCCCAGTCCACTCCCCCAGTTAATTTCAAAATCAAGCCCCGCAATATTCCTGCGACAGAAATTAAAAAACTTCAGGATTTCGCCAGTGGTACAGGCGGGCTCGGTGATGTCTGGATGTGTTCTTGGTCTCCACAATCTCAGGCAGGGACATCTAAGGTAATTGTCACCAGTTGAGCGAGAACTCCCCATATCCAACAATCTGCAGGTTGCGGTCAAAGCAGTTAGGGTCCCTCAAGCAAATGATATAAAACTAGTGGCTACCACAAGCAAGGTGGGAGCAAGAATTAACTGAAAAAGTCGTTGTTTTCATCAGTTTACTCGCAGAGGATTCGTCGCGAGGCTTACGTTTGGATCACCCTAGAGCATGACAATATTCTCACCTTTAGTGGCGTCGTTGATGGCTTTGGGCCACTTCCTTCGCTAGTTTCTCCGTGGATGGAAAATGGGTCGCTCGATAGCTATCTGAAACGGGGACATGTTCTTTCCAAAACCGAAAAACTGAGAATGGTACGCACCGTATCTTACAACACCGGACAAGTTCTGACATCTCTTCAGTTGAGACAGATGGCAGCTGGCCTCAAGTATTGTACATCTATATTTTTATCGTGTCTGGATTCGCCTGCTCACCGACCTGTTAGTACACGACAAAGGAGTAGTTCATGGCGATTTGACATGCGTACGTGTGGAAAGTTGTCACTATGATGTCTCAGGATGACAACTCGATTTATAGACCAATGTTCTCATTGATGACGATGGGAAGCTCCATCTTGCAGACTTCGGTCTCTCAATGATCCTTACAGAATCACAAAACACTACCTTTAATTCTTGCCATCCAGGCAATGCGCGGTGGATGGCGCCCGAGATGCTTGCCACACCTGAGGAAGGGAAAGTGGTGATGCCAACCAAAGCCGCCGATGTTTACTCATATGGTTGCATCATGCTTCAGGTGTGTTGTCCCCCATTCGATCAAATGTCAGTTACGGTGCTGATATCGTTCAGCTGTTTTGTGGACATGTACCTTACCACTGGCTAACGCAAGCGTATCATGTTATTGGGGCAAGACTCTCAGGAACAGTACCCTTCCGCCAATTCACTGACGTTGAAGATGGACACAAGGAGTATTCGTTGAAATGCATATCTGTGAATGTCAGAGATCGACCAGAGGCCTCTGGGATTGTCGATTTCTTAGGATCAGAGTAACGACATAAACAGACTAGTCCAGGATCATGTGTACATGTAATGACGTCCATGCTTGCTTCCCAATTTACTACTGCCTGTTTACATGTGCTACAAGGACTTGGTATTGCATGCAGTCCGCTGGTATGTAAGTATTCCTCCGCAGACTAAGTGCCAACCCAGCGGTGCGCTTATAGTATAGAGAAACAAGGAAGTGAGAATATACACGAAACGATATGATATATAGGACACAAAACCGAAGTTAAACATCAAGACAAGAAAGTGAGTCGTGTCAAAACCGACACCTTATAAAGAAGTCTCGTTCAACAGTGCTTGAAGATAGCTTATCACCTCTTCTACTGATGGACGGTCCTCGCTCTTCGTTGACCAACACCGCTGCATGAAATTTAGGTGACTGGGCTGGATCTTGATGGAGGAGTCGATGGGCTCCAGGTGTTTGAACCTAGCAGACACAAGATGTGTGACAGTCTTAAGCCACCAGTAAGGCTGTTTCCCATATAGGACCTGCACGCGGGGAGTATTACTAATGTTACTAGTAAGCCAACGAGAGACTAACCAGAAGCATGATACCGCCGAGAGCGTATATGTCGGTAGATCTGGTTGCGCATTGTATGGGCTGATTTTCCGGGGGCTCGAGGAGCTCTGGAGCGACCCAGCGAATTGCACCGGTGTGGTAGGAAAAGGTAGGGCTGGATTGCACCATGATATTGGAGATACCAAAATCTGCAAGGCGAGGCGATCCATCGGCAGCAACCAGAACATTGTTCTACAATGACGATAAGATTACGGTTGCACGGCATGTGTGAACTTACACTAGCGAGGTCGCCGTGTATCACATTTTGAGCGTGGACTGTGGAAAGCATAGGCATTAGTTACATCGGTTGGTTCCATGGTCAATTCACTCACGATACTGGAGCCCCTCGGCGATTTGTTCAAGCTATTGAAGACGCGGTAAGTTCTTGTGCTCGGCTTCGTAAATGACACTTACGAGGCGGAGCCTACCCATCATCGAGAGGGTCTTATTCGCCTTAAGGTAAGAGTCCAAAGTTCCGTTCGGCATCCAGGGGGAGACTAATGCGCGAGATGGGCCGAACTCCTCTACAGTGCCATGCAAGGGCAGTACATATTGATGCTTCAACGTGGCCCATATATGAATCTCGCGGTCAAGGTTCTGCGTTTCAAAAGATCAGATATGCGGCCTCTAGACAGTACCCCAATATACCTTGTTGATCCTGCCAACTTCAGGATCGCTCATATTTGGGAATCGTGGGGATTTGACCGCAACCTGACGTCAGAGTCAGGGCATGCAGAAAGAGTGAGTTTATGGTGTACCTCATCCGAACTTGCGCCAGAGTTCCATGTACACCTGTAAACATCGCCAAGGCCGCCCGAGGCGGTTGGGTAGTTGGTTTGCTTAATGATATCGCCTGATTTGATGCGGAGAACACTACTGTTCAATGATTACAAAGTCCTGACCTCAGATTAAGAAACAACGTACGAGTGCTCTGTGAAAAATGTAGAGGGACGTCCGCTGGGGATATGTTCATCGAAGGGTCTATTGGGGGTGTCGGAAATCAGGGTCTGGCTTGCAGGAATACCAGCAACCGAGGGCAGAGACGCTCGGTCATTTGGTATCTGCCCATCCTGTCGCTTAGAGTGAGATGAGTCGACGATTCCACGGACATGATAACCAACGTACAAGACCAAAGAATTGTTGCAGTTGGGTGAACTTGAACATGTCGACGGGAAATGATAGTGGTAAATACTTTGCTCCCTAGCACCGCTGTCTTATATGCAAACAGCATTCGTACATTGCAAAGTTATCCCCCACCGATAATTACGGGTGGAAGAGACTGCGTAGGGTCCAACTGAGGACTTCACGACTGGTACGAATTGACGCTGTGGATGGATCCGATCGACGGTGAATGCTGTCCTTCCACCACAGATGCCATTTCAGTATATACAGGCGTCAAATTGAAATTGATGTACGGCAGACAATGAGCATGATTCAGAGAAGTCTTGAGTGTGGTCAGGGATGTGAGAAGCACTAGCAGGGCGATAACAACAGGGGTCGCGCGAGGCAATGTTTGTCCTCCGCGGTTTCGGTAGCATTAGACAATCCTCATGGTAGACATGGGGGTCTTTGGCGCTCATACATTGACACAGGATCTGAAAGATACGCACCCATCTATGATGAGCTGTAAGATTAAGACACGCCGCGACAGCGTGTACTATCGCTCAAGCGCTCACCAGCACAATTGGCAACCGGGCCATGTTGGAATCGCTCTCTAGCCATGAGGTTTTCATTCATGCGGCTCATACCCCAAGATACGGAACGAAATTGACATTTCCACTGGCGTAAAGGAGGGGCTATGGCGGTAAGGTGGCCTGGCTTGAGCAGGCAGGCTGCCTGAGGCCTGAACCCTCTCACAAGCTGTGAGATTGTCTTCATTTCGTGACGGGTGAGGGTAAGTTGTCGTTACGTCCCCCGAAGCTCAGAATTTTGCTCAATTTGATCTGAATTTCATTTTTTCTGTGTTCGGAACGCAATCATATATTATAATTACTCGCCTACGTAACCTAGGTACAGTCCCACCCACTGGCAGACACGACGAGCGCGCGCTTAGTCATTCTCCCTGCCATCCCTCCTTGACCCACGACAACAAAGCAAATTTCATATCAGCTGGCATGATCTGATCTAGAAAGCTCAAGACCTCAACGGCAGAGGGGCGACTTGCTGCATCACTCCAGCATTTCTCGATGTAATCCCAGAAAGAATCTGCGACAGGCGGATTGGTGGGCCTTGAGGGCTTCTTGCCCTTAATTATCAGGACAGTGACTTGATGATCGCTTCGCACATCTGCATAGGGTGGTCGACCTGTCATAACCTGCGGAATCTCAGTCGCAAACCAACGCAACTAGGAATGCGAAAAAACCTGAAGCATAATACATCCGAAGGAATAAATATCGCTCGCTGGCTTTGGGGCAGTGGATAACTCTTCGTTCTCGGGCACCTCGAAGAGCTCTGGCGCGGCCCACCGCACATTGCTTCTGATGTATGAAGTCCCCGAGAGCTCAGAACACATTGTGAGGATCCCGTGGTCTGCCACGTGGGCATTGTGTTTCGAATCTATCAGAATGTTGTTCTGCCGTTCCAGACATGATCATCAGAGCCAGAAGGCGTGTATCAGACAACCAGTACTTACGGCAGTTAAGTCACCGTGAACAACGCCTTTAGAGTGGACTAGGCCACTCATCAGTGTTTGTAAAAACCATCAAAGATTCCACATACGGTAGCCGATAGCTCCAGCGACTTGCCGTAACTAAAGTTTAAATCAATAACATGATGTGCGGGCGCTTCAGATAAACAACTCACGATCCGGAGCTTTGAATCGATGGTCAAGTCTATGAAATTGTGCGCGAGATATGTGGTAAGCGAGCCGTTGTGTATCCAGGGGGACACCATCGCCGGAAGCAGCCCGAATTCGTGACTGAAACCGAGCAGAGGCAAAATATTTTTGTGACGCAGTTGCTTCCGTGCATGGAAATCGTCCAGGAGTCTCTGTCAAGACATGAGGTTTGAGCAAGTGTATCACACCATTGCAAAGGGGAAGCCAAGAACATACTTGAGTGATTCTGGCCCTGGAATCGTCGGTCACGACATCGATCCTTATGCATTTGACTGCTACCTGTCATGAATTCAGATCGCTGCCAGTGTACAGCCACATATGACGCAGCATGCTTGCCTCCAGGCCTTGACGTTTGAACGCCGTGTAAGTGCAATTCCACACATCAGCGAAACTACCTTGCGCTATGGGATTGGGTGAATTCTTGGATACAAATCCTGTGAGGTCGGGTAGGCTGCATTAGAAGTCACATGAGGTAGTGCGTTTTTACAGGATATTGAGATGGACTTGCTGGTTGTCGGGGTCTATCATCTCACCACCACCAGTGGCAGTTATCATGATAGACGGGCAGCCTTTCCACCCCAGTAACTTCCTCCAGACCCTCTCTAGCCAAGACCTGCAGTGGGATAAGAAAATCAGAATCATTCAGGTCGGTAGACTCGTGCTTCGTGAATCGTGCTCTTTTAACGAGACAGGCCCTCTTCAATAGCGTGACACGTACAAACAACAGCAGGCATCCGTGTGGGCGTAGGTTTGGGGGCGTATTATATAGGACATAAACAACAAGAACCAGCACTATCGAGAATCACATTAATATTGTTATCTTTGGCGTATATAAAAGGAAGGATATTGAAATTTGACACTCCGGAGTTTTTCCATGAGCAATCCATTGAAACGGAAACTGTAACACATTTGGATTGATCCTGGAAAGAATCTGAACTCCGCGGATATCTGAGAGATTACGTGTCCGCAATTGTGACGCTCGTCAAAAGCTTAAGCCGACAACGCTGATATTGGGTGTCCCGCGCCAATCCTTCCCCTACCGCCACCTCACCCTCGCCCCTCTTACCTTCCTCGCAGCGCAGGGTCTGGTGTCATCCGCAAGCAGGTGGAGAAGGAGGGTCTCCTATATCGTCGTAGCATGACTATCGGCACCACAAGGGCTACAGACGAAAAGGCCAAGCTGCTGCAATTACCAGTACGCCGCCCCCACTCACAAATGTCACTGGAACCCATTTCGGAACTTGGTGATTATTGCCGAAAATATTTGTTCGTAGAACATCAAATTGGTCTTCCTTTGCATCGTCGGAAGACGTTGTTCGTCGTGTGACGGCGTCATTCGCGATGATAAAATGTCGCAAGGCGAGAGGAAATCAGAGCTAGAAGGATCACGTGGTATCATGATGGTCCCAAAGACCCCAGAGCAAACGAACGTTCCTGTCGTCCGCCATAGTGACTCTTGTATTTAATCCAGTGCCGCTACTGATGCCTACGGTCATCTATGATTGCTGCCTCGAAGAGACATGCTGATCATTGGTGTTTTTTTTGGGCTCCCTCCGTCAGTACTTCACCAATCAATTGAAATCAAACATGCGTCTCGAGATGCATGGTATGAGCACGAAATACACGCGTGCCGGCGCCATCATAGGCTTCTAAGTAGATACATGAACTAGCAGGATAAGATACAGGCCAATGCCGATTGAATTGGTTATATACAAATGTACTCGCCAAAATTGGTGCAAATCCAATGTTCTCCTGCGGATTCGTCAACCGAAGCGTCCGAAACATCTATAGTCACCCCCATCTAATTATCCACCGTCTCTCCTAGCCCGCCCATTTATCCAAATCCATCTTCTCCGCCAAGCCCGTATACTACATCCCAACCATCTTCCTCCTCCACAATACGTTCGCTCCTCGTTCTCCCGATGCCAGCTTCTTGCGCTGAACGTCCCGGCCGGATTCGTGCTGCTCGAGCAGGACTAGCGGCAGTGGCTTGAAGGACCTGGACAAAGTCAAGCGTGAACGAGGCAGGGGTTGGAGCAAGAGGAGCGGGGTGGTAGAGTGCGACCGACTGTTATGAGTGATCATAATGTCAAACCTTCATGTTGATTGACAGAACAAATAAACGACGACGGCGAAGCGGGAATAAAGCGCCAGTAACTCACCGCCCAAGTTCTCTGCTACAACATACAGCCCATAAATTACTCAATGCATCGCCTGCCTAGGACAACGGAATATCGACACCTTGGGTATGAGCGAGGTAGCATACGTTGTATAGAAGCGAGGAAGGTTAAATGTCGTTGCAAATGGTTTATTTAGACAATAGGAGGGGCAACCAAGGAGCGCAGGACTCAACGACGGTAGCAACTGGACGGTAAGCGAAGACTGGGAAGCAAACACCGGTTTGGTCAACGACATGCAGCTAACAACAATAGCCTATTCCTATTTTTTATTTCAAAAGATCTCTTGAAATCACGTGGCATGACTCAGATAACAACTTCGCGTTCTTTTTAGTGGTGAGTACGTTCTGGATACCCTGCACTTTTGCACTAGCCTGCTAATAAGGCGGTGTTCACCATGGTCCGGAACTACACCGCAAAGTCTGGAGACACAGTTGATCTTATCCGCCAATGACAGGTGAGCGCTTTGCGATCTGACGTTCGCTCAACCCTTAAGAACAAGACAGGCAGAAACCATAAATATCTGAAGAACTATTTTCCTTTTGTACTATACCCGGGGACGATCACAAAGTATCGACACCTTTTTCCTTTTGTGTTAGGTCTTGTAGATTGCTGCACACAAGAAGAAGCTTGATCTCATGTAGGTCGTAGGAACATGACTACGCACAGGAAAGGTTTCCTTGTTCCCTCTGTCTTACTCACCACTGTTTCCGTGTCAAAGCATTCTGATCTTCAGTATTGGGGGGAAGCGGTCACTTCGCAAAGGGTGGTACAGTTCTTGGTCCGATTCGAGTCTGCCTCCCACAGATAACTGGAAAAAAACCGAGCAAACAGCGCTGCATAACGAGTTTGGACAACATAATCGAGCTGCGATGGTAGCTTTGGATGGTAAGGTTACGACAAAGATAAGCAACGGAAGATGGATGCTCTAGCGTCAATCTTGCATGCGTGTGGATCCATATTGATGCATATAAACGCACCGCAAGATATCTTCCTCCGAGTCTGATGGAAAGACATGGAGTAAAACAATCGTGAGACAATGAATCTCACACAGCCCATCAGATTTTTCCTTCATACTTGTTATCAAACGCTCAAAACCCTGAGCGTTAGGCTCAAACAGGTCACTGGGGCCTCGTAGTCGTGGTATTTTTGTGTTGATGGCATTGGTAATTTGTCTCTTCACAAGTGGTATATAAGGATGCCCACATCGTCTCCTTCATCCCATCAGTTGTCTACAACCCGTCATTTTGAACACTGAGAGCTTTACTTCGCAATGAGTAACAATTCCCCCGTAAGTCGATGTTGCTTTTACATTGATGTCAGACTAATTGCAGTGGCAGGATACCGATGTCTCTGATATGGATTACAAAATCCCACCATTTCTTATTCCTGCGACGGACATTACACGACTGGAACCATTTTATAATGGTTCAGGAGGACTTGGCGACGTCTGGAAATGTTCCATGTCTGTATCTGCGAAATCTGTGAAATCTACGAAATCTAAGGAATCTGCGAAATCTGAGCTTGTAAGTCTAAAAATTGTGGTAGAAGACCCGATATTGATCACAATCATCAAGGTCGCTGTCAAATCAATCAGGATCATAGAGTCGAACGATGAAGCACTAGTCACAAAAGCACGCAGGGTTAGTACATGAGGTTTATATTGACAGTTCTACTCGCTGATTGACAATTTCACTCGCCACACCAGGCAATTCGTAAAGAGGCTTATGTTTGGATTCTGTTGTCACATGACCGCATTCTCCCTCTCAAGGGTGTCACCGAAGGATTTGGCAAACTTCCTGCGCTAGTTGCTCCGTGGATGGAAAACGGATCATTGAATGATTACTTAAGGCGCGAACATTCCAAACTGTCTGGCCATCAAAAACTGGAGCTCGTAAGTGGATCGCTAATATCAAACCTAGCATATACTCAGCCACGATTTCAGATACAGGAGGTGGCTGCTGGACTTAGTTATTGTGCGTTCCTGATATGTTTTGTACGCACTATATACTAAAGACTATCTCCTAGTGCACGTCGATGTGCACGAAGAGGGTATCGTACATGGTGATTTGACAGGAGTAGGTCTCATTCTGATGTGCACGTAGTATTTAATTAATTGTTTTTAGACCAACGTTTTGGTCGATGGCTCTGGTCACATCCGTCTCGCGGACTTCGGTCTATCAATCATTCTCTCTCGGGCAGACAGCATCACGTTCAGCTCCTGTCATGTAGGAAACATGCGTTGGATGGCCCCTGACGTTCTCGCCTTGGACATGCCAACCAAAATGGGGGATATCTATTCGTATGGCTGCGTGGCGTTGCAGGTCTGTCAGATGGCTGGTCTTGAAATAAATTTCTTACAATAGTTCCAGGTCTTCTCGGGACACCAGCCCTACGAGGGGCTTAAGTCTGTTTTTGCCGTTACGATGGCAATGACCCAGGGAAGAGCACCTTTCGCTGTCATGAATGAAGACGGATTGGACGAACGGCTCACATCGGGATGCTTCAAGACAGCAGAAGAACGTTTGACGATTCAGGACATCATGGGTATTCTAGGGTTACAGTAAGCGTTGAAGTCGTCAGAGTGAGAAATTCGAGCGCAACCAAAGAGTACGAATACACGACATACGATAAAGATATGAGCATGTACGAACGAGCATCTCGGTCCTTTCCTCCGAGACTAATATTATATAGTATATCTTTTTTCAATCAGCTCCCATACTGCACGCAAGAAGGCTATTAGGATCATTCCGCGAATCCTTTGGGCCCATCCGAGACGCCCGCAGTATCGCCTTGGTGAAGCCATCCTTAAGATCCTTAAGATCCTTCAGATCTCCGAGAGCGATAGACGGCAAGAGGACGTGATGTGGCTCTCCTGGTGTCGGAATAATGATGGCAGGTGGTACATAAAAAAACAAGGAAGTGAGAATATACACGAAATGACATGATGTATAATGGGACACAGAACCGAAGTTAACATAAAGACAAGAAAGTGAATTGTGTCAAAATCGGGACCTTATAAAGAAGAAGTCTCGTTCGACAGTGCTTCTTGAAGATAGTTTATTACATCTTCTACTGATGGACGGACCTCGCTCTTCATTGACCAACACCGCTGCATAAAATCCAGGTGATTGGGCTGGATCTCAATGGAGGAGTCGATTGGCTCTAGGTGTCTGAACCTAGCAGACACAACATGTGTGGCAGTCTTAAGCCACCAGTAAGGCTGTATCCCATATAGGACCTGCACGCAGGGAGTATTACTAGTGTCACTAGTAAGCCAACGAGAGACTAACCAGAAGCATGATACCGCCGAGAGCGTATACGTCGGTAGATCTGGTTGCGCATTGTATGGGTTAATCTTCCGGGGGGTCAAGGAGCTCTGGAGCGACCCAGCGAATTGCACCGATGTGGAAGGAAAAGGTAGGGCTGGATTGCACCATGATATTGGAGATTCCGAAATCCGCAAGGCGAGGCGATCCATCGTCAGCAACTAGAACATTGTTCTGCAACAACGATAAGAAGATTACGGTTGCACGACATGTGTGAACTTACACTAGCGAGGTCGCCGTGTATCACGTTTTGATCGTGGACTGTGAAAAGATATGCATTAGTTACATCGGTCGGTTCCATGTTCAATTCACTCACGATACTGGAGCCCCTCGGCGATTTGTTTAAGCTATTGAAGACGCGGTAAGTTCTCATTCGTCGGCTTCGTAAATAACACTTACGAGGAGGAGCCTACCCATCATCGAGAGGGTCTTATTCGCCTTAAGGTAAGAGTCCAAAGTCCCATTCGGTATCCAGGGGGAAACTAATGCGCGAAATGGGCCGAACTCCTCTACAGTGCCATGTAAGGGCAATACATATTGATGCTTCAACGTGGCCCATATACGGATCTCGCGGTCAAGGTTCTGTGTTTCAAAAGATCAGATATGAGCCTTCAGACTGTACCCCAATATACCTTGTTGATTTTGACACGTTCAGGTTTACTCAGAGTTATGAATCGTGGGGATTTGACTGCGACCTGAACTCAAAATCAAGACATGCAGACAAAGCTAATTTATGGAGTACCTCATCCGAACTTGCGCTGGAGTTCCATGTGCACTTGTAAACATCTCCAAGGCCACCTGATGCGGTTGGGTAGATGGTTTGCCTAATGATATCGCTTGGTTTGATACAGGTAGCACTGATGTCCAATGTTTACAAAGTCCTGACATGAGATAAAGAAATAACATACGAGTACTCTGTGTCAGGACTAGAGTCGCATTCACTGGGGATATGATCTTCAGAAGTTCTATTGGGAGTGTCGGCAATCGGGGTCTCGCTTGCGGGAATACTATCAACAGAAGGCTGGACAAGAGACACTTGGTCATTTGGTGTCCGAGTCTGTCCAGCCTGTCGCTTAGGGTAAGATGAGTTGATGACTACACGGCCATGGTTACAAACGTACAAGGCCAAGGAATTGTTGCAGGAGGGAGAACATGTCGACGGGAAATCACAGTGGCAAATACTTTTGCTCACTAGCACCGCTGTCTTATATGCAGACAATATTAGTACGTCAACATCGCAAAGTTATCCCTACGGATAATTACGGCGAGAAGAAACTGCGTAGGATCCAACCGAGGACGTCACGACTGGTATCGGTCGAAATGATGCTGTGGATGAATCCGATCGACACTGAATGCTGTCCTTCCACTACAAAAGCTCATTTCAGTATATACAGGCGTCAATTGTGTTTTGATGTACAGCGGATAATGAGCATCAGACATCCTGAAGCGCGTGGCCAGGGATGTGGAAAGCACTGGCAGCGCAAGAACAACAGTAGTTGAGCGAAGCAATATCTGCTTTAGGCGGCTTCGGTACCATTAGACGATCCTTGTGGCAGAGTTGGAGTTGTAAGATGAAGACACGCCGCAATGGCTTGTATTGTCGCTCAAGCGCTCGCTGACAAACAAATTAGCAACCGGGCCATGTTGAAATCGGTCTTTGGTCGTGAGGTTTTCATTCAATGGTTCATGCCCCAAGATACGGAACGAAAAGTACATTTCCACCGGTGTAAAGGGTGTCAGGTGGCCTGGCTTCAGCCGGCTGCCTGAAACATTGTCTTCATTTCGTGCACTGGCGAGGGTCACATTTCGGTACGTCGCCAAAGTTCAGAATCCTGCCCAAATCGATCACCGTGATCAGTGAACTGGTGAGTTCTTGGCTGATCGCGGTGCTTTTACATGGTCATATATTGGACCATATGGTGACCTGTTGCCATTCCGAAGTAGATCGGCTCTCTATGGGGTGAAAAACTGTCAGCAACACCCTAAGTCTGATGCGGAATCACTAGCAAGACTATGATGAGGAGAAACAAGACAGATGATAAATTATTAAACTGCGATGGAAGAACTGTTAGACGAGGTCAAAAGCAAAGAACAAAATACAAACGGATGCGTCGTAACTAGAAGTTGAAGGTCCGCTACTAGGTCCCGGCATGGGGCGGACCGTGCTTTTTCACCACAGAAACGCAAGTCCCTGAGCCATCATGAGACCCACAGTGCTACCTGTAACCTCTGAAGTCGCCGCTCGCAGGTTCAACCCCTCCGCGCCCTTTCACTTCCTACATCATCGGCGGACGGACCTCAGCGTTGAGGCTTACAGTCGAGCGTATTTCTTTGGGCGGCGCTTTTCCATGCACACCACTTTTTGATTTCCTCATTCTCGTGTCCCAGCCTCACTCATCACACAAGTTTGCCACCCACTCATGCAAAACTTTAATGTGGTGTAACTTATCTGTAGTATCTCCTTCATAGTATATATTTCGATTCTTTACATCTGATGAAAGTGACTGCAACATCACCGTGGAGTCATGCTCGACGTCGTTGTCGACCTCGATGATATCCACGGGAAATTTTCGAGCGGGTTTAGTTGGTTGACTTGCAACGCACGGGCTCGTAAAAATTACTGGAAATTTATTTTCAAACACTACGCGGCGATATACCTAGTCGATTGTACGTTAGTAGAAGCTAGTCGTTCGACTCACGATATTATTCCTGACCTACCAGCGATCCGCGGTGCACACGTAGATATCTGAGGCACACTGGCAGCCAGCCATAGGGAGGTGTTAGCAATATTAGCCTCATGATTTTTGGTACGTGTTATTAGCGTATTATTGAACCCTAAAGCGCAGTGACATGATCTGACTCTAGAAAGCTCAAGACCTCAACGGCAGAGGGGCGACTTCCTGCATCATTCCAGCATTTCCCGATGAAATCCCAGAAATAATCTGCTATAGGCGGACTGGAGGGTCTTGTGGGCTTCTTACCCTTGATGATCAAAACAGTGACTTGATGATCGCTTCGCACATCTGCATAGGGTGGTCTGCCTGTCATAACCTGCGGAATCTCAGTCGCAAACCAACTCAAGTAGGAATGCGAAAAACCTGAAGCATGATGCATCCGAAGGAATAAATATCGCTCGCTGGCTTTGGAGCAGATGACTCTTCGTTCTCGGACACCTCGAAGAGCTCTGGCGCGGCCCACCGCACGTTGCTTCTGATGTACGAAGTCCCTGACAGCTCAGAACATATTGTGAGGATGCCATGGTCTGCTACGTGGGCGTTGTGGTTCGAATCTATCAGAATGTTGTTCTGCCGTTCCAGATCGTCAGAGCTAGAAGGCGGGTACAAGACAACTTGTACGTACGGCAGTAAGGTCACCGTGAACAATGCCCTTCGAGTGGACTATGGTACCGTTAGTACTCAGTGTATTTATAAATCATCGAAGCGTCCACATACGGTAGCTGATGGCTGCAGCGACTTGTCGCAACTAAGGGTTTAATGAATAACATGATGTGCGTGCGCTTCTAAGAAACAACTCACGATCCGGAGCTTTGATTCGATGGTCAATTGTGTAAAATTGTGTGCAAGATATGTGGTGAGGGAGCCATTGTGTTTCCAGGGGGAAACCATCGCCGGAAGCAGCCCGAATTCGTAACTGAAACCGAGCAGAGGCAAAAGATTTTCGTGATGAAGTTGCTTCCTTGCATGGAAATTGTCCAAGAGTCTCTGTCAAATCATGAGGCTTGAGCAAGCGTATCACATGGAAGGGGGAAGCCAAGAACATACTTTAGTAATTCTGGCCCTTGAATCGTCACCTGCAACATCGATCCTTATGGATTTGGCTGCTACCTGTCATGGATTCAAATCGCTGAAAGGCCATATATCATGCAGCATGCGGCTTGCCTCCAGGCCTTGACGGTTGGACGCGGTGTAAGTGCATTTCCACACGTCCCCGAAACTACCCTGCGCTACGGGGTTGGGAGACTCCTTGGATACAAATCCTGTGAGGTCGAGTAGTAGGCTGTATTAGAAGTCACATGAGGTAGTGCGTTTTTACAGGATATTGAGATGAACTTGCTGGTTGTCGTGGTCTATCTCACCACCACCGGTAGTTCTCATGACAGATGGGCGGCTTCTCCACCCCAGTAGCTTCCTCCAGACCTTCTCTAACCAAGACCTGCAGTGGGATAAGAAAATCAGAATCATATAGGTTGGTACCATAGATGGCCTGGAAGTGTAAATCAGTGTGGTAATGCAGATTTTGAACAGACCCGTCGGACCTCTTATATATGACTTCCGTCTAGAAAAATTGATTGTACCAGTAGTTAATAATAGAGTGAGTTATGGAATTTCACGTTACTTAACGAAGTGTAGCGTTCTAGAGAAATCGGTGGTGCCAGTTGCGGACTCCAATTTGCGCAGTTCATACTGTGCGGGCTCTTCCATCGAATCTGCGATATAGGACCAAATCACCGGCTGACTTTTCTAACAGCGCATTTACGCCCGATCCCACTGATATGCGACTCATTGGTTTACCTTACGGTCCTTCCCAGTGGGCAACTTCCTTGCTGCTTGAATCGTCTTCTCTGGGCGTCCCAACTGTGATCCTCAGCATGTGAATCAACTCGTTGGTCCGTAACGTGTAGCTTGAACATCAGTAACGCAAATTCAATTCCCGTTGGGATGTGTGCTATGATCGATATCGTGGATCTCACGGCGGGGACTCCAAAGCGCTTGGGTTATAAATTGTATTTGTGACGTTTCGTCGTGAGGCATACACGTTGCTGGAACAGAAGAAACCTGTATGAATCTATATCATTTCATTCGGAGACACATTGAACGCCCGTACGTACTGCCATAGATCTGGACATGTGATTAACACGAAAAGGTAGGGGTTGGCGATCGCAAGCCTTGGAGTGTGACAATCGAATCATGGGTCCCCCAAGTTGGGTTCTATGTAAAACGATGAATCCTCATATAATAAAGTCAATTTCCGAACCAGTTTGATACAAAACATGAGTTAATACATAGCATCTCTGTAACGATACATCAAGTCTCGGACTTCAGCAATAGGAGGTCGCTGTGACATCTCGAGCCAACATTTCTCGATGAAGTCCCAGTGGTAATCTTGAATGACAGGGGTCTCTGGCCGCTTGGGCTTCACACCCCTAAGTATGGCCACAACCACCTGGTGATCACTGCGAATGTCGTAGTATGGCTGCCGGCCCGATAAAACCTAGCATAAATGTGAACAAAAAGGTTGTAAATACACTCCATTGACAGACCTGGTATGCAACACATCCAAAAGAATAAATGTCGCTCTCCAGTTTCGGTGAGCTTGGCACACCCTCGGTTTCCGGAACTTCAAAAAGCTCTGGCGCGGCCCAGCGCACGTTACTCCTGATGTAAGAGGTCCCGTTCAGCTCGGAACATGTAGTCAAGAGTCCATAGTCTGCTAGCAGAGCTCTTCCGTCGCTATCGATGAGTACATTGCTCTAAGAGGATGTGAGATGGGTCACATGCATGCATACTCCATCGTGCTTACACCTGTGAGATCTGCATGTGCCACTTCATTAGCGTGGACTGAGTGCCCTTTATCAGCATATCTTAATGCAATAATGCGACAATGACATGACGTACGATAATAAAGACCAGCAGCTACATCAGCAAGCTGTAACGCTCGTGAGTTGCGGTGCGGTCATGTGATTGGGAAAGACTTACCAAGCCAATCTTATCCGCCTCAGAAAGTGTGTCATAGCGTTTATTGAGATAGGTGCTCAAGGATCCGTTAGGCATCCAAGGAGAAACAATGGCTGGTACTGGACCAAACCCGTAGGTAATCCCGCACAGGGAAACAATGTTATCATGTCGCAGTGGTTTCCATTTGTGAAAGTCGTTCATTAATCTCTGAAAATATTTCGTATCATTGTAGTGGGTTCTGGTTCATGTTAGCCAACCTTGTTGACGATTTCCTTGAAATGGTCATCCGGAATTTCGATCCTTACGCATTTGACCGCCACCTTGAAATATCATTAGATACCAGAATGCCACGGGCGCTAGATTGATACCGACCTCCACATTATGATCTTTGTCTGAGAATCTGCATTTCCATACGTCACCGAAGCCGCCCTGAGCGATAGCATAAGTAGATTCCTTGGCAACGTTCAGAGTAAGGTCGGTTAAGTCTCTAGACGACTCGGATTGGCTGCCGAAAGATTAGCCTCATCGGAGGAAGCTCTGCAAGAGACTGAGTCCACTCACTCATTACCACTGACGATTGCATCCGCGTGTGTCGACTCTGTCGAGGACGACAATTCTTTTTCGGGCTGAGATTTCCCATTTGTCCACCTTTTAGGCAAGACAAAGTTGAAGATCCAGGTGGTGAGGAAAACCATACGTCACTAGATTGGCAGTGTAATTGAATTGGGCAGGGTAGATCTTTATATGCCAGTACTCTCCAGAGATGGTGTATCAATGATATTTTCTGGCCTTCAGAAAGTTCTGTCTTTATATACAGGTCGCCAGTGCTGTGGTCTGCAGTGTAGCGCGTAACGCAGAGCCTAATAGTTTGCCCCGATCGGATACAGCCGTGCGAGGACTTAAATTCTCTTTCTTTCCCACCATCCCCGCGCCAGAATTCGGAACTCTTGTTTTCTCAAAACAGACTCGGAACTAGTTGCCCTGTGCGGCCATACCCTATGCTGCCAGGAAATACATAATGAAGTCCTAGGCTGCCCTTGACCAGACGTAATACAAACTACGAACTACAGCCTACATGCTGGGTAATTACTGCTCGCGTCCGCTGCTCTGCAGCCATATTGAACAAAATCTCAGTGTCCATCAGCGGCCTATCCGAACGGGAAAACTTCCGCGCCTTGGGAATGTTGAACGTCGCAACTTTGGTAAGTGTTCTTGGTTATACAGGAAGCAATGCAAATACCTGGAGCATATTTCCAGACGAGTAAGCATTGCTTCGCATGATATAATGGAGAGAGTCATTCCTCCTGAGAGATGGAGTCGTCTGCTTGAAAAACTCCACAGTCTCCACACTGGGCACGTCACTCTCCTTCAACTTAACACCACCGACGTTCGTTCATTAGGTTTCCCTGAATAGTACGAGTAACCAACTGTTCAGATTGAGTAAGACATAGCCATGTCTCACAGGACCAATATTTACAGCAGTCTCTCGATGGATGCTTCTTTGATGTCTATGCCATTGCGATAGAGTTTTATTGGGATCTGGAACCGAGAGGTCTCTGTGCAGATGCAGATGCAGATTGAGGGACCCGACTCCGTCCGGTCATCTTCATTCCAGACCTTGACAGCCTTAAGGCGCGGGCTAGGAGGGGTTGTGTCCGACCCCAAAGTTGAAGATTCACGCTTCAAGATTGGTCCTGAGCGAATATTCCATAGAGATTGCGTTGTCTGGCAGATATCTAATCTTTCCAGGAGCTCTGCATGTCGCCAGTCCATAGTTGTCGATATCCCAACGAGTCACAGACTTACACCACAATGATATGGAGTGGAGGTTCCTGTTGTAAGTATCTGATAACCATTACCACTGCTGGTCGCGCAACACTGTCACAAGGACAGTCGGCAATGAGAACACCATTCAAGAACTACAAAGGCCGAGTCACCACTGGCGGCATGCACATCAGCCGAGATATGATGGAATTAAACAAATTTTAGGCGTAGTTTACTAAGGCCATATGCATGAGGGGTCTTTCCAAGCCTCTTGAGGCAGAAAAGGGAATTTCGCACGGTGAACTTGCAGTGAAAGTATCACTTCAGGAGAGAAGAGCGCCTAAAGCTGTGAGTTAGTTAGATCTTGAGGCCTGAAGCTGAAGCCCTGCCCATGAGTGTATCGAATTCTTCAAACTCAGGGAATACCTATTGGACACTTGCAAGTCACGCTAACCGAAATTCCTGGGAGAATGCGAGGCTCCTAGGCTATTTCTAGGCTATGGAAGCTAGAACTTCGCGGAAATGTTTATCTCTGCTTCATGAGCAAGGAGCTTGCAGAAGACCAGCATTAATATCTCACGCTGGCAATAGATGTTGATGGCATGCTCAGACCGCATTCCATATTGCTGGCTGGCTATTGAGAGATTGGATAGGACTCTTGGCTCACGCACTATCTACTTGAAAGTTTCTGTATGAGCAGCGAACGCGTCGGGTGTGCAAATCTAATCGGTGTAGGTATGACAGCAGATGCTGAACGTCCTACCGCAATGCACTCTGGTGTTGACCCTGCTAAAAATGGAGACCTTCCCGCGCGACCCGGCGCATCCCTATTTCAAATCCATGATATATCGGTGGATGCATGAGCGGGTCATGATGCGTGCATTGCATTCGATGGCGCTAATAAAGACTGCAGCTGTGAAGAGAGGAAGTGAGAATGTCATACACGCTGCGCAATTCTCAGGAGTGGGAGAAAACAGGGTCTCATGAGAGAGAGATAGTTGGGTCTAACGCCACATAGTGCATCGCAATCCTTACCTGATCCAATACCACTGCCGAAGGCAAATTTCCAGATTCATCACCTGCATGATGCTCAGAATCCTGATGGGGAGCAGCTTGGCTTGGCTAGATGAAAATTCATTGAGAGGTACGACAAGCTGCGTTGGTAACACGTACACCTGCAACTAAGTTCGTCATACTTGACCCAGACCCCCCCGCAATGGCACCAGCCCCTGCACTACTCTGAGTTAATCCCGTAAGCCCCTCCTCTCTCGGGACAATGTCTATCAGAAAGTCGAATTGGTCTGACTTCGCAAGTGCCTTCGCAATATCGGCACGGGAGAGTGTTCGACGCTTATTTGAGTCGGCTATGATGAATGCGCGTGCGGTTATTTCAGAAATGAAGACTTCATGATGGGCGAAAGTGTGAAATTTTACGTGACGAAGCAGGGAGGAGAATGAAAACATTAAATTTCTGTGGCGGAAAGGGTACTGCCGGACGCACTTTCACATGCTTTGCAAAATAAGATAGGCGCGTCTGCTGCGATCATCTGTGAACGTAGTCACTGAGTGAGAACTCGGCATCGTTTTATGAAGGAGCGACATACCTTCACGTCTGGATCGCTCTTCATTACTTTCTTAATGCGAGCGAGAGGGAGTGGAGGATGCCGGTAATCTGGGGTCTCTTGCTCTGCCGCATCCACTTGCCGCTGCCAAAATGAACGAAGGAAATCATTGAGAGGCTCCCCGGACTGCACATATGGGGTGGTGGGCGACATTAAAGAGTAGGTGGGAAGATCTATCAATTCGCGTAGGGTATTATTAACCTTAACCCTAGATTAAGGGCAAACCATGACTTACCATGGCTGCAGCCTGCGGCTAGTACCCTACCACACCCATCAGCGCTCTGGGAGCATCGCATTCTGTCCTTCATTTCCTACTTTGTCACATTGAACGCGTTTTATTCGCTATGCGTGCAGCGAGGCAAAGAATCTCCGTCGAGAGAAATGATACCTGCTGTGAGCCTGCGACCATGCGGCAGGCTCTGTCAAGCTTGGTATCAGGATTGTCACATCTCGCAGCTTTAGAGTATATGTGCACACACAGATACGTAAGGACGTCGTTTGGAATGCCCTTTTATCGGTCTCAATCATGGAAAGTGCTTTGGCAGTTCATGTGAATAGGTCCGTTGAAAATTCATCTCAGTTAACAGTAACTTTGCAATAATTGAGTTGGAGAAGTGAGTCACATAATAGAAGGAACGAATGTCTTCCATCATGGTCTGCCTAGGGGAGGCTAGAGAAGTCACAAGTTCGTATCAAAGCTACCGAGTTAGCGGGGAACTCTAAATGTGGCACCACCTTCGCGGTCTATTAGTGAAAGGGTTAGGGTGATTGCTTGCATGGACAAATACATTTATAGGCGCCAATCACAGGTAACTCCTCGTCTGTCGATGGATTACCGCTATGTTGATTATGGTCCAATTGCAGTGTGGTGACAATAACCCTGGCGCACCTCACTTAGTTAGGCTTTCGGAAACCTAGAAGTGCATTCATGAAGGAAAGCCATTTATGCGCACCGACTTTTCTTACTGTATGTTTCTACGGATTACCCCATGCGCAGTAATGCAGTATGGCCTCTTCATCCCTCATCAGTGTTCTCTCGTGGTGTCGGTCCATTCTTTGCTGTCTGTTCTCCAAGAAGCTTGCCGGCTCGGTTCCAGCCACTGGTGAAGACCCGGACCCGGACCATGATAATGCTCCGAATAATGTTGTCAATGCACCATCTCGTGATTGTGATCAAAATCACGAGCTTCTAGAGCACAAGTTAGTGAGTGATTTTTAGGATCCTTCCATTGTAATTCTTCTGGTGCATTTTAGTATGGAGGAACTGAATTATAACACAGCAGAATGCTGAAACTTTGGCCGCACCCGCACGTCAAAACTCAGTTGATGACGTTTTGCGCACTGGATCCTCGTCTAGTGCATCGACTTTACCTTTTACAATGCCGGCGCAGATTTGCACCACAAATTCACACCACAACCCAGCAGAAAGAACATCCAAGCTCCAACTGTTCTCCAAAATACTTCGGATACTCCAATTTGGTGTGACGTCACCTGGAGTTGGTTCCCCACAGTCAACTTCTAACTCGAATTCAAACGATCCGACAAACCTGTGAGTGCCAGCTAGCAAGTTCAAACTATGGCCTTGAGGATAACATGGTCCAGAATCCGTACCCTACCTGATTTAACAGGCCAACTGAATCGTACGAGCGCTTATGCTACTTCTTTCGGTGGGCTGAGTGACATCTGGCGATGTACATGGAACAGGAATGGTAGTATTGTTGTTGTAAGTGCGTCCCGACTTTCTGAGCATGTCCGAGTCTGATGAAGACACCGTAGGTGGCTGTGAAGTCGATCAGGAGTCAAGCACTAGACGAAGGGGATGCGAAGAAAAAAAGCAGGGTAGGTCAGCGTGCTCCGCACAATCCCAAGTGTTGTTTATTGGTTATTATAGAGGCTTCGCCGTGAGCTCAAAGTTTGGTTGAGACTTAGACACGACAATGTCGTCCCACTATACGGCACCGTATCCGGCTTTGGTCAATTTGTTGCCATGGTTTGTCCCTGGTATGACAACGGATCACTTTCAGGTTATCTTGAATCCCTTGGCGAAACTTTGTCCTCAGTCAATCGTTTCCAACTGGTGCGTCTTGTATGATCTGTCTGAATGCGTACCAATGCCTTGGCAGCTCAGTGATATTTCTGCGGGTCTTCAATATCGTAGGCTCCTTGTTCTGTTCTGCAGCATAGTTGTTAATGATTCTTTTGCCCCAGTTCACTCTTGCTCCGTTGTTCACGGCGATCTTACTGGGGTGAGTAGATGGTTTCCTGAATTCATCACTGATGATGACCATATCTGCAGTCCAATGTCCTCATCTCATCCGATGGGAGGGCCCATCTGTCTGACTTTGGTCTCTCCGTCATCATTGTGGATTTCGTGGGCACGTCTTATTTTACGTCTGCATTGAGTGGCACTGTGCGGTGGACAGCACCCGAACTTCTTGAAATTCCCGAAGACGATGCAATCATCATCCCGACATCAAACAGCGATATATATTCGTTTGGGTGTATTATGTTCCAGGTTTGCCCGATATTCATTCCTTCATCACCTAGTCTCACCTTTGCGTCAGGTATTGACAGGCAAAGCACCGTACTCCGAGTTCAAGCGAGATGCACAAGTTGTGGTTGCAATTTCTCTCGGAACGAAACCGTCGCGTCCTGAGTACCCTGCTATCGGCGATAACCATTGGCGTTTCATTCTGAACTGCTGGTCCATCAAGGACTGCAGACCATCTGCCCAGCAGGTAGATGAGTACGTCAAAGGCCAGCTCCACCTCTTACAACATGACGCATCGGCTCCCGGATAATCTGTCGGGGCTGGCTTAACCTCATGCCTATATGTACGGACTTAAATTGCTATTTTCGTGCAACATATACCATCGCTCTGAGTTCTGTATTCTCGAGAAGTTCTTCCATAGCAAGCACCCCGCAACAATACTGACCGCAACGCTTGATTCGGTATAAGTGGACTACTCACATCGGTTATCCGTGCCAGACTATTCTCATCTGATCCAATGAGGTCAACGCCTTCTATGAATGGCTTCTACAGCATCCAAATCTGTCATGGATCGTTCTGATAGTGATCATCCACTATCTAACGATCTGCTCACAAGGGCTGTTGCTCACCTTTACCCAATTGCTTCAGTGCTGATCACCTCATTGCTAGAGCGTCAACAATATCTTGACATCTCGTACGGGATGGTGGTTGCAGTGAGCGCTCCTTGCATCTAAATCTTATCCTTAGAGTTTCACCGGCACCGGTATCTCAGGATAAAATTTACAGGCCAACATGCTAGCCATAGTGATCTACCAGATCTAGGGTCTGTCCTCTTGCATAAAAGATGGTATACGGCTTGTGATGGATTGCGCTTATTCTCTCCTCATCCTGTTGCCACTTCTTGATGTCAGAACAGTCAGAACAGAAGGCCGAGTCACCAGTTAGCCCAACTCGTGGGTGGTCTCCAACCGCATTCTGGGAAGCGGTCCGTCGTATTCTGCCCTCTAAGCCTCCTATGAACGGCCATCCGTTGGAGTCCGGTCCAAATACCCTAGTGTGTAATTATATTTCCTCTATCAAGAGCATCCTGTCGAACCATTTGCTGCAGGATCAACCTCAGATAGACATCATACATCACCTAGCGGCTTCACAGCCACTCACACACCATGAAGCTGAGGAACCAATGTTGGTGACTTGGCGATTCTGACATTTCACTCTAAATGATAGCGAATTAGATACCTCCACCCGATAGACGGCCTTCCTGATCTCAGTGGACAGATCAAGGACAAGGGTGTCTTCCCTCACAGCATTGGCGGATTCAGTGACGTATGGAAATGCATCTGGACTCGGATCGACAAGAATGAACGGGTTCGTTTGAATTGTATCCGTCGGTCGCACACTTGTTGACTGTCCTCCAGGTCGCTGTGAAAGCAATCAGGATTCAAGGCGACGTCAAAGACAGAGAGAAGAAGAGCAGGGTAAGCTGTCGACGTCCGCTGTAATTCCGCGATCTTATACTGTTGTAGCGCCTGTGTCAGGAGGCAACAATATGGGTGACCCTGAAAAATGAGCACATCTTGCAACTCCTTGGACTTACATGGGGGTTTGGTCCTCTTCCAGCCCTAGTTTGTCCGTGGGTTGAGAACGGTTCGCTGAATTCTTACCTGGAATCGAAGCAGCACAGGGATATCTCTTTGAGGCTGAGATTCTACATCGTAAGTACCTATTCGATCTTCCACTTTACCAACGACTTACGTATCCTGTGCTCCAAGCTCCAAGGAGTGGTGTCAGCAGTATCATATCGTAAGTACTCTCGAACAAGTGCATGGCTTCTTCTGATGGACGGAATTCTAGTTCATTCGCAAAATGTCGTACATGGCGACATCACAGGAGTATGCTCATAAACCGTAATATTAATTTGGCAATTAACATTTGCTACAGTCGAACATACTCATCAATGGACAAGGAGAACCGCTTCTGTCGGATTTTGGCCTCTCATTCTTGGACATGGAGCTCACGGGAAATTCGTACTTCACGTCCTGCAAGCCAGGCAATGTACGATGGGCTGCACCGGAATTATTGATTCCCCTGCAAAACGGATCTCCGTGCCGTGCGTGTGTAAAGAGCGATGTTTACTCTGTGGGCTGTGTGATACTGCAGGCAAGTCAGCCATGATCCACGTTGTGGTATCAAATTGCGAATATGATGTTGACTCCGTGACACAGGTGCTTTCTGGCCGCGTGCCCTACGCTGCCTGGACTGATTATATGGTCATCAGCGAGAAGTTTAATGGCACGGAACCCCCGCGAGTTCCCGAATCTCCCATTGATGACCGTCATTGGCAATTTATGAGACGCTGCTGGCGTAAGAAGCAAGAACGATCTGTAAAAGTGAAGGATATCGCCGAATTCATCAAAAAGGAACTGGAATCTAGATGATGCACGGAAGTTTGGGAGGCAATCAGCTGTAGTTGTTGTACTGTATTCAGACTATATATTTTCGCCGGTTACCGCGGCGTTAGCTTCAGGCTCAGCGAGCATGAGAAATTGCAGCGCGTCTTCCGATAAACAGCAATCAATTGCCTTGGAAGTTGAAATGCTCACTGCCATTCTTCACTGGCACCCCGAGGCCCACAAATATCGCAAGATGTCATGAGGCGAGATGCCACAGAAGCCTCGATGCAGAGATACAGTCACAGCTAGTGAATTATGTGAAAATTGTCGTGGAAGCGCCTAGGCAACTATAAGTACGTGTACTGTACGTTTGCATATTTATCGAACCTTACTCCCGAAGTGCTGGGAATTGACCTTTCAATAATGTCTGACCGCGACGACCGTCCTTCGGTTCGGTCATGGGTTGGAGCCATCATTTCTGGATTCTTCCAACAGCTGCCTCTCTCAGGCTTGTGGCAAAATCAGGCAAGTTTTGCTTTTTTTTCTAGGCTGAAGTTCGACCAGCACATCCTTAGTCTTTCGAGTAGTTCTTCAATAATATGCTGATGCGTATTGCATTCGAATTAGGTGTATTCCGCAGAGAGTCGGACAAGAATGTATCATTCATTTCTACTTGCATCAACAATAGTCTAACACTCTTCTGTTCAGTGGTATTCTTACGGGGCAAATAGAGGGAAAGGGAGCCTATCCGACAGCATATGGGGGGTATTGTGATGTGTGGAAGTGCAGCTGGAGGAAGGATTCGGGAGCCATCGAGGTATATATATGTCTCAATGGCGTTTCAGAGTACATTGACTGACAAACTGCAGGTAGCAGTCAAAACTGTCAGAGTGCACGGAAGTGATTTAGACAGGGAAGGGAAGAGCAAAGTAAGTCCTTCAAAATTTCACTTGCTACGAATGTACTCAATATGAGATACAGAGACTTAGTACAGCAATTGAAGGATGGCTGCAGTTGGATCATGACAACGTTATACCAATTTTCGGGATGACGTTTGGATTTGGTCCCTTGCCAGCCTTGGTATGCCCGTGGATGAAGAATGGCACCCTGACACGTTACTTGGAGCAAAATCACCATCAAATCACTGCCTCAACCCGAAAGGCAATGGTGAGCGGCCTTCATGCGTTTCACAATTGTCGACCCACTTCACGGCATTATGTAGCTCCTGCAAGTCATTTCCGCAGTTCGTTATCGTACGTATTAACTTTTCATCTGTTTGCTCGCGCCAATTTAAGCTTTTATAAAAGTGCATGACCATGGGGTCATTCACGGGAGTCTTTCTGGGGTATGTATCACTTGACCCTACCGAGTGACGCTAACACCCCATTTTAGTCGAATATCTTCATCAACGATCTCGGACAGGCGTGTGTGGCTGACTTTGGGATGGCAGCTCTATTGCTGGAGTTTTCTAGCGAGTCTTATTTCTCTTCTTCCATTGGAGGGGCGGTAAGGTGGATCGGACCTGAGCTCTTCCAAGTGCCTGACGAATCAAGTAATTCTGTGGGCTTCCCTAGTACTCAAGGTGACGTATATTCCTTTGGGTGCATCATGCTTCAAGTGCGTATCTTTGTGCCTCAGTGAATATGTCCTCAGCCTCGCCCTAGATCCTTTCTGGCCAAATCCCTTATCATTACTTCCAGCGTGACACACAAGTCTTCTTTGCTATATCTACAGGCGTCAAGCCGTTACACCCAGAAAGTTCCTGTGTTAACGATTCTCAATGGGGCGTTATCCAGCAATGCTGGTTGGGTCCTGAACAACGGCCAACTATGGAATACCTTCAATCTTGCGTTAATGAACTAGATTTCTAGGCATGCTCACTTGTTACGACCTTACGAAGTTTGTCCCCTAGGTATTTGGTTCCTAGTAGCACTGCACGAACCGGAGATGACGAGCTATACTTCCATACTGTAGTACAAGTACAACTAGTAGGTACCAGCTCGGGTTCCTGGAGTTTGCACGTTATTGTTTACTTCCCGTACTCACCTGTAATGCTTCATGTCCACTCTATGCTCTGACTTGCTATGCCCCAATGGTGAGTGTGCGCAGGCCTTTTTACCATGTTGTTGCCGACGCCAGTCCAATAGACGCTGATTCTCGAGTAACTGATCAGCACGTTTCCCACGGCCCATCATGCCATCAGTGTTCGGAAGGCCCGCAAACGTCAAAGAACACGATATGTAAGCATGTTGAGGGCATCTGACCTGGAAATGACGTGACTTTGAGATCTGGCTTTGGTAGCGACCTGTGGCAACGAGCTAAGGGAATTAAATGAATACCGTATCATAGGATACATGCGGGATTTGGGCATCATCGTGTCCACGTACCATCATAGATCTTTCTCAGATCAGCAGTACCAAGGGCTTGGGCACTCAGTACTTTGTTTGCTACGCCAATAGTTGAAGTTCATAGTGAGTGAAGTATGCGGCATTTCTGGATAGGTCGAACTGCCAAGTCGCTATCTACAAAGTCGATATCGGATTCAGATTTTACTGGTGGGCTCAATATCCACGGTTGTCCTCTACCCTGGCCTTTATCTCATGATGATCCGAGCTGCCCCACAAATGGTCAGTGCTTCCCTTGCACGAGTCTGAGGGAAATAGGTCACGGCAAGAGCCTCAAACAGTGCAGAGTCACGTATCTGAGGTGGCCGGGGATCAATCACTGCACGGCTACAGCCTAGCGCCTATCCTCACTTCGAAGAAGGAACCTTGAACTAAAATCGAAGGTGGATGTGACTCTGGCACTTAGGGTGCTCATGCTGTATGTATATCCGCCGGAAACCCTGAACGCCCAAGACCACGCCATTGAATGCGACATTAATTGCAAAAATATCTAATCTTGTGACGCGGTAATTGCACTTCATAGGCCTGTGAGCAAGATAGGGTACTAAGGAAGTGCCGCAGGCCAGCTAATTTAAACACTTACCACCAGGGTGAACCCGATGCGCGCACGTTCTTGGAGGCTGTGGGACTCATTGTAAATAACGCGTGGCAAAAGCTGTGCAGGATATCGCTCCGCGCAGTTGCAAATTGATTGGCGAATTTCCAAGTTTATATTTGAATTGAGTACGAGTCCGGAGGACGTGGCTTTAGTTTTCGGCAAACGAGGGTCAATGTACCACTGTAGAGGGTGCTCACTATCGGCGGACCATCTGAGTGAACATATACGCCTAGCAGATCTGGCACACTGTAATTAACGAGCAATCAAAGCAGCGGAAATACGGCACCCGTAGAGAAAAATCTTTGCAGAACGGCGTTAATATTCTCCCTCTGCAATAAACGCCGCGGGCTAAAAGTGTTACAATCACAGGAGTGGTGTGCGGTGCAAAGCTGCGAAATGCAATAGATGCAGCATTCAAATAAACGCCAGTAATTTGATATGAAGTCTGATGGAGAAGAACCGACTTCTTGAACAGTAACAGAGTGGATGGAGCAGAGAATACGCACAATTTCTATGTACAGCTCTTGATTCGATCGCGCTTATATTTCCATCTTGACAATAGCTTCTTCTGGTGATTGCGTCTCTCCTACCATTTTTTGATGGCGTATGCTGTCCTTCATGCATTGCCACACCTCCGCTGCGGCTTCCCGTGCTACCTCTTTAGCCCTTACAAGCTCAGCCTCGTCAAAAGATGACCCAGGACGAACGCTGTAAATCGACCAAACATCTTCGCAGGGCGGAGCACTTCCTTTTATCGGCCCTGACAGGGCAAATCCAAACAGGAAAGCAAAACATCCACCTCCCTCAAGCACAGCATCATCGGCTGTATCAACCTCCACGGAAACCACGTTCCCCTTCTTCACTCTACCAACCGACACCGCGCAAACAACTCCACGCATTGCGATTGAGCCGGCGTTAATCAGAGCAAGCGTGCATGCATTGATTTCGGCTGCGAGAAGGGCGTGGCCCGCGGTTGGGTTCGTAAGGGCTTGAACGACGACTTGAATGAGAGTGCGGGGATGTTGTGCGAGAAGACACGAGCGTTCTACGATCTCTCGTATTGCCATTCCACGAGATTTCTCTGCAGTTCCTGGTACTGACGAGAGCGGACGAACGTGCACTTCGACGGTTGCATGAGCAGGGTGCTCAGCAGCTAGGCGGGCTGCAATGGGACCACTGACTGAAGCGAGAGCTGAACAAGAAGGGCGGAAGGAGAATCTGGCTGAGCCGTCAACACCATCAAGGCCTTCTTCGCATGAGATGGTGATTGATCCCAGAGTTGTAGGTGACATGGTCGTAGATGGCGGTAGCTTGTTGTGACCATGTTTTTACAAAGTTACAAAGAAGGGAAACCTAAAAATGGGGTTAGGGTTCCAGATCAAGCTGAATTTGAATTTCTCGACACAGTGGCAGGCGCGCTTAGCCAAAGCGCTCATACAACTCCTCAACCCGGATATTTTCCGTGGCTGGATCGCAGCGTGGAGGGAGTAGAACATATGATTGTCACAACACGACCCTATTATTTTTCCACGTCTTCTCCCGAAAGAACGACAGTTACCTTGACATATTACAAGTATGACTGGAGGAGACTCGGACTCGGTTCGTATTTAGAGTCTAATGTTACTAACGAAATCTTGCAGGGAAGATCATTCAGCTGTGATCGCATGAAATGCAACAGCCTGAGGGTATGAACACGAAAATGTTTGCCACTGGATACCGGCGTCGGAGGGACTGTTGGATATTTGAAATACTTTGAATTGTGTTGCGCTGGCATCTGGTAATATTTAGCGAGAGCTCGCTCCCGGAAGCATGACTGCTGGCGCAAACGCATTGGCTCGTTGGGAAACACGGTAACTCGACGACATGATGGCGATCTTATGAGGTGGACTCGCGATCATCGGTAACATCCTGATCATTGGTTGAGAAACTGAATTATGTGCGATATGTATGAGCAAGTCCTAGTGGAATAAATTGTACTTCTGTCGAGATGTCCTAAACCCTATAACAGCGTCCATGACGTATTGTCTACCCTGCTGGAGATCCTACAAAGACGTCAATAAGCCTGTCCTCTGACATTACTCGTTGCCTCTGGAGTAGATAAGCCACTAGAATATCTTCCCGCAAAGGTTCTGCATCGTATTCCAGTGAAAATGCAGGTTTTCCATTTGACAGTGTGGCATGAAATGAACAGGACGCAATTGGTCTGTCCAAGTCACATTGAGCGTAAACCTGTGGGATGGAGGCAGTGGTGAGAAAAGGATATCTCAAGATGAAGAAGAAAACTCACCTTTTGACGATGGCCTGAAACCATCTTCCACACGTAAGGCCCGTAATCGGTCCCCATGATAAAAGCAGTCCTACACCAGCCAGCCCATGAATTATCTAAAGGTCGCCCTGCAGACAAAGCACGGCTTACGTTCCGTCTGCAAGTTTGGTCTTTCGGAGCCATTTTTGCACGCTGATCGGTGCATTACCATTCCGTTCTGGAAATGAAACGGTATTTGGGAGAATTTCTCGCTGGTGGAAAATGGCAACAATCCGACCAGGAGTACGACGGTCGTTGATCTTTGTCTGTTTCCCATCGCTGGTGATCGTGTACAGTGGCATGCCAGGGTGTGCATAAATTGTAGCATTCTTTAGATTAGTGGTGGTCATGAAGTAGGATGTAGGCGGGGCGGGGTTGACGAGCGTTGCTGCAGAGTCCATAGTGAGAGAAGTATCAATGGCGTCAGTGAATCTGACCGAACAAGAGAAGCGATAGATCAGTGATTTATATATCTCAATTAATTGGTAGTACGTACCTCACACTAGTTCGCTATCATCATGAGAATGGGTGATGAATCGACGACGATCTGGGCACGTATCAACTATCATCCGCCAAGAGCCTGTGAGTCGGACTCTAACATCCATAACAATATCCAGTTTCAGACTCAGTGTCTCACTGGACGGAAACCTGGCTGTCCATCAACTGTCCATCATGATGTAGATAATGACTTCACAAGCAAGGTTTCACAAATTTCTCCGAGGGATTTTGAGCGCAACCACTGGGTTCTGATTTGGAAGGGCAATCCCGGCGCGCGCTAAAGGCCATCCTGATGAAGTTCTATGCCTGGTGCATACGGAGGAACTGACACAGTCAATTTATGCGTACGAAAGATGCACGAGCATGGTATGATGAATTGACGACCTAGGTGGCAAGTTGTTTGAGAATTGAGAGCGTACAAGTCAAACAGTCACTGTATGTAACTCCCAGGACCGTCACGGTGACCCGACTTCTAACGGCGGGGTTCACAGCAAGTTCACAGCTTATCTCATACCAACTTTAGACTACCGTTAGATCATATGTCGACCGTTCGTGCTCTATCTACATGCACAACCCGACATTTTGTTCTCTCCGGGTCAAAATGTCGAGCCCACCGTAGCTTGGCAGGTCGGACCAACCTTCGAGGATTAGCGACCTCCACAGAAGGAGTAGGTCATTGCGAGCTTGCTAGGTCAAACATTGTCCTCACAGACCTTTATTCAGACCCTTAGGAAAACAGGTCTTTACGATTTTCACCTCAACAACGATGCGAAGATGGTCCCATTCGCCGGGTATCAGATGCCTCTTGCCTACGGGAACGTTGGTCAAGGTGCGGTCACAGTCGGCTTTGAGAAGCAACACATTAATGATTTGTTTCTAGGTGCCAGTCACGCTCATGTCCGTACCAAAGCCGGTTTGTTCGATGTGGGGCACATGGTACAATCGAAGTGGGTCACATTCTACTTTCATTACCGCACCGCAAGCTGAAACAAGTTTAGTTTCCGTGGGCGTACTGCTACATCATTTTTGGAATGGTTGACACCTTCGTCGCTAACGACCCTCGCGCCGTATACCTCAACCTTATCCGTTCTCCTGAATGAAACAGGCGGTATCATTGACGACACCGTTATCACGAAACACTCAGAAGACGCCTATTACGTGGTGACGAATGCTGGAAGGCGGGACAGGGATCTCGCATGGTTTAAGGAGAAGCTTGAAGAGTGGAATGCTAGTGACAGGGCAAAAAGTGGAAAGGTGGAGCATGAGATCTTGGAGGATTGGGGACTTATTGCGTTGCAAGGTCAGCATGACGTACCTGGTTTCTCTAACCTCTGACTGTGTTTCAGGTCCTGCAGCTGCGCAGTATCTGCAGAGTTTAACCTCCTTTGATTTACGTGAGCTGACGTTTGGCAAGTCTGCTTTTGTGCCAATTGAGGGTTTCAACCTACACGTTGCTCGGGGAGGCTACACCGGCGAAGACGGGTTTGAGGTGGACACACTTTGACTATTTTTGAGGAACGCTTTCTCACAAAATTCCAGATCTCGATACCACCATCTCAAACGGCAGACGTCACTAAATTGCTCTGCGATGCCCCAGTACAACTTGCGGGTCTGGGTGCTCGGGATTCCTTGCGTCTAGAAGCTGGCATGTGTTTATATGGTAATGACTTGGATGAAGATACCACTCCTGTCGAGGCTGGTTTGACTTGGGTCATCGGTGAAAATTCCTTCGCGTGAGAACGATGTAGTAAAACTAACTGCACGTTCAGGCAAGGAACGTAAAGAGACTGGAGACTTCATTGGAGCGGAAGGGGTACGTAAACATCTGAAAGAGGGCCCTCCGAGACGCCGAGTGGGATTCATAGTGGATGGCGCACCCGCGCGACGTGAGAGATGTTCCTACCGTTTTCGTAAATTTGATGCTAATAACTACTATACAGAGGGCGCCCAAATATACTCATCGCCTCAAAAAGAATTGATTGGCATGGTCACGTCTGGCATTCCTTCCCCCACGCTTGGGAAAAATATTGCAATGGGTTATGTGAAGTCTGGCTTCCACAAGAAAGGTACCGAGGTTGACATCGATGTCCGAAACAAATTGAGAAAGGCCATCGTTACCCCAATGCCTTTCATGAAACCAAACTATTGGAGGGGATGAACAGCGGTGGACATGAATGTGCTTTCGCCTGCTCAACTTAGGCGATCGACGATTATTTTATTTTATTTACACTAAAGATATGGATCAAGTTCTGGCATGCATTTCTTCAAGTTTGCGCGTGCGCTCCCGTATACAATCCTACAGAATGGTACCCCCTTTCAGCTGCGGACAAGTTCACGTTACCCCAAGAAAATCTATAGCTTCCAGACCCAAGCGCTCCGCATCTCAAACCCCTGACGTGGATCCACGCCCAGGAAATCACGATGTATTGACGTGATGTCCCAACACCGTTCTATTTTGCTCGGACTTGCCCCCTCCGACGTCGATGTTCTTTTCAGATATTCTCAATCGTTGTTCGAGAATCAAGAAGGACACGATAACGTCGTCGCGAATGAGTTCCGCTTCTCCCTGCATGATTACTGCGAAGTTTTGGGTTCGCGTTCCTTGTTGGAGGTGCGCGACAGGTTTGGACATGTCACCCTTCCGATATAACTAACAGAACGTAAATCGCGAGAGTAAACGTCAGAAAGTGGCACAAAGGCAATGTATCGCGTGTTGACTTACAGCAAGTCGGTATTCGGCGTCTGACTTCCAAACGTAAGTTCCATGTGTAGTCTCAATGGCGTGGATATGACTGTGGTACACGTCAGCCGCTGGACTGCGCTCACCTATACCAGTTCACGTACTGTCCATTTTCAAGCTTGCTTTTCTGCAGCCATTTACTGAGGTGTATTGAAGAGCCGCCATTTCTATCGGGAAATGTGATGGTGTCTGGCAGGATATCTCTCCTGTCGATCCGAGCCAAAAGGCGATTGCCACGAGGGTCAAAGATATCAGTGCGCTTGTCCGACTTTGCGTCGGTGACCACTGAATACAGCGGAGAAGCCGGTTGATTATTGAATATTTTTGTGTTTTTCATATTCTCTAGGCTGAAATTATATGATTTAGGCGGGGCAGGATTTTCTGGCGTTGTTGTTGACTGCATGGTGCGAAAGATATGCGAAGGATATGAGAAGGTAGGGTGTGCGTTGTAGATGGCTCATATCTTTGATGGGCGACAATTTATAGAATACAGCAAGTTATTGAGGCTGTGCAATGTAAGACACTCGAACGTCATGTATCAGCCGTGTGTAGTACAGCCTTCTTGATACAGGTTAAATGTTCCTGAACGTGAAAGGACAATAGCCGCGCCTCCAGATCTCGTGTGCACAGGTGAGACCGGTCAGAAGTACAGCCGTGACCGTGCTTAGCACCCGCTGAGAGGCAAAAGACCCGTATAACGAATTGCATTGTCTTCTAGAAATGGATCTTGCCATCGGCCAAGCACAGGTACTGTAAGGGAGGGTGGAAAGCCTTCACGTAGCTCACAGTTGTTAGTTATAGCCTCGTTTCTTGCGTCACCACATGCACACGTACTATGTCACACTGTGTGTGGCCCATGCATGCACACACATTTCGCTTTCACGATGGGTACTTGCAACTTGTTGCTGTGCCGGGCCCCGGCTTTTTTCTTGGCCTCGGTACTTGCTGCGGTGGGTGTAGGCTCGCCTGGGAGCTTGTGGGCCCAAGACTGCGCTTGACATAAAGCCTAAGAGTAAGGGAGGAGCCGCTTCAAGTTAATGTTGATGAGGCTGACTCCAAGTTTGTCATTACATTAGTAATATTTGGAGTCTAATTTAAGGTCGCGTCGGGGTTCGTTCCACCCGGTCCATGCATCCTGACTCCGTGCACTGTGATATCGACGCAGCCCCGATCTTGTTCACATCTTGAAACTTCGTAGCTTGAAGCACTGCTGTATACAACGGCGTATGCAAATGTAACTCGCAAGCACCTTTAACACTCGAGATCACCGTGACTCTTGTCCTCTAGCAGTTCAACTTTCAGTGCTGACGCGTTCTTTGCCATCTGTTTAAACGACGCGACCCTTTGGTTCGATTATCCGGGCTTCCTCACTCACCGGGTTCCAGATGTAGTGATCCTCGCCCGATACCAATATGAAGTACGCGCCGGCATCGGAGCTCGATATCGCCTACTTTCATACCAGTGCAATGAGTGAGCATATTTTCACATGCGTCAAGACAGGAGATTTTTTCAGTCAATCACGATTGACAAGGGCCTCAATAGACGGGGCTTGAAGCGAGTCGATCGGATGGAGAACAGCGAAAAGGAAGGAGGCTACACCTTTTCGACATCATACAGTTCTACCAGCCGGCTAACTACCGGTTCGCTTCTTGAACTCCCTAGGTGACAGAGACTGAGTTCAAGTCCGAATCAGACAGCCGGTCGAGACGTCTTGGTTGTAAACTATGCGAAGGCCGCATGGCCACACCTTGGCACCTGCAGCACTCTGGGAAAATTATATGGCGGGAAATCGCCGCGAGATCGGCATAGCGTGTTAAAACTACATAGACTGCAAGAAATGATATTGGGAGGGTGCGTATGCGCGATGGGGTGAGAGAACGATCCAGTCCAAGGATATGTACATACTTGCTATCGGTACCCGAGGATTGAATATCATAATTCACGCCCTGCTGCTTCACATACTTGCCACACGTCAGGACCTAGGCTACGCTTGGGAAGCACGGCTATTGCTTTAAAAATGGGCTGGAATGAGTCATGGCAATTGCTGAAAGAGATGTGTTCGATGGTGGGTGGAAGATCAAATATTAACGGCACATGTGCGGGTGTAAACATGGGTGTCAGTTCTTCAAATGCAGGACATATATGGAGCAGAGCAGCAGAATGGAAGCTGTAGCGGAGCAGACGGAGGGAATGAAGCCGCGGGCAGCATGATGAAGGGTAAGAATATCTTGCTCCGTGGTCTCTGCTGTCCCTAGAAAATCTGGCCTCGGCCACAATGACAACGCGAGGTCATACAATCAGACTTTGCATCACATTTGTTGCTTCCACTCTGAATGGGTTGGGTTATGTTAAGCACACAGAGGTTTGCGGTAGTACTGCGGTTGTCCATGGACGAGCGGAGGAACCTGTACTTGTCCTAAGCTTTCATTCTCTTCGAGTATAATGTTTCACTCGCAACGGTTAGCATTATCGAGTGCGATGCATTGCATGAGTCTAACAACAAGGAAACAAGCTTGATGGAGCAGCAAAAGATATAAAGACAGCAACAAAGATAAAAAAAAATTGGCCACATACTGCAGTATTAATGCCCATTAGCATGTGGGGGAGATGCGCAACAGAGGAAAAGTATGAGACGACCCCACCACGGGATAGGTGGTGACTGCGCAGCTGCTGCACCAGATGTGGTAGCATGAGTACCTGGAGCAGGAGGTGTCGCAGAGGTCGAGGCCGTGGCAGGCTGAGTTTGTGATGATGACGCCTGGGTTTGGCCTTGCTGCCGCGGCCGCGGGCGTGGAGCAACAACCAATGGCTGCAGATCAATCATTCAACAACGGCGATGGGAAACACACGCGAAAAAATACGTACCTTTCTGTCTTGTACTGTAGGAACATCGACGATACGAGGGCCACGATGAGAGAAGATGGACGGTCTTGAGCGATGCTGGAGTTCGGTTGCTCCATCGGTCTTGGAGTGAGAGTGACGAAATAGCGATGAAAAGCCGCTGAATAGCGCACGCGGATTCGAAGAAGAGGAATGGTGATGGGAACCATGTGCTGCGGAGGACTGAGAGCACAAAGATGAGAATGAGAACTGGTCAACAAAAGCAGATGACTCACCTGGGCGCTATCAAAAAATCCTGGCGGTATTCGGCGGGCATGAACAGCTGGACGTCGCGTAGCATCTCTCTAGAATATCTTTAAAATGGTTAAAAAGCTTTGAGAAACTCGTCACATACGGTCGTTAACGATTTTTGAGCTGGGACCTGCAAGTGGGAGATCAGTATAGTTTTACCTAAGAACCATGGGATTTACATGAGAAATAGGCAGGAGGAGGTCTTCAAGGTCAGCTTCTTTGAGGATGGCGTGAATGTCCCATGTGTACAGATTTCCGTTTTCGCAACCAGTAACTAGCACTTTTCCATCAGCAGAAAGGGCTGCGGAGTGCAATTCATATTCATGTTGGAGGGGTTGTCCGATGGGGAGATTCGTGTCGAGATTCCATAGACGCGCTGTTTTATCCCATGACACACTTGCAAGGAGGCGGTTGTTTGAAGACAAGGAGAAGGCGTAGACCCTGTATGTGTGACCCTCAAGAATGGCAATCTGCTGCCAAGTGGCTGTGTCGAATATCCTAATCGGGTTAAATGAACCGGAGATAAGCTTCTTTCCGTCCGACGTCCAGGCCAAGCTGAAAACTCCGATATCGTGTTTGAGTGTGGTGGTCAGTTTGCCCGTCTTCGCATTCCGGATTTTGACTGCGTTCTCGTTGTTTCCGCCCGTTGCAATGTATTCGTTATCAGGGGAGAGCATCACTGCCCTCGCCCACTCGTGTCCGGTTTTGATTTCCAGGACAGTTTTGCCGCTCTTGACATCCCAGACTCGTGCCGTCCCATCCCAGGATCCACTCGCTACTCGCCTACCATCTGCACTCCAGCACAATGCACACACGCGATCGGTGTGTCCCGTCCATTTGGAGATCACCTTCCTCGTCTCGACATCCCACAAGCTCACTGTCCCGTTATCGCTTCCACTTGCAACTGTCTTGTGGTTTGGAGACAATGCCATGGACCGAATTCCTGATTCATCCTCTTTCCAGTCCTCACCTATCTGTGCGCCGTTCTCTAGGTCCCAAAGTCGGAGTGAGCTGTCCAATGAACATGTGATTATGCGTCCGCTGGGCAGATGGACAACACCTGTTACCCAATGGGTATGGCCTCGCATCGTCTGATGTGGTGTGGGCGCTGGCGTCTTTCTGGTGGAGGATGACATGGTCGGCGCCGGGGGTTCAAAGTACTCCAGATTGGGGACCATCTATGCGAGAGAAGTCTGCCGAGATTCTTGAACCAGACCGGGTTATCAGACGGCAATGGTTATTGGTGAGTCCAGAGGTCTACTTCTTGTGAACGCTTGTCAGAAGCACATAAGCCATTGCTCACGAGACAGCCTACTTACAGGAATCTAGTCCTCACCTAGAAGACAACTTCGGGACTGTCTATGCACCACCTGGGGCGCCGTTATTTGAGAACGTGCTACAGATCTTGGCGGGTATCCCAAGTACTGGTAATCAAGTGGTCAGCTTTAGCCTGTAGAAGAGCCTACAGTATTACTCACGAGAGGCACCGTTCAGACGAGCCCAGTGCTCAATCACCAACGATCAATGTATGTCTAGTTGGGAGAAGACGAAGTTGGGCGCTCGTTCGGTCAAGTCGTCTTTTCTTAATTAGGTGCGTGCCATGCGTCAACCTCGTGTTCGATTCACAGCTTCATTGCTGTGTAGGATGAAGCGCTCTGGAGAACCAATTAAGACTCGACAACAGAGTCAGCACTGAGCGCTTGTGGCCTATTATTAACTCAGAGGTTGAGCCGCTGAGCATGCTGGAACAGTTTCTCTCAAGAGACGTTGTGATAACATTTCGTTCGCTCACTCAGACTCAACTGAACACAGTAAACTCTAATTCTTCAGTACTGCGTCGTCCAGCGACATAATCTTCTTCAGCGGAGAAACAGAACGGCCAGTCACAGCGCAGACAGCAGGTCGAGGCATCTTGGTCTGTACACCATGCAAAGGTCGCATGGCCACACCCTGGCACTGACATCATGCCAGCGCTCATGCACTCGGGGAAAATTGTATGGCGGGAGATCGCCACGAGATCAGCATAGTGCGTTAAAACTACAGTCTGTAGGAAATGATATTTGGAGGGTGCGCGTGTGGAGTGGGGCGAGGGAACGATCTAGTCAAACGCAGGATGTACATACTTGCTAATCGGGTACCCAAGGAATGAATACAAACGGAATGATTGGTGCACGGGATATACAGCACCATGATTTGCAGCCAGGACGTGTTTCTAGCGATATTTGAAATTAGAATCGAGGCTTCATGCCATAGTGTTACAACCAACCCGATATTGAGGTTATGGCAATCAAATACGCAGTCTCAACGCGAACAAAGAGAATAACAGTTATTACAGAAGAACCGGACCCGCATATGAAATAGGTGTCCATATGCTGCAGCATCAATGTCCATCTGCATTCGGGGGAGATGCACAACAGAGAAAAATAACGAGACGAACCCGCAATGGAAGGGGCCGTGGCTGCGCGGTTGCTGCACCTGGTGCGGTAGTATGAGTATCAGGAGCAGTAGGTGTCGTGGACGTCGAGGCGGCAGCTGGCTGAGTCTGCAGTGACGGCGCCTGGGTCTGCGATTGACTTTGTTGCTGATGTTGTGTTGGTTGTGCATTGCCATCGTGTTGAGGAGACGCACAGCAGAGAAAAAGCACGAGATGGGCCAACATTCGGACGGGAAGTGAATACGCAGGTCTTGCACCGGGTATGGTATTACCATTAGACTGAGTGTGTGGACGATCTGGTGGCGACCGCTGAGCAACGAACAGTACCTGCATGGAGGTCATTAGACACCATAAATTGACACACCGGAAAAAGACATACCTCCCTGTCCCGCATTGGAGCCACATCGACAACATGAGGACGCCATGGGCGTTGCGGGAGTTCGATGTCTTCGTTGGTGTGTGCTTGAGAGCGGAAGAGTGAGGACAGACGACTGATGAGTCCATCTGGACGTGAACCCGAATGTGTTGAGGGATGAGTTTCGGTTTCTTCTTCGGTGTTGGGTCGAGAGCGGGGACGTAGTGAGGACAGCCGAGCGAGGAGAGCATGTAGATCTAACCGCGAAGGCGTGGAGGGTTGCTGAAGTTCGCTTGCTGCATCATTTTCAGGTGGAGAACGGTGAATGAGTGAGGACAGGCGAGCGAGGAGCACCTGTAGATGTAACCTCGAAGGCGTCGGGGGTTGTGGCAGCTCAGTTGCTTCAGCATTGTGGTGTCGAAAGCGGTGGAGGAGCGAGGAAAGGTGAGAGAATAGTGCACTTGCAGAGGAATGAGGGTGGGCACCACCCGTTTGGGAGGACTGAGAGGACAACGATCAGGGCAAAAACCAGATAACAGAAATGATGACGCACGTGAACTTCGGCCTCCATGCTGTCAAAAAACCTAGGTGGGAGTTCATCGACATGACCCCCAAACTCGTTGTGACATCGCGTAGCATCAGCCTGGAAGGTTAATGCTATAACACTGAGTAGGTTCACAAACACTCCACGTACTTCCAAAAATGACTTGTCACTTAGCGAAGAGCGGGGGGTTCGCTCTATTCCTGAATTGCCTTGAGATGCCTTCTGTTCGTGTCCATCTTTTGGTGCCTAGCAGCAGACTTTGTCAGTGTGTGAGAGAGGTTGAGTGAGGCGTTGACGCTCACAATATTGGTACCAATGGACAGTAAGTCTTCCAGGCCAGATTCTTTCAGGATGGCATGAATGTCCCATGTGTACACATTCCCGCCCCGGCACCCAGTGACTAGCACTTTTCCATCAGCGGAAAGGGCTGCGGACTTCACTTTATATTCAATGGCCGGAGGTATGGGTCCTATCGGGAATGGTGGTGCCGAGGATTCCATAGACGATGCTATTTCGTCATTTGAATACACTTGCAAGGATGGCGGTTGTTTGGAGACAAGGAGATGACGTCAACAAACCGTCAGTTGTGAATGGCATTCTGCTGTCCCAAGTGACTGCGTTGAATATCCTAAATTGGTCATATGAACAGAAGGATAAAACTTCTTTCCGTCTGACGTCCAGGCCAAGCAGAAAGTGCTCCACCATGTTTTGAGTGTGGTGGGATGCAGAGTTTGGCCCTGTCTTCGCATCCCCAGATTTGTGGCTGCATTCTCATTAACGTTCTCGGTCCGTACCAGCCCGTTGTCAATGTATTCCGTTATCGGGGGAGCACATAACCGCATTCACCCACTCATGTCCGGTTTTGATTTTCAGGACAGTTTTGCCGCTCTCGACATCCCAGACTCGTGCCGTCCCATCCCAGGATCCACTCGCTACTCGCTCACCATCCGCACTCCAGCACAATGCACACACGAGATCGGTGTGTCCCGTCCATTTGGAGATCACCTTCCTCGTCTCGACATCCCACAACCTCACTGTTCCGCCACCGCTTCCACTTGCAACTGTCTTGTGGTTCGGAGACAATGCCATGGACCACATTCCTGATTCATCCTCTTTCCAGTCCTCACCTATCTGTGCGCCGTTCTCTAGGTCCCATAGTCGGAGTGAGCCGTCCAATGAACATGTGATTATGCGTCGTCCGCTGGGCAGATGGACAACACCTGTTACCCAATGGGTATGACCTTGCATGGTCTGACGTGGTGTGGTCGCTGGCGTCTTGCTGGTGGAGGATGACATGGTCGGCGCTGGGGGTTCCATGTACTGCAGATTGGGGACCATCTATGCGAGAGAAGTCTGCCGAGATTCTTGAACCAGACCGGGTTACCAGACGGCAATGGCTATTGGTGAGTTCAGGGGCCTACTTCTTGTTAACGCGTGTCAGAAGCATATAAGACGTTGCTCACGAGACAGCCTACTTGCAGGAATATAGTCCTCACCTAGACGACAACTTCGGGACTGTATATGCACCACTTTGGGCGCCGTTATTTGAGAACGTGCTACAGATCTTGCTGGGTTTCCGAAGTCACTGGTAAGCAAGTGGTCAGCTTTAACCTGTTGAAAAGCCTACAGTATCACTCACGAGAGGCACCGTTCAGACGAGCCCAGTGCTCAATCACCGACGATCAATGGATGTCTAGTTGAGAGAAGAGGAAGTTGGGCGCTCGTTCGGTCAAGCCGTCTTTTCTTAATTAGGTGCGTGCCATGCGTCAACCTCGTGTTCGATTCAGCTTCATTGCTGTGTGGATGAAGCGCTCTGGAGAACCAATAAGACTTGACAACAGAGTCAGCACTGAGCGCTTATGGCTTATTTATAACTCAGAGGCTGAGCCGCTGAGCATGCTGGAACAGTTTCTTTCAAGAGACGTTATGATAACATTTCATTCGCTCACTCAGACTCAACTGAACACAGTAAACCTCTATTTCTGCAGTACTGCGTCGTCCGCGACATAATCTTCTTCAGCGGAGAAACAGAACGGCCAGTCACAGCGCAGACAAAAAAAAGTTGTATACCACGCAAAGGTCGCATGGCCACCGTGACACCCTGGCACTGACATCATGCCAGCGCTCATGCACTCTGGGAAAATTGTATGGCGGGAAATCGCTGCGAGATCGGCATAGTGCATTAAAACTACATAGTCTGTAGGAAATGATATTGGGAGGGCGCGCGTGTGGAGTGAGGCGAGGGAACGATCTAGTCCAACGCAGGATGTACATACTTGCTATCGGGTACCCAAGGAATTAATACAAACAGAATGATCGGTGCACGGGATCATGATTTGCAGCCAGGACGTGTTTCTAGCGATAGTTGAAATTAGAATCGAGGCTCCATGCCACAGTGTTACAACCAACCCGAGATTGAGGAGGTTATGGCATTCAAATACGCAGTCTTAACGCGAACAAAGAGATAACAGTTATTACAGAAGAACCGGACCCACATATGAAATAGGTGTCCATATGCTGCAGCATCAATGTCCATCTGCATTCGGGGGAGATGCACAACAGAGAAAAATAACGAGACGAACCCGCAATGGAAGGGGCCGTGGCTGCGCGGTTGCTGCACCTGGCGCGGTAGTATGAGTATCAGGAGCAGGTGTCGTGGATGTCGAGGAGGCAGCAGGCCGTGTCTGCGATGATGACGCATGGGGCTGGACTTGGCCGTGCGATTGGCCGTGCTGCTGCTGTGCTGGTTTCTCAACGTATTGAGAAGATGCACAACAGAGGAAAAGTACGAGACGACCCCACCACGGGATACGTGGAGACTGCGCAGCTGCTGCACCAGATGTGGTAGTATGAGTACCTGGAGCAGGAGGTGTCGTGGAGGTCGAGGCTGTAGCAGGCTGAGTTTGTGATGATGACGCCTGGGTTTGGCCATGCAATTGGCCTTGCTGCTGTGGCCGCGGCCGTGGAGCAACAACTAATGACTGCAGATAAATCATTGAACAACGGCGATGGGAAGCACACCCGAAAAAATACGTACCTTTCTGTCTTGTACTGTAGGAACATCGACGATAGGAGGGCCACGATGAGAGAAGATGGACGGTCTTGAGCGATGCTGGAGTTCGGATGCTCCATCGGTCTTGGAGTGAGAGTGACGGAATAGCGATGAAAAGCTGCTGAATAGCGCACCCGGATTCGAAGAAGAGGAATGGTGATGGGAACCGTGTACTGCGGAGGACTGAGAGCACAAAGATGAGAATGAGAACTGGTCAACAAAAGCAGATGACTCGCCTGGGCGCCATCAAAAAATCCTGGCGGTATTTGGCGGGGATGAGTAGTTGGACGTCGCGTAACATCTCTCTAGAATATCTTTAGAATGGTTAAAAAAGCTTTGAGAAACTCGTCACATACGGTCGTTAACGATTTTTGAGCTGGGACCTGCAAGTGGGAGATCAGTATGACTGTTACCGAAGAACCATGGGATTTACATGAGAAATAGGCAGGAGGTCTTCAAGGTCAGCTTCTTTGAGAATGGCATGAATGTCCCATGTGTATGCATTTCCGTTTCGGCAACCAGTGACTAGCACTTTTCCATCAGCAGAAAGGGCCGCAGACTCCAAATAATCTCCATGCTGGAGGGGTGGTCCGATCGGGAGATTCGTGTCGAGATTCCATAGATACGCTGTATTCCATGATGCACTTGCAAGGAGGCGGTTGTTTGAAGACAAGGAGATGAAGTTAGGACCAGTGTGACCCACAAGAATGGCAATCTGCTGCCAAGTGGCTGTGTCAAATATCCTAATTTGGTCAAATGAATCGGAGATAAGCTTCTTTCCGTCCGACGTCCAGGTCAAGCTCGAAACTGCGTTATGATGTTTGAGTGTGGTGGTCAGTTTGCCCGTCTTCGCATCCCAGATTTTGACTGCATCCTCGTTGTGTCCGCCCGTTGCAATGTATTCGTCATCAGGGGAGTACATCACTGCATTCGCCCACTCGTGTCCGGTTTTGATTTCCAGGACAGTTTTGCCGCTTTCGACATCCCAGACTCGTGCTGTCCCATCCCAGAATCCACTCGCTACTCGCTCACCATCCGTACTCCAGCACAATGCACACACGACATCGGTGTGTCCCGTCCATTTGGAGATCACCTTGCTTGTCTCGACATCCCACAACCTCACTGTCCCGTCATCGCTTCCACTTGCAACTGTCTTGTGGTTTGGAGACAATGCCATGGACTGCATTCCTGATTCATCCTCTTTCCAGTCCTCACCTATTTGTGCGCCGTTCTCTAGGTTCCATAGTCGGAGTGAGCCATCCGATGAACATGTGATTATGTGTCGTCCGCTGGGCAGATGGACAACACCGTTTACCCAGTCGGTATGACCTTGCATGGTCTGGCGTGGCGTGGTCGCTGGCGTCTTTCTGGTGGAGGATGACATGGTTGGCGCTGGGGGTTCCATGTACTGCAGATTGGGGACTATCTATGCGAGAGATGTCTGTCGAGATCTCTGAACCAGACAGGGTTATAAGACGGCAATGGTGACTGGTGGGTTCAGGGGCCCGCTTCTTTCACGCTAATGCTTTTCAGAAGCACACAAGTCAGTGCTCACGAGATAAACTTCCTACAGGAATCCAGTCCTCACCTAGAAGACAACTTCGGGACTGTATATGCACCACTTGGGGCGCCGTTATTTGAGAACGTGCTACAGATCTTGGCGGGTATCCAAAGTCACTGGTAAGTGGTCAGCTTTAACTTGTAGAAGAGCCTACAGTATCACTCACGAGAGGCACCGCTCAGACGAGCCCAGTGCTCAATATTGATGGATGTCTAGTTGGGAGAAGAGGAAGTTGGACGCTCGTTCGGCTGTCTTTTAAGGCACACCCCATGCGTCATCCTTGTCTTGGCTTTACAGCTGCATTGCTGTGTAGACGAAGCACTCAGGTATGCGACCGACACTGTGTGTACCTTATATGTAAGGGACTCCAAGATGGCGACAAAGTTCGATGGGAGCCGCATTTCCTCTCTACTTTGATGTTTTTTCCGGCCTACTTTCTAACTCGATATCGTCAAATCCTTCAGCATGTTTTGCAGGCTGTGCGGCATGCCGTCACCCGATGCTGTACCCGCCAGAACTTGCAGTGCTCATCTTCTGGGTCTTCAAGAACCCTAAAATGACCTCCCGTCAAGATAGTATTTAGTGTGGACTTCCGGTTCAAATTGAATTTGTTCCTGACTGTAAATCGGTCGAGAATGAACAGGGTCAACTCGTTGAGACGCTCCTCCAAATTATAATATCAGTCTCCAGAGTCGACACGCATGAATTAGAACAGAATATACAATAATAAATGTACATTATTGATGAGGTAGTCACATAGTTATCTATGTGGTGCGAGGAGTCCGGTTGGTACCAGGGCTGTCATCGGTACCAGGAGAGACGCAGCAGAGAAACAGGACTACACGAACCCACGGTTTGGGATTCTTGATGCGTTTCGCATTTTCGCTAGCTGTTTTCGGTCGGCGAGCAACATACAATGCCTGCACAGAAATCATTGGACTCCACGAATTGACATACTAAAGACAGACATACCTTCTTGTCTCGTTGCGCAGCGACTTCGACAACATGAGGACTGCAATGAGAGGAGGTGATTTGCCTTGGCCATTGCTGGAGTTCGACTACTTCATCGGCGTTGGGTGAAGAGCGGAAGAGCGAGGAAAAGCTACTAATGATTGCACCTGCACGTGACCCCGAGGGTGTTGGGGGTTGCTGAGGTTCGGTTGCTTCGCCGGTGTGGAAGAGTGAGGATAGACGATCGATGAGTGTACTTGAACGTGAACCCGAATGTGTTGTGGGATGAGGTTCGGTTTCTTCTTCGGTGTTGAGGCGAGAGCGGGGAAGAAGCGAGGACAGTCGAGCGAGGAGCGCATGTGGATCTAACCGTGAAGGCGTAGATGGTGGCTGAAGTTCACCTGCTGCATCGTTTTCATTGATTTCAGGTGGAGAACGGTGAATGAGTGAGGACAGGCGAGCGAGGAGCACATGTAGATGTAACCTCGAAGGCGTCGGGGGTTGTGGAAATTCGGTCGCTTCATCATTGTCGTGCCGAAAGCGGTAGAGGAGCGAGGAAAGACGAGCGAGGAGTGCACTTGCATAAGAATGAGGGTGGGCACCACCCGTTTGGGAGGGCTGAGAGGACAACGATCAAGGCAAAAAATAGATAACAGAAATGATGACGCACGTGAACTTCGGCCTCCATGCTGTCAAAAAACCCAGGTGGGAGATCATCGACATGACCCCCGGACTCGTTGTGACATCGCGTAGCATCAGCCTGGAACGTTAATGTTATAACCACTGAGCAGGTTCAAAAACACTCCACATACTTCCAAAAATGACTTGTCACTTAGCGAAGAGCGGGGGGTTCGCTCTATTGCTAACTTGCCTTGAGATGCCTTCTGTTCGAGTCCGTCATTTGGTGCCTAGCAGCAGACTTTGTCAGTAAGAGAGAGAGAGAGTGAGGCGTTGACACTCACATTATTTGTACCAGTGGACAGTAGGTCTTCCAGGCCAGATTCTTTGAGGATGGCATGAATGTCCCATGTGTACACATTTCCGTTTTTGCAACCAGTGACTAGCACTGTTCCGTCAGCAGAAAGGGCCGCGGACTCCAAACCATCTTCATGCTGGAGGGGTGATCCGATCGGGAGATTTGTATCAAGATTCCATAGGCGCGCTGTTTTATCATATGACACACTTGCAAGGAGGCGGTTGTTGGGAGACAAGGATAAGGCTCTGACACCATGTGTGTGACCCTCAAGAATGGCAATCTGCTGCCAAGTGGCTGTGTCGAATATCCTAATCGGGTTATATGAACCGGAGATAAGCTTCTTTCCGTCCGACGTCCAGGTTAAGCTCCGAACATAGTTATCATGTTTGAGTGTGGTGGTCAGTTTGCCCGTCTTCGCATTCCAGATCTTGACTGCATCCTTGTTGTCTCCGCCCGTTGCAATGTATTCGTTATCAGGGGAGTACATCACTGCGATCGCCCACTCGTGTCCGGTTTTGATTTTCAGGATAGTTTTGCCGCTCTCGACATCCCAGACTCGTGCTGTCCCATCCCAGGATCCACTCGCTACTCGCTCACCATCCGCACTCCAGCACAATGCACACACGACTTTGGCGTGTCCCGTCCATTTGGAGATCACCTTCCTCGTCTCGACATCCCACAACCTCACTGTCCCGTTATCGCTTCCACTTGCAACTGTCTTGTGGTTTGGAGACAATGCCATGGACCGCATTCCTAGTCCATCCTCTCGCCAGTCCTCACCTATCTGTGCGCCGCGCTCTAGGTCCCATAGTCGGAGTGAGCCGTCCGCTGAACATGTGATTATGCGTCTTCCGCTGGGCAGATGGACAACACCTGTTACCCAGTCGGTATGACCTTGCATGGTCTGACGTGGCGTGGTCGCTGGCGTCTTTCTGGTGGAGGATGACATGGTCGGCGCTGGGGGTTCCATGTACTGCAGATTGGGGACTAGTATCTATGCGAGAGATGTCTGTCGAGATCTCTGAACCAAATCGGGTTATCAGACGGCAATGGTTATTGGTGAGTCCAGGGGCCTGCTTCTTGTTAACGCTTGTCAGAAGCACATAAGCCATTGCTCACGAGACAGCCTACTTACAGGAATCTAGTGCTCACCTAGAAGACAGCTTCGGGACTGTATATACAGGACTTGCGGCGCTGTTTGTGCAAGATATCCTGGTGGGTATGGGCCGATGCTGCTGTAGTAAGCAAGTGGTTATTCTTAACCTGCAGAAGAGCCTAGAGCATCACTTACGAGGCGCACCGTTTATACAAATTTAGTGCTCAAATCCCTAGTGATCAATGGGTGTTTGGGTTGGAGTCGAGGAAGTTGGGCATCCCTTTGTTTAAGCGTCTGTTAAGTTACGTCCGCATCTGTCATCCTGTGTTTGTTGTACAGCTTAAGGGCTGTGTGGACAAAGCGCTCATGGGCCTGTGACCAGTGCTAAGAATATGCATCTTCTTATACGTAAGGGACTTTATGCTGGCGACAAAGTTCGACGGGAGCCGTACTCCCTCTCCACTCCACATGTTTCTTCCAGCCTGTGTTTGAACTCGACGCCGTCAACATTTCTGGATGTGTGCAGGTTGTGCAGCATACCCGTATCATTAGTACGAGGGGTAGGGTTGTCGACCGCCTCAGGACGAAGTCGCTTCGCTTCGCGTGAAAGTTGACAGTCTTCTGGATTACAGTCACGTCTTGCCGCTTCCTTCTTAGCTCTCCATGGTTTAACAGAAATCCTATATCGCGATGAAATCAACTTTTTCGCTCTAATACTGCATCAGACTTGGGGAGAGTAGTAGCAACATGTATTGACGACCGCAACGCCACAAAAAAAAACAGTGATAAGCGTCTACCCTCAGAGTGCATCTAAACACGCATTCCAACTAACGAGACCCTCAACGAATCCTTGATCACGAGGTCATGAACATTGGACGGAGACATAAATCTTGCTCGTCCGATAGTGAATTTTGTAAAATAACCTAAAAGACTGGTAGCTTGAGTCAGGAGTCTATGCTCAGAGTGATCCTGAACTTTCATCCTCCTGAGTATAATCGGTGCAGTACACGAGTCTCACAGACGAGCGAATAAGATTGATGGAGTGGTAAAATAAATGAAAAAAGAGAGATGAGACTGCAAGAGAACCACTTAGGAGCGATGATATGATCGTTGTCCATGCGTCGCAGTATTAATGCCCATTAGCATGTGGGAGAGATGCACAACAGAGGAAAAGTAAGAGACGAGCCCACAATGGGAGGGACCGCGACTGCGCGGGTGCTGCAACTGCTGTGGTAGTATCAGTACCTGGATCAGAAGGTGGTATCGCGGAGGTCGAGTTGGTGGCAGGCTGAGTTTGTGAGAATGACGCCTGGGTGTGACCGTGCGATTGAGTTTGCTGCTGCTGTGTTCGTTTCGCCTTGTCACGTTCTGGCCGGCGAGCGACAAACAGTGGCCGACAAGATATCACTGAGCTCGGCAATGGGAAACGCACGCGAAGAAATACGTACCTTTTTGTCCCGTACTGCAGCAACTTCGACAATACGAGGTCCGCGAGAGACGATGGTCCGCCTTGGCCGTTGCTCGAATTCGGTTGCTCCATCGAAATTGGACTGGGCGTGCCGGAAGAGCGATGAAAAGCGTTCGAGAAGTGCGCGTGCATTCGAAGAAGAGGCAGCGCGGCGGGGGTCATGTGTAGAGGAACGGTGATTCATGCCATCGAAAAAGCCTGGTCATCCGGCTTGCCTAGAAGACTGTGTCGAGTCGTTCTGAGCTGAGGCTTCATGGCGCAAAGGCGAAGATACGGACCTCTGATCGTCGTGCCTAGCGCTACTAGAAGCCTGAGCCGACTGTGAATGAGAACTTTCGCTGACACATTGGAAGACCGAGTCTTTCTGAGTGGACGTGAAAATACGGTCCTCTGGGAATTTCTAAGATGAGTTATTGAGCACGGATACGATGCACGTACCCTTTTAGCTTGTGAGGTCGGTATATCGTGTTGACAATGACAGGCGGCCTTGTCTTGTGGGATTGAGGGTGCTAAATACGCGTCCAAATGTTGCTAATAGGCGCGATACGCTGTTTCAGACCAGTGGATCTTTGAAAGGCCTAGTGCTGAAGTAGTGGACTTCGCCTTGTAAGATCGAGTAAGTTGAATCTGTGTCCAAGTAGGAAAAGGTGGGATACTGCAGTGATTGGGGATGCCTGCTAGTGACCAGGGCTTGGCGAGGGTTTAGGTCCAAATCGTATCCAACTTAGCGTTTGCATTGCTAGAGATACGTGGCGGTTGATCGAAGAAAGCAGGGTCGAGTCCTAGCGAACATTGTTTTCCTTTGGCTCTCGGGGTAGTCGTTGAAGGCCACTGTTGAATAGCATAAGTTAATTTTCTACCACAAACCTGGATCTCACATCAATGGGGCTACAACCAAGAATCCAGTTTGCTCCGTCAGTAGCCGGGATTGAACGTGTGGTGTAAGTGTCCTTGCCTCTTCCACTAAATGGATGATTAGCCTACAAAAGCCATCATTCGAACCCAAGGGCACGCTCGAAGCCGCAAAAACTTGCTGTCTGGTGAAAATGCAAATGGATGGGTATATCTCATGCTAGAGGTAGTGAATTTGTAACCCTTCTGAATATTGTAGATGATGCACGATCACAAGGATAGAGCTCAAGAGTTAATTAAGTCACGGTAGAGCTGAAGCGAGGTTCTACAGGGTGAGACGGTTTCGAAGTAACGTATCTTGGTTCCATTACATTTTTTTGTGCTGAACGTGATTTGGTGGTGGAACTTGTGGGGGTCATTTATCGTCGTGCAGACGAAATCGATGATCATGACATCCAGAACAACCCGGGGGGCCAGTACAACGCCAGTGACCCGGTTAGAGCCGGCTAGCAAACCAGCTTCCCAAGCTGACTAAACAGGCTGATCCCGAGTCAAGGTGACGCAGTCGATCATCTACAGTGTGTTACAAATGACTTTAGAATCTCGTTTTCACCTGGGTATCCCAATAAGTAAGCCTTATTAGGCTGTGCGCTTACGTGTCTTGCCCACGCTTGTTTGGCTCAACAACGACGTTTCCCCAACACCAGCGTTAAATAACGCCCTAAATAATGTAGGTACTTAGGGTATTTGACTGTCCCGCCGCTTACAGGATGTGCCTTCCCCCCGGCAATGTCCATAGCGCCTCCCGCCCATTACGAATATTAGTAATCCCGAGCGTTTACTCCTCCCCGACATCTGTGTTTATTCCCACGCACTCCAGCACTATCCGTCATAGCGCTACACAGTGAGCGGCGCTGCGGCACCCAACGACGCCCAACACCGTCTGCTTTTGCCAGTGCTGGCCGCCATTATCAGCCTCCACCTACCCACGGACTCCAGCACTCTCTTCATAGCGCTACGCAGCGCACGACATCTAACGACACTCGACGCCCATCCTGCCCCATCAGCACATATCCTGCCTCTGCTAGCACTGGTTGTCGTTGACTCGTTATCGGCCTCCAGCCTCCAGCTCCAAACCGCTGGAAAATTGTTTTGGAAGTCTACGCTCTTCCCCTTGCCTTCTGGTTGCAACGTGTAGCGCTCTTACAAAAGAACTGGTGAGTAACTGTTCGTACACCATGCTGCTGAAGCTGAAGCGCTCACGAGACCGCACCATGTCTCATTTTTGTTAGTGCCGCTGTCCTTAGCAGCCTGGGTCCTCCCTCTCACTGCGTTCTACGTGGAACCCGTGCTCGTAATATCAACGACGCCCAACACGTCAGCAGCACACGCTGTCCTCTCCTACGATCCGTGTACCTTGCCCTTGAGCCTTATGCCATTCATTTACAGCTTTTCACGCACATATCAATAGTACACTATTCGTAGCACCCTGAAAACCGCTAGACATGCAATTTGTTTTTGTATTATAAGTACTCGAAAATGACAAGGATTTTTTTTTTTAAAAAACCGTCAAATGTAAATGATAAGGCTGTAGTGAGAACACACTAAGAAATGACTCAAAGACTTAGAACTTAGTAAGAAGGGAAGCCTACACTGTCGAAGTTGAATTCGGTGTGAGCAAAAGGCATTGGTCCCGAAGAAGGATTAGGGTCAGTAGGAGAGAAAGGTACTGGTACGAAGTTGTCAATAAAATCATTGAAAGGAGGGAACAGTGAGCTTAAGTCTGCACTAAAATTTGGAAGGATTGGTGGGGTGGGTGCAGGGCCCAAAGATTCGGAGTGCAGTGCATTAGTGCCAGGAAGGACAGGCTCTTGATTGGTAGGTGTTTCTTTGGCGCTGGCCGGAATGAGCGGGGCATTCGAAGCACAATTAGCGCTGGGCGTGTTAGAGTCTTCCAAGGGCGATCCTGCTTCGGCCTGAGTGGTGGCGGGTACAGGGGAGTCAGGGCGATCATCCTCTCCATCACTGTTGACATTCTCCGTACTCTTGTATGTCTTCTTGCGGCGGTGCCGGCGCGTCTCCCTTACCACACCATCTTCAATCTCCTCCTCGTCATCAGCATTTCGACGTCTTTTCTTACCCTTGTCGGAGCGAACACGCCGGCGCGTCTCCTTCACCAGACCATCCTCGATCTCCTGGTCTCGCTCTTGTTCCATGGCTGCCAATTCTTCTGCAGTAAGGCGCTTCCATTTGATGGCCTCAGATCGCCACTTCCTTAGGAGCCTTTCCAGGTCAGGAAGGGCACTAGAGGCCGTGCTGAGATTGACGAAGGGAATCTCCTTTGGCCAGCCCGTGATGATGACAGAATAGCGCTTGACGACGTTGCGCCAATATTGCGCCCACTGCATTGTGGCATCGGGTACTCCAGTTTTCTTACCTGTACATATCTTTAATGACGCAAACGATTAATTTAAAAAATGAATTACGCACGGAGAGCTTGATTAATTTCAGAGCGGATTTGAGCGCGAACACTAGCAACGCGCTCCTGATGGTTAAGTGCTGCTCCTGCACAATGATGATATAGGTCAGTCATGTGCCAAAAAAAATGGAAACACGTACCTCTCATGCCTTGAATGGCGAAACCCTCCATCTTGTTGACCAGGTCTTGATTATCGATGCCTACTGCAGACTCCATGAAGTCTTGCACGCCTTCGGTTGCAAATGTAACACCGCGTAGCGGAAGGTCAGTTGTTCCTCGAGTCATATACAATATAGTCTCCGCTCCAGTACGTGAGCGAAGATTATCGAGCTAACCAAAAAATGAAGAATTAGATAGGCTGCTGGAGCTACAAGAAAACATGATCATACCTCGCTTTCGATGGCCTTCAGAGTGTGAGTGACGTCGTTGATCTTCGACTTGGTTGAAATACGTTGCCCAGTGGTCTTCGTGGCCTTATATTCCTTGTACTCTTCGATGAGATTTGTTTTCTCCTCCTTGGTGAGGTCGTAGTACTCGGCTTTGAAGTCCCGCACGATTCCTCCGAGTACGTCTTTGCCGTGTCCATCTTCGCAATAAAATCCATGATATTAAGCGGTATCAAAAGGGGGGGAACTCACAATTTTCCTTGTCACTGTCTTGCCCTTTTTTCCATAGAAAAGAATTCCACGCGCTGACCTTGGAATGCTTTGCCTGCAGAAGGGAGTGCCCCATGTGCAATTCATGTTGCACTCGACGGACAGTTTTCTTGTGGTCCGCAGCAATCTTAATGGCAGCATCGTCCACGGTCTGCCAGGCATCCTCGAGAGCCTTCTTGAAAGTAAGAGAGGCTTCACGGCGTCGTAGTGTAAGGGCAGCCCGTGCCTCTTTGCTGAGTTGTACCTTAGCACGAGTCCTAGTCAGTGCCTGTGTGCGCGCTGACAAGTTTCGTTGTGCGGACTTGTGGGAGACCATGTTGGTCTAAGGTGAGAGTCAGTGCATATAATTTAAATACATTAAATCACACCGGATCATGAATTTGTTTAACGGACGCTAGTCATTAGGCAGTGCAAAGTGCAGAAAAAATCAACAAACATGATCCAAATTGACGGCGATCAAATAAATGAAGGATCTACGTCAAAACAAGATAAACAAGGTAAAACGCACAGAAAACGGCAAGGGTGATAAGTACAAGTGCGATGATCCTACATACTTTCCAAATGGAGGAAGAAGAACCCTAGCAAAAAAATTAGCTACCGTAGAGAATAGCGCAAAAGTGAACTCTGCTTACCCTGAAGACGAATGGAGAACCAAGGTTGAGGTCGGCATGAAGTGCCCAATTGAGCTTAGATGCTTGCTCGTAATTGAGGTCCCATCTTGGCGAGCGCAGATTTTCTTCCCACCGACTGCTACGAATGGTGCTGATTAAAATGCGCAGCTTTAGTAGGGTTTCATCAGCCAGCTTAAACCGATCAAGAATAGCATCTGTGTGTGGGCCAATACTGATAAGCGGTGGACCCGAAATGACGGGCTCAAGAATCACCAAGCTCTGATTAGCAAGAAATGCTTCCGCAGGACGGCGGTGAAGGACCTGACCACGAGGACTGGTAGCTTGGGCCATTGTACAGGAATTAGACATTGGGGCTTGAGCCGTTGACAGTGGAGCACGAGGACTGGCAGCTTGAGCCGTCGACAGTGGAGCACGAGGACTGGCAGCTTGAGCCGTTGGCACTGGAGTACAAGGACTGGCAGCTTGAACCATTGGATGGGAATTTGACACTGGGGCTTGAGCCGTTGACACTGGAGCAGTAGCATGACGGATGGCAGCTGAAGCAGGCGATGATGATGATTCCTTTGATCCAAATGAGAGCTCCCTCTTGAAAGCCTCTTTCGGATAGCCTGAACACTGGATACGTGCCCCCGTTGCAACACTGGGTGCTGGAAGGTGCGGCGGGCCACTGAGATTAACCCGCGCTGAAACAACTGTAACATTCCATGAGAATACGTGTATAAGAGAACAAAAATATGAAAATGACTTACAACGATGCGGTGGATTGACGCCTTCGATTTGACAGCGCTTCATGAATCGTTCCATGTGAGGAACAACAAATTCTTCACAAAACGCTTGAACTAAGATTGCAATATCTCCTCCGATACGTGCAGAGTTCTCCTGCAGCTCTCGCGGGGTGATGTATAAATCAACTGCCACATCCCCTGGAGAGAGTGCAGTGTTGGCGTTGAAACCTGGGCAACGAATCAGTACCGATATTCCTCCGTCGAGATGGTCCTGCATAGCAATCTGCAGGAGTAATTGATTGAATCCGTAAGAAACATGAAGTGAGCACATACCGAATCGAAGACATCTTGCAACGAGGCTTCGACCAACTCCTCACAAGTGAGAGAACGTTGCTTCGTTATAGGAAAAGAGTTGAAGGCCGCATATGACGGGTGAAGGCCGCCTGGCTTCCTGGTGTGGTAGTGAGTTCCGTCAAGATGGACATCGTGTCGAAGCAGCGCACGGGCTGCCGCCTGACATTCAGAATTCCTGTAACTTTCAGCAAAAGCAGAAATATACAGCGCCGCTAAGTTCTGCACTGAAAATGATAGTGCCATGACCCGGTGTGGTTCGTAGTGTTGAGCTTGAGGTTGAGATGTGGTAGTGAAGAAAATGAAGTTTGAGGTATGAGATTGAGAGCCGAACTAAAGATTAAAATAGTAGATGTACGTTTGTACATGATGGTGCTACTGGACTGGGATACATTAATACTCAACTCAAATGCAAGTGAGCGTTGGACATTAGTATTGGGTAGAACATGTCCAAAGTAGCGGATGGTAGAATATGCAGTAGAACATGTCCAAAGTAGCGGATTGGTAGAAAGAACATGTCCAAAGTAGCGGATGGTAAAATATGCTGTAGATCTCGGCTAGAACATGTCCAAAGTAGCAGATGGTAGCATATGTGTTATGGTATAGTCAGACTCGGAGGACTAGGTAGAACATGTCCAAAGTAGTGGGTGGTAGAATATACAGTACTATGGGTAGAACATGTCCAAAGTAGCGGATGGTAGAATATGCTGTAGATTTTAGCTAGAACATGTCCAAAGTAGCAGATGGTAGAATATGCTGTAGATTTTAGCTAGAACATGTCCAAAGTAGCGGATGGTAACACATGCATTATGGTATAGTCAGACTCGGAGGACTAGGTAGAACATGTCCAAAGTAGCGGATGGTAGCATATTGCATTCAAACCACAGTCGTTAAGAGATGCCCCTAAGTCAAGTACCACTGACGAGATTCAGATGAAGGGAGTATGTTGGCGAGTTGCCAGTTCTCATTAGCTCGTCACAAATAATACAAGTCAGAACTACAAGCTATCATAGAATGTATCAGTCCGCCATGGAATCAAGATACCTGGCCATACTCTCCATCTCGTCTGCATGCTCCTCCTGCTGTATAATGTCCGCATCTGCATACTCAGAAGCAATGACGTCATCCACATCCGAATCTATGCATGAATGTACTCCGACGCCACGCGCACCCGAGAATCCTGGCAGGGCTTCAATCTGATTGAGACGGAAAATGTGGAATGCATTGATGGCTGAACAACTTTGCCATTGTCGTTGTAGCTCAGACGCGAGGAGATGAGATGACTGAAGGCCTTCGATGACTTTCTTCATCTCTGTTTCCTCATCGTGGATGAACGTACGCAATCGACGGATTTCGACGTTGAGACGAGATACCTCTTCCTGAGCACGCAACAGTTTGAAATATTTTGTTGTGGCTTCACGGTGAGCGGGTTTTGTCCAGTCCTGTTCCCTGACATCTGTGCGGGAATGACGCAACAAATCAAATTCCCCTAGGAAGCTGTACTCTGCGATGTCTTTCCAGGACAACTTCGGCCGAGGGGGGTTAAGTGCAACAGCTTGGGTATTGTATCGGTTGATTGCATTTCGAATTGCCTCCGAACGGCGCTGCAGCGCCTTCCCAATTTGCTGGCGTAATTTATACCCTAAAAAAACAAAATAAATATATAATAAAACAGAACGAGACGGAACTAAAACCTGTTCCTGATAAAGAAAGCTTTGAGAGCTCGAAAAGCCTCATAACGACAAGGCGTTCGAGCTCGTTCAATGCCGTGCGGTACTTGCCCAGTGTTGCTTCTTCTTTGTACTCCATGTACTCGGGACACCCGACAGCCCAGCGCTCCTCAACACGAAGTTGAATTTCCATATGTGCCACTAAGGCTTCTGCATTTTGCAACTTTCCGTAAGCAGCGTCAACACGGATGCGAGCTGTGGTAAGGGCAGCACTAATCTCTTCAAAATTACCCACTCTCACGGTGGTAAGCGCATTGTTGGCAGTTGATCGAGCGGTGTTCCATTCGTTCCTGAAATTTAAGCTTGGCAAAATACTGATAGATTGGACGAGTACTTACCGGCACGAGTCAAGGTCATCAAGAACTTCGACATATCGAATGCGAAGGCGATCTTGGATTGGCAGTTGTTTCAGTCCTTCGAGGTACAACTTTTCCTCGTCATGGAACTTTGCGAAATCAGCATCGTCGATATACAACTCGCGTTTGATGACGGAAAGCTCGGCTTGTAGGGTTCGGATGACGTGAATTGCTTCTCGGTAGTGATTGTATAGGAAATTGCCTTAGAAAGAGCGTTCAGAATCATGACACAATGAAACAAAATCACTTACTCAGGGCAGCATATTTATCCGCGTCCCAGAAACTAAAATGTTCCTCGATAGACTGATGCCGATGGAAACGGCTAGTGTGTCGTGTACTCCGTGCGAGCTCGTTCGATGCTGAGAAAATATGTTCGCATCCTTCACCTTCGGTGTGGCCAGTCCCACTGATATACATGGGGTGCCAGTCTAATTGGCACTTGCGGTTGTGTGCATGTCCGTGGAAGGCACCCACCATCATGCGTAGATTGAGTGCACGCGCACGCGGACCCAAAGAACTGGTGCTCAACGTCTTCGAGAACGCACAACCGATGTCATAAGCGCACGAGCCATTTTCCCCATATACAGTCATTAGATGATCTAAAATCGCGAGCGGATATTTCGCTCTAAAAATTATTAGCCTCTAGCATATGGTGCCGGTGCCGTCGGGACTCACAATTCGCCACTGCGAATCATATTGCAAGCCAGCAAGACAAATCGGTGATGGCACGCAGCAACAAATATGCCGGATTCATCAAAGACCGAGAACATCTTCTTCTGTTGTTCAGGTCCCGCGTTCCGCCAACGTGCAGTGCAATGGAAAGGTATCTCGCCGGGGACTCCGTCGTTGGGTATATCTTCCCAGTCATCGACACCGTCATTCTTGTCGAGTGCCTGGGCAAAAGGTTATTTTGCATACTTACAAATCAAGCAAACACCCACTGTTCTTGACCTGACTTCATCCTTGAATTTGTCAACTACATCGCGACCAATCCAGTAGTCTGTTCTTGGCTGACGAGAGTCATCACGAGACACAGAGTTATGAGACGCCCAGCGCTTAAGACTGTTATTGCCGTCAATGGTGGCAAACCATTCAAATTGGAGTGATGGCTCATCTTCCAGTTTGTAGGTACACGGCGGGCACGCATTCAACAGCCTCCAGTTGGGGGTGTCGTGCTTGAGTGCCTGCTTTAGCAATACATCAACCCGATGAAGAATTTCGAGAAACGCATCATAGACAGCAGAAAATTGAGCGCGGAGATACGGTCGATACGGCATCTGAAGAGAATGGGTTAGATTTCAATAAACGATGAGTAAGCTATATACGAACATCATGTAAGTGGCACAGCATTTTGCACTGCGCCTGAAGGCTGAACCGCGGACAAGTCTGGTGAGCCTGCCGATAGGCTGCAAGGGTACGAAGACTGACAGCAACAGTGGGATATAGGGGTGCGCAACCAAGAAAACCATGGTAAATCAATGTTTCATTGGGGTACCTATGAGACGATGATGCTCGGAATGAATCTTGGCGACGAACTACCAGCTGAATTTAAGTAACTATGAGTGGTGACAACAATAGGACCTACAGAAAGTGTCGATGAGCTCAATGTTTGTGAGTACCGGGACAGCGTTGAGAGAAGGGTCTTCATTCGATACAACAGATGCTAACGAGGGCATGCCATCGCCAGAATCACGAGATCGGTAGTCTAGGTAGGCGTTAACAAGCCGGTCCATTTGCATATCCCAATGGCTGGTTTGAATCTCGATGCGATCATGTCGAGTCCTAGGGTCCACGTAGCGGCTGACAGTAGAATAATCAGTGCATATATACAAACAAAGAAATAATACGACAATCCTGATAGGTCTGCCATTGTACGAGATAGCCCTTGAAGAGCCTCGTATTCGCCACCTTCATGGCTGAGGTCAAGTCCCTCATCACCTGGTGCCGGCACCCATGGTATGCTGTCGTCGTAGGAAATCATATCATTGTCCGCAATCATGCTGTCCACATTCTCTCGGTCCGCCACGGATAATTCTAAGTCACCATTAGCTCCAGTAGTTGGACAATGATTGAAACATACCTCGAAGATCAGACATACGCCTAGCGTCAACAGCATCCTTGCGTGCCTTTTGAGTTGCCGCAGTAAGAACGCCCGAAGTACGCTGTGTGCGCCTGAAACCATGCTTGATAGCTGATTTTGACAAACCATTGATTTTTGTAGACCTCTGGGAACGAGACATGTGGCGCCTTGCGATAACTTCAGCTTCAGCAGTGCCGTAGACAAACAGCCACTCACCAATGCTACGAGGGCACTATCAATCAAGTGAGGGTACTGGAACAAGGGCAGAGTAAGCAGCGGCAAGCGTAAATACAAGCCTCCACGTTGCAACCATGAGGAAAGGGGACAGACATGTTGCAACCACAAGGCAAGGGGAAGAGCGTAGACTTCCAAAACAATTTTCCAGCGGTTTGGAGCTGGAGGCTGGAGGCCGATAACGAGTCAACGACAACCAGTGCTAGCAGAGGCAGGATATGTGCTGATGGGGCAGGATGGGCGTCGAGTGTCGTTAGATGTCGTGCGCTGCGTAGCGCTATGAAGAGAGTGCTGGAGTCCGTGGGTAGGTGGAGGCTGATAATGGCGGCCAGCACTGGCAAAAGCAGACGGTGTTGGGCGTCGTTGGGTGCCGCAGCGCCGCTCACTGTGTAGCGCTATGACGGATAGTGCTGGAGTGCGTGGGAATAAACACAGATGTCGGGGAGGAGTAAACGCTCGGGATTACTAATATTCGTAATGGGCGGGAGGCGCTATGGACATTGCCGGGGGGAAGGCACATCCTGTAAGCGGCGGGACAGTCAAATACCCTAAGTACCTACATTATTTAGGGCGTTATTTAACGCTGGTGTTGGGGAAACGTCGTTGTTGAGCCAAACAAGCGTGGGCAAGACACGTAAGCGCACAGCCTAATAAGGCTTACTTATTGGGATACCCAGGTGCTCGTTTTCAAATTTGTGTTTGTTCCTTTGTTTTGACGTGTGACTTGTGTCACACTTGGTCAATCATTCCGGTTTTCACGCCACTGCTAGCTAGGCTAGATTATCTGATGATTGCAAATTTCAAAACATCTGTATCTCTACAACACATGCACATAAAAATATAATTTCTTGACGGATAGATAGCCTGATATTGAAAGTACAAGACCCGCTGGTTTTTTCTTTCAAAATTAATGTGTTGAGTCCAGCGGAGAGTTACCGTGCATAAAAGTGTGATTTTTCCTAACTATGTAGATTCAGACTAGAGCCAATGCGTGAACTCTTGTGATGCATCACTGGGGAAAAAACAAGAATACACGAAATGAGGATGTGGCGAGAACCTCAAGATTCGAACCAAATGTTTGCCACATTCTGAGGGTAGTGATGTTCCGGCCCGGCTTGGCCCAAAAGCCACAGCTTTGGCCTGGCTTCAGACGGCTCTGGCCTGCAAAAGATCCAAGCCGGGCCAAAGCCGCAAATGACGGCTGGCTTTGGCCTGGCTCTGGCCTGAGCCACGGCTCGAGTAGGGAATTTGCGATTCTGACAAGACTCACCTGCCAGTGCGCGCCTCAGAATGCAAATCGCGACGATTCACGCTTCGGGCGCAAAATGCTGACGGACGGATTCAGATGGGCTCGTGTTTCCTCATGTGTTTCTTTCGCTGCGTGAGAGAGGAGCTGTCCAGAGTACGATCCACGAGGTCGATGAGCATATCATATTTTGTGAAAACGACAACGACGGGAACTTTGGACCAGGGTTAGCGGTCACCTGCGTGGAGCGATAACAAACGAACTATTTCCGAGTTTTCCGTCGCGCTTCAATGTAAGGAATGCCTCCGTGCCAGTCTCCAATAAACGCCCGCCTGCACGGGGTATTTCAAAGCAAAGCCTTCCATATATTTCATCAGCTTGGGATGAGGAGTCGTGAGGATGGAGAGCCCACCAAACAGCATGCAGCTGATCTTTCAGAGCAGGCTCGGATATCCTATGTTCAATAAAATCTTGGACTATTTTGATGTTATCCTCTTCTTCGATGTTAGCTTCGCCCGGCTTTTCATGCAAAGTGAGCTATGGAGATAACATCAGCGACTTACTGTGTTTAAGATGATGAGCAGCCTACCACTTTGTCCACTCCGAATGCCTGATTGATCAGTGAAGACCCATCAGTAAACTACAATGTTCTGTACAGAGCTGTACAGAGCTGTACAGCATGCAAGCTCCACAGCTTGGTCCCTGCTGGACAGCTCACTACAGCTCCACACAGTACTACATATCCTTGTGAATTTTCGTACATATAATTCACAGTCTGACAGACAACCACATTGAAGGCTCTTGTACAGAGTTCAACGATAACATATCCTTGTAGAAAGTTTGCCAATAATATATCAACTGGTCAGCTGTATTTGCGTGCACAGAAAAGGACAACGATCACAGCATGTATTGGATTACACAACACAGCAGCAGAAAACATGAATGCACGGTATCGTAAAACTACTAGGAAATGATGCTCGATTCATGGTAAAATAAAACCTGTACTATGTGGCGCCAAGAACCTAAGCGCTCAATTGAGCAGGACTTGAAGATGATGATGCTTCAAAAGATCACTGCCGTCGACCTTAAAGGACTCTGCCCTGCATGAAACAAAGATTAGCGTTGAAAAACTTGAACAAAAAAAAACCTTGCCATCCGGACGCAGACCATAAACGAAGTTGTTTTGCGAGCTTCGGTCCGTGATAAGGGTGCTCCTTGATATCGTTGAGTAGCTTGACCATCTTGGTATAGATAGCCTTATACTCCGTGGAAGAAAAGTTCGGGTATGTCTTTCCATTACCGTTCTTGACTAAACCATCGAGGACGCAATTGAACTAGAAAAAAAATGGTGTCAGCATATTGTCGAGTGAGTACGAGCACCGAAATATACCGCTGTGCAAACCAAAGCTAAGCATTCCAGTGGTAGCTGCTCACGGAAAATATCTGGTCTCCTGCGGGCGACACGATAGGATCCAGTGTAAAAGAACGAAATAGTGGCTTCGTGGAGCGCAGGGTGAGCAACGTTTTGAGTTTTCCCGAGACTATCTACACCATTGCGCAAAAAAAGAGATTTTTTGAGTAAGGTTGCAGCGCGTTCTTGGACCCACGAAGCACGTTCTTGGGGGGGGATATGAGATGGTGGGATTATGTCATACATAGAGGGTGCGATACTGATAGCGATTTTCTTGAGGTCCGAGCGCCATGTAGATAGATCTTCAAACAGCTGAAATAAAAATGGCACGTCAGGTGCCAGGCATGCAATCAAAAACACAGACGTACAAGCTTGGCCATGTCGGGCTTGTGATCGGGCCAAATATCTGATAGACGTGTGAGTAAGCTGTCTCGAGGGGGAGGGAAATACTTACCACCTTCGACTTGTTGGCCGCTTTCAAGCCATTGTACAAGCGAAGCTGTAAGGACCTCGTAAACGCTTCCCGACAAGCCATCAACGAAGGTCGGGAACAGATCCTCCATCGCATGCTCGACACGGCACTCTCCCTTCATGTCCTCGAGAAACTTCTTCCAACAAGGACCATACCAACTCAGCTGCGTGGCCTTGGGCCCTTCACCTGCTATCTTGGCTGATACCTTACGAGCTTTGATATTTGAATCGAGAGGTTTGGTCTCGGCCTGACGCAAAAGCTCGAGGACGGCAGGATCAGGCAGATGGGGGTGTCCGTTTCGCTTGTGGTGAACCTGCAGAACATCGTCAGTATGCTCCGCGGGCTTCTCATCGTCACTGGACACATCAGTTGCCAAATTATTCTCGGCTGTGTTTTCATCCTCATCGTGTGAGTATTGAAACTCGAAATCGGTTGGAAGAGCAGTGGTGACACGAGGTTGCGATGGTTCGACTTCCTTCGAAAAACCTGTCTTGCGCTCAGTGTGATCAGAATTGTGAGAGTAAAATACTTACCAGGATGCGCAGTAAGGCGCCCATGCGCTGCTCCCCAGCTAACTTCTTGATCTTCGACATCATCTTCCTCCTCCTCTTCATCATCGTCAGCATGGCCTCCATCATCATCATTGTCGTCAGCGGATGCCTCTGAACTCTGGGATCCCGTATCCCCCGCTCCCGAATGTACATTTCCAGCTGACATCAGAGCAGGGTCGAGGTTCTTGTAGAATGTAGCGTCAGATTGACGCATAACCGACGTGGCTTGTGAAGGTGCTGGTTGCGCCAAATCATTGTTTCCAGAGGTGACGGTAGTGGGTGGAAGACGTGTAGTGGGATCCAGGGAGGCTAACCGAGCACGATGTTCACTGGTGGCCTGTTAAGACCGTGCTCAAAGGGTGGATCCGAAGGGCTTGGCTTCAGCTCGTGCGCTGCGCCCCTTACCCGAGTATGTGCCCTTAATTTCCGAAGGCTAGAAACAAAGTCCGAGGGAGGATGATGAATCCCGGTGGACTTCAAGGGGACAAGTCTGGTAGGCTTTTCGAGGAAGAGTCAGGCCGATGTTCAGGGGGTTAGTCCGGCCGACGTAAGGAGGGTTCGTCGGCCGACGTAAGGAGGGTTAGTCCGGCCGACATAAGAGGATTAGTCCGGCCGATCATAGGGTTAGTCCGGCTGACATAAGAGGATTAGTCCGGCCGACACAAAGGGGGTTCGTCGGCCGACGTAAGGAGGGTTAGTCCGGCCGATCATAGGGTTAGTCCGGCTGACATAAGAGGATTAGTCCGGCCAACACAAAGGGGGTTCGTCGGCCGACGTAAGGAGGGTTAGTCCGGCCGACATAAGAGGATTAGTCCGGCCGACATAAAGGATTAGTCTGCCGGACAATAGGGGCTTAGTACACCCGGAGAATAGGGGCTTTAGTCCGGCGGACGTGGGGGACAGAAGCAGACAGGTGTAAGGACGGAAAAACAGGAAGTCTGAGGGGACAGAAGGACAGGACGTCCGAAAGGACAGAAGGACAGGAAGTCCGAGAGGACAGGATGTCCGAAAGGACAGAAGGACAGGATGTCCGAGAGGACAGGATGTCCGAGAGGACAGGAAGTCCGAGGGGACAGAAGCTAGAGGTAAGACTACACTAGACAATGTCCAGAGTAGAAACTGACAGAGGTAGACTACCCGAAGGTAGAGGCGGAGTATAGCCCGAGGAATCAATCCCAGGACACAGAGGTTGGACAGGGAAGTGGACCCGGGCCCATGGAAATGGATCCGGGTCCGAGGAAACAGGGATGAGGATAATCTCAGGTGATATTCAAACTCAGGAAACTACTACGAGTTTACAAGGTATTATATACTCGGAGATCCGGGTCAACAAGAGGAACATACGGAAAGGCTAAACTGACAGGCGCAAGGAAAATAATACAGGAACAATCGAGAACGGAGACGGAGATGAAGTATCGAATGGATCTGGGCATAGGAGGTATGATCGAGAATGAAGTCGGATATTAACTGTCAAACAGATCCGGGCATATAGGGGTTAGGACAAGGGGACTATACAAATGGGGTAACAGAATAGGAGCAGGACCGGAAATGAACTGTCAAGCGGATCACGGGAAATGGGGACGGAGATGAACTGTGAAGTGGATCCGATGTTTTAGGGGTTAAGTGGACCTGGGTCCGAAGCTCAGGATCTGAGTAGGTCCGATGTTTAGGGTCCGATGTATAGGATGTCCGACGAATACAGGAGGAGTGGACGAGTGGACGAGCGGACGACATGAGTGAGATCCGACGAATAGGACGTCCGAAGAATAGGACGTCCGACGTATATGGGAAACAGGGCAGATCCTGCTGAGGGGTATGTCCGGTGGAGACTGGGATGCGGAGTTATCCTGCCAAGGGTTAAGGTATAGCTTGGCTACATTTTGGAGGTCCGGACATTGTTTGTTGGGAGAGATGGGATATGATTCAGGGGCTCAATGTACGGTATATGACACGGCCGCTACATATGGATTGTTGAGTACTTGTAGGTCAGGTTCCGTGCCAGGAGGGACGATGGGCTGCATAAAGCCAAACCAGCTACCAGATTGGCGGTGAGAAAAAGCGGGATGCATATTCGATACATCCAAGTCTTTCTTTGTTGCCTTACTAGTACCTTTCTTTCCCCCTGTTTTAGAAATTGCAGGATCCTCCGCTGTTTCCGAGACGGTATATGGTGGAGGGGGTTTTCTGTCGATGTTCAATATTAATATCTAACACCAACATAAACAGACCTGCCTTTGTGCGATTACCACGACCCTTACGAGGGTGGTTCGGGTGCCAGAGGATTGGTTGGTACATCGATGTCAAGGGAGGTGGAGCCCTTGGGCTGAGTAGTCCGTGCCGGGGCATCCAAGAGAGCACCGATTTTTTCGAGTTGCTCAACCCTACCTCCTTTTCCTGCGCCAGAACGTCCAGAACGTCGAACTGACGGTTTGTCTGCAGAAATTGGCTCTTGCAACACCACGGATGCCTTGGCCCCAGTACGCGACTTCTTTGCAGAATTTGCTTGACCATCAGAATCTACAGCTTTACGCTTTGATTTCTTCTGGCTCGCACGAGGAGACATGACTGGACCATGCCACTAAGAGTAGAACTAGTGGTACGATCAGCACGAGAAAATCACTGATAGATACACACCGTGTTTTGGGGCTCATAGTTTGACTCGTAATCGGGTCTCCAGTGCCACATGCAGGTAATGTGGGAGAATCTTGCGAAACTGAATATAGCATCTTTCGGAAATATGAGTTGAGCGCTGCATGCAGGTAGAGATGGTGAGCTTGAACGTTGAGCGGAGGTAATGATGCATGCTTTATTTTACACAAAGTACAAAATGGGGATATCATGTGACTCATATACTTGCGCGCCGGTATCGGTATCGGATATCAAAGTGTAGTACATACTGGTAAATTTGAACTCTACCCAGTTTTGCTCCTCTTTGGCTTGGGTACAACTTCCATCGTCCAACGATGATCGACCACTCGCTTCCGACATGTGTCATCTACAGATAACTCACTGTCCTCATCACTGCCACTGGCGGTATGTAAACGAACCTGCCACCAAGAGTATTACCCATTTGGAAACTAGGAGTTCAGGGGAGTCCTCCGAGGGCAGTGCAGCGATGTGCTTATCCAGCAAATTGATTACGTCGTCAAAGACCAACCGCTTGGGGTTTTTAACAAGTTCATACCACGCTAACGCGAGTGGAAGGAGAGATTTGAAGTAGGGGTCGAATTGTTTGGCGAGTTCCATAGTGTAGTGGTCAGATTGATGAAAAAATCGAGTCTTGCTGTCCCCGCACTTTTGGTACGTCGACGCGGACCATTCTCCTGTTATCCATTTCACTTTTTGATTTGAATGTGGGAGAGTCGTAGGGAGAACACACTTCATGCCGAGAGGGCCCCTGAACTCAATGCAGACCCAGATGAACACATAAAACATCAACTCCAGATCGTCGTTGTAGACATGCGTGATCATGGGGGCTGGGTATGCTTTCGATCCCGAGGCTCATGTACCCATGCGCTCATCCGACGGATCCGGTGTATTGAGATAAAGCTGGAAGAGAAGGGATTGCGACATGAACAGTATTGTGCCCTGAGGTTATGAGGTATTAATTCATATATAGATCCTGGAAAGAAACCAAAACACTAACGGTGCCCCCGACACTGTATTTATCGCCTCGTACGATATCTACAGCAAACTCCCAATCTATCAACATCCCCGCCATCATCATCCCCAATCATCGCGTTGTTCAAACTGCAATCACGATGAAGGATATGCCTCTGCTCTACCGCAAACTTCTGGACTGAAAATATTGTGAGTGGAACGGTTAGGTACATACAATCAAAAATCACTTACCCTTCAAGATGTCCTGTATCGCAGTCAAGAACTCTGAACGTGAACGGAATTGATACAAGGGTCGCGCACGGGGCTTCAAAACCATGCGAACATGCATACAGGAGGTGCCCTGTAAGCTGCGCGTGATATTTTGACGATACTTCACCGTCTCGTCAACCTCGCCAGGCTCCATCTCCACAAGCCAATATTCAACAAGGTGAGGAACACCACGGAGCCCATCCATCTTCTTCATCATACGAATTTTGTTGAAAACCTCTGATTCACTGCTGAGAACCCAGTGATCTTTAATTATGTACTCTTCATCGTCCTTCCTGGCCAGATAGCACGTCATGCCACGACCAACGAGGCCTTGCGTGGAGAATATTAGATCGAGTATATCATACGTGTTTTCATTGACTCGTATTTTTCCGATTGGCTCTGGGAGGGGTTCACGGAGAGGATCAACAGGGACTTCGTCTATGGGGGGGACCATGCTTGGAGGGATGTTGGCTGCAGGTTTGCGCTCCGCATCCTCTGTGGTGTATAGGGGTTTGTTCACGATCTCTTCAATTGTGGTGGTCTCGCTTTCCACGATCAGTGCATCTGGGATTGCTAAGGTAGCAGTCTGGTGCGGAGCAGGTGAGCGTGAGTGTTTGGCGGGGCGGAAATCAGGGGGTCGATGCGTGTGGTGAAGTGTGTGTTTCAATATACTGATCGTGGGGTCGAACCTGATGCACTCGAGATTGCCGAAGACAATGGACGAAAAAATCTGTAAGAACTTGTCTGGCTCTCGATCGATGTTTATGCAAGGGCTGACAACACCACCCGAGTGGTCATATAGGTGGACACGAAGCTCGCGATACCCATTGCAGATGGAGACCAACAGTGCGAAGCGTCTCCACGGTTGGTGTTTGAGAAGCAGATACACCTTGGAGTCAAGAGTTTTGGCAAGGGGATATGAAGGTAAGTAGGCACTCGAAGTCAGCTCGCATACGGCCTTGATTGTGTCCCATCTAGCCTCGATATCATCGAGTAAGGTGAGGTCTGGTTTGCGCGCCATTGCATTGCCGGGTACTGGGCGTGAGGAGTTTGATGCGCTCCAGACACGAGATAAGATGCGCTTCTGAGCGAGTTCAGGCCGTCGCAGGAGGAGGGCGATGGAAAGGACATTGTAAAAGGATGCAAAAATCTGTTCCGTTGTCCATGGCTGGAGTACTGTGGTTCTGCCACCACTGTCACTTTCGTGTTGGACACTGGCAGAGCTGGCATTCATAGACTCGGACATTTCGTCATCCTCAGGCTGGCTAGAGGCAACAGGTGTACCAGTGTCATCGACGAAAATCCAATCTCCCGACTTCTCATTCGTAGTTCCACTAGTTTCTCCTTCCCTCTCTTCATGGTCCGTTCTTCTCTTCTCTCCTGCCCGCTTACTTTTTTGTCCAGGAAGTTTGTCTAAATGTGACTCTGGGAGTGGCCAGTTCCAACAGCGTGCTTGCGTGTCATAAAGCGGTACGAGGATTGATTCATTTTGAATTTGCTGAAATGCTTCGACCCTGGTATCGGGGTGGATTTTCTTCAACGAAACTTGAAGATCCTTTGCTTTTGGGACCTTGCGGTTATAGGACTTGAAGATCAATGATAATACATGGCCAAGCTCATCACTGTTGGCAGGTGGAGATTCCTGCAAGATCAAGCGAATAAGTTCCGAGCTGGTCAGTTTACTCATTGTCGGTACATTGTGAACCTCTGGAGCTGACATCAAGGATGCCAACTTCATCCCGAGGCCCCCAGAACAAAAATGCCTACCAAGTGGCATGAGGGAGTGCTAGTGCTGTGTGTACAGGTACGAAAATATTGTATTTGACGCTTTCTTTACTAGTCTACAAAAATGGCCTTATATTGCATCAAATGATAGCGCAAAGAAGGCGCTTTTATCCAGAAACTCGTTCAACCAAAACTCCGTGGCATGCTCCAAACTGTTGTACGCTGTGAGACGCTTGTCAGCAGTAGCGCCAAAACGAGGTACAAGTTGAACAGGAGCCCTCAATTGAGATAACGGAATAACATCGCCCATCCGGTTTCCATTTGAGTGTTTCGCTCGCTTGAGTATATGAAGGTGGTTGTTGGATCGCGATCATTTGAGAGATCAAAACATTGAACATATGTGAGGAACCGATCCTTCCAAGACCATAGTAAACCACTCTTGCCAATGGGTCGCATAATGAGTCTAATCTGCGTGATTGTGTGACCTGTAACAGTTGAGCTTTAAATGATTTATTGTAACGCAAAACAGAAAGCGCACCTGAAAGACGACTACTGGGCCATGAGAAGCCCGCACTGGTCTCGGCAATGACTGTATCATAGTGGCCCAAGATCCACGGGTCATTTGGTGGTGCAAAGTTTAGCGTCTGAGCTGGTTTGATGGCGTGAGTGTCATGTAAATCCATCTCTTGCAAGCGAATTTTAAACCAGACTTGAACTTTGTCAAATGGGAGGACGGCACCAGGTCCAGCCCTTCTAGGGCCACCTATTGCATGAACATGCCGTTGTCCATAAGTTGCCTCACGTTGAAGGAAATCAGCTATGGCTTGTCGTAGATCTGGTAAGCCGAATGTGATAGCGACTTCATCAACAGTGATGCTCTGAATGGAGGGGTCATATGAAAGATGAAAGGCAGTAGATTTGTTGACAAAGGAGCGAAGTGGTACAGGAACGGAACCCACTTCTCAGTACTGGAGTGCCTTAGCAATCACGAAATAATTCGTAATTTGGTGTGGGTGTCGGGTTGGGTCAATGGGATTATCTTGTGTGTCGACGTCAATGTCGATCTCTTCAGCATCCAAGTCCAACCCCTCTTCCTCAACCCTCTGCTCGTGAATCCAACAGGCCGGTAGCGAGCTCAAAACGACGACACTTTTCGGCGCAATCGAGGTATCAACAAATTTGTGTGTCATAATTGTTGTTATTGCTCGATCTAGCGGGGTCTTTGATCTCTGTAATGTGGGCGTGTTCAGTGATGTCGGCAGACCACTGTCCTATGACGCCAGAGTTACGAATGCTGGGAACGATACTATGGCATTAGCTCCAGCTTGGGGATGTAAAAGTTGTTGATGACTCTATTACCCTTCCCCTGATGAACCCCGGCAGCAATGATTGCATCCTTGTTTGCGTGGAACTCATTTAGTGCACGTGAGATGCGCCCGAGATCTTCCTCATCAATGCGCGGCGACTGTACGAGATATCGGAACTGCATGAGCGCCCGTAAAGCAGCAATGGACACCAGCAGGTGCTGCATCCGCACTGACAGCGATGATTACCGTTGAATGTCTCGCTGACAGCGACCGGTGACTTGTTTCAGCTTGGAGATGCCACCATGAAAACGCCGATGACCGGTGATGGGCTGCAACACTGAAAATCGGAAATCAATTTCGGAATCTCCAACAGCGTTAATGAGCCATTGGGCATCGTGGTCAAAGAACACTTTATGAAGATGGTGGAGTGATTCTGGTGTCAAAAAACGGGAGGGGTCTGCTAGTATGTAGTCCACCAGAATGGCTTGTCGACGCCATTCAGTCGGAACTTCTGTGCCTCGCGGAAAAACAACCTCAATATTCATTGGGATCAGCGCGCGAGCGCACAACAGCAAGCTGTGCAAGAGTCGTCGATTTCATCCGGGGTTCATGACGGAATGCATCCCCGAACCGCTTATACATCACCATCGTCACTGGCGACGTTTTTTCCACCAACAGTTGCCAGCATCATGGCCTCGGGGGTGTCAGCGATATAGCTCGCGAGAGTGGTGAAGCAATACCGACTGTGTCCGGTAGGATCAGACAGCATGACACCACGTTGAGCGGCCTGCTTGAGTGGTTCGAGAATGATATTGAGGCATTCATGTATCAGTCGATCCTCCAATACGCCCTTCATTCGCTTCTTCTTGTGAATAAACTTGGGGACTGGTAACAGAGCAGCGAGAACAAAAGAGTTGGTTGATGATTTTAGGCGTATGTTCATATGTATATTGGCGAGGCTAATTAGAAGCGGATGAGCCACGCGATCCCCTGTTAATGCACTGATATTCGTCTTGTCGGAGGAGAGAATGGTGCCGAGGAGGGTTGCGCCCTTTGGTATCGCCGACTTCAAGATATTTGAGTGCCAGACCTCAATAACTGACTATCTACTCACCTGCATGTCCCATGCATCGTTTCCTGA